CAGATACTATTCATTCCGAGAGCAGATTACTCGAGAACTCTTTGCGTACGCTTGATCAACAAGTTAGTGCTTGTACCTTAACCAGTTTGGGATAAATTACTATCATGAAATCAGAATAAAACATGTTCAACATGTGCTACGTCATGCACGATTATTCTAATCAAAAAATGGATGATGCACATATCATTCATTCTCCGACTAGGAGCCGTTTGCACCTTTGCGTACATTTCATTAACAAGTTCATGAATGTGCTTTAATGTGTTTTGGTTGATTCATCAATAGGAATGGTGGAAGAACATGTTTGAGTTCGTTAGACCACGCTGGCCTGACACGTCCTTCTAAGAATCCCTGATAGTAATCAACCAAAAAGCGTTAAAACCCATTAAAGGCAGTGGGTCGGCAAAACTCAACAACTCAGTATTTTAACGCGGGAGACTCCGTATTGCCCAAGTATGAAAACAGTGCAATCCCGGTTGCACAGCATGCCTTCTTTGCCGAGAAAATTGCTTTTAAACTTACACGCGCAGGCCATTCTTACACGCATCCGGACGAGTTGGCAATCTCCTGCCCACCACTGGAGGCTGCCCGTCGCAAGCAGTCGCTTAAGCTCTAACTCAAAAAACTGAGGTAAGCCGATTTTTGCCGATATGAAAAGACTTAACAATCTAATATTACACACCTAAGGAACAAAAAATGCGCCATTTTGCTTTTGAGAACGTATTTGTCGAAATAGACACTCCATTATCCCTGAACTCGCTTGCTTCCAAAATGGTCTCAAAAAGCTTTCAACTGATCAATCGACAGCACTAAAAGCTGAAGAGACTTTCAATGAGCTTTTAGACAATCTAACAATTCAACCAATTTTAGCCAATCTTTGGGCAGTCTTCGTATATAAGCCCTGCATTATGATGCTTCAAAAAAATTCCGATGCGCTCAATGCAGCTATTTTACCTCGTGCTCGTGATTCTAGCTCCGTTCATGCTTGTGGAAGCAGCACCAGTATCAAAAGTACCACCAGCACCAGAAGGCGATGTGTAAGTTCAACGGATAAAGTGCAATAACCATCAATTTCTTTTGCGTTAAAGATGTTTTCTTTTCAGGAATCCGCAAGGGTTACATTTAAATTTACCACCCCTTACTATAAATTTTCCGGGTTGAAGGCAGAGTGGAACATAATAAGGACAAGGACAACAACAACAATTTTCGCTAACTCAAACTATTCTGTTGTATGGGACAGAAATAAACGAATATTTTTAGAAAACGAAGAAAAGAACACAGATGCCGTATAGACTAGCTTTTAGTGCCTCGATGAGCACGGTAATTTGTAGTTAGTCGCGAACTGGCGATGGAAGGGGCGATGGAAGGGTGGGACGAGCTTAGCTGTACATTCTTTTCATTATGTTTTTTGCATTTATCATAATCACGCCGAAAACAAGGAATTGACAGCAGAGACATTTCGGAAGTTCTAGTTTGATAAAGCTACTGATTTTTGAGTCATCTAGTATAGTCGCTTGCCACTTTCTTTAAGTGCTAGATCTGGAACGGTATGTATCAATCGCCCGTCCGGGTAAGGGTTCCCATTCACTAGTATCCGCTTGACAACATGCTCTGGATTTTGTTCTTCCTTGTTTGTCCATCTTTTGGAGGCTCTACTTCCCTAATATTGTAGCATAACGAATAGCAGCAGGCAAGGACAGCATGCTGTGCGCTCGAACCTGCTCTGTTCTTATGTTTGGGGGTGCAAGCAACTTTCCATGTCAAAATTTCGGGATGTTAGGTTTTGGCGAGCTGCTGTCTTTGAGCCCATTGAAGGCAGTGGCTCGGCAAATCTCAACATAATCAAATTTCGCTTACTTGGGGTTATTCAATACGCTGATCCCGAAAATCCACTCCAAAGAGCTTAAAACGGCGAAAACCCAATGGTTACGCTCCCGCAACAATTCAGCGTGTCAGTCTTGCTCCACTCGTCCAATTCCAACAGGAAGGGCGTTAAAATTAAAATTGAAAAACGCACGTTGAAAAAATTTGACTAGGTTGAGATTTGCCGAGCCACTGCCTTTAACTTGTTGATCGAACGTACGCAAAGCGTGCTGGCGTCTCTTAGTCATAGAATGAATGATAGATGGTCAAGCAGAATTTTCTCTAATATGTGCAATTGCACACTTCCAGGATTTTGCCGATGTGACGCAGTCGCCATGTTGAAAAAAATCACATGCAAACGTTTAGGCTTTTGTAGACACAATTCTGGTCAAACGACATGAGAAAAGAAAGATCAAACTAAAATTTTAGGTTGGTTTTCTTAGATAAGTCTTGGACCAACCTAAGAGTTTGACAAATCTGAAAAAAAAACTCATGACTTTTGAAAAAGTCACAATCATGCTTGTTTTGTAACATATTAGGTGGGTCCGGAAGTTTTGTCAGATTTTTCAATCCATCGGCAAACACGCTAGATTGAAGATAAACAAACGCTTCCAAATGTATCCAATGCAGAATTTTTTTCTCTTTCCAGATGTTAAACTCTCATTGTATTTCGTTGCGAGAGTGGCGAGATATTTGCTGGAAATTACAACCACTCGTTTTTACCATGTCCAACTTTCGCTAATTTTCAGAATTTTTGTATGAGACTTTTGTAAGAGTTCTAATAGCCATCGGATAGGGCAAATCTTTTGCCAACAGAAGCAACCTTTTGTAGTCCTACGGCTTGTCTTTCAGAATTTCTACGATTTATTTTTTGAAGTGACCAAATCTTACATTCAGCCTAATTTAACCTCGTAGAACATAAAATGTTGAACACTTCAGTCACCATTCGATGCAAATTTTTCTCCTCTTTCTAACAGTTGTCTTTTCTGCCGATACAGGCGAAATTTGTGGGGAAAATCGTGGTATTTCTCAATTTCAGGAGTGCGCACTGGCGTAACCTATGTTTCAAAATCTTTATATTATGAAGCGAAAATCGCTCATTTACTTTGTAATGGTAGCGGTAGTAATAATCAAGTGTTGAAACGTCAGTTTCTGTAGGTTTTGCAGTGTTTGGTGCAATAACAGATTATGCGATTTTCCCAAAATACGAGACTTTTAGAAAATTATTTAGCAAAAATCTGAAAAAGCGGCTGAAAAAAGAAAAAACTGCATAAGTTGGCAAAAGGCTTGCCCTATCTGCTGGTTATTAGGACTCCTCCAAAAGTCTCATATAAAAATTCTGAAAATTAGCGAAAGGACATGGTAAAAACGAGTGGTTGTAATTTCCAGCAAATATCTCGCCACTCTCGCAACGAAATACAATGAGAGTTTAACAGCTGGAAAGAGGAAAAAATTCTGCATTGGATACATTTTGAAGCATTTGTTTATCTTCATTCCAGCTTGTTTGCCGATGGATTGAAGAAACTGACAAAACTTTCGGACCCACCTAATATAACAAATAACCAGCCGTGAATGCATATTAGAATTATTGCTAGGACGTAAATGACAAAAAAAAGAAACCGATAGTTGTAACAATTCGTAGAAGTGTTCGATAAACACGATTTTCTTATAGACAAGTCATGAAACACAATGAAAAGTAAATCAAATTTCGTCCGAATTTTTGATTAACTCAGCGGCAGAAATTTGAGAAAAAAACGACTTCGCTGTCTCAATTCTTCAATTTGCTTGAGGCGTAGTTAAGCAGTGCACGATTTTCTTTTTTTATTACATTAGATCAAAGGTTTGTTGAAACTAAAAAGAAGTGGACTTTTTCCAAAAGTTCAAATGCAACATTCGCGCCAAATATGGAAATTATCTAGTTGCACACATTTTAGAAATATACTCAAATGCGTCACTTATGTGAAGACCAGAAGACAACAGAAGCTGTGCGTAGATGTAGGGCAAAAGTTCAAGTATGAGTCATAACCTGCTCACCGCCTTATCCCAATATCTAAACGCGTAGAAATGAAAGATGAACAAGTTCAAGCGTGTAAAGCAACCTTTGCAAGGTTCCCGAAAGAATAAATCCTTTAAAATTATGAATTTTAAGTTTAAATTCTAACATTGAATATTTAAGCAAAAATTCTGGAGTCTCTAGTTTCAGAATGGATATAACAAATCCTCCAAGCACTCAATGCAGTAAGTCAAAGCCAGAAGAATCCAAGGACTCGAATGACTGCTGCTGTTGGTCACTTCGATGTTGACAGCGGATCCGTTTGCAGATTTACTAGCAGCTGCTTTGATAGAGCGATAAACGAAGGAATTATGGCTGTACTGCGACAGCCGAACGCTGCGCGCTCAAAACATCGCGGCGATGCAAATTAGTTTGCAGATTAGCGCAACTAACAAGGACTGAATCATTAAGTGGTCCTGAAAATTTTAGAAAGGGAACAATTTGTGTTTCAAACATGAATGACAATGAATCAATAGATGAAAATACTGTATTACCAGATCTAGCAGTAAAGAATGTAGTTAGTAGTTTTCAGGCACATATTAATAGAAAACAAAAACAAAAAATTGAAAATAGGGGAAGACCGGCTAACATTGTCCCCTTTCCTCTTGTAGCGTGGACTCGCAGCAACCTATAGGGCATTTAAAAAATCGTGACGATGACGCGACCGCGCGCGACACGCACGCCACCTTCGGAAATCGCATTTTCTCGGTTTTCATCTCTAGTCGAATAGTTTTATGCTTGTGTATGACAACATTTGAACCTGAATGATGAGGTGATGCTTTCTTATATGAGCGTTTTATGATCCTGTGGGCGCAAAGTCCGCAGTAGAATCCGTCGTCACGATTTTATAAATGAACTATACATACAATCTGCCCCAATCCCAACCAGGCCAAAATGGCATGGCGGAAGTCCGCGTCGCGAGGGTTCTGCGTCACTCCTACAGCCTGCTTGTCTGCTCCCTCTTCAATCTCTTCGCTCTCTCCAACACTGCAAACGCCCTAGCGCTGCTAGCGCGCAAATTGATGCCAACGGATCTCGGTTGGGACAACCGTACTGTTATGCATCCAATGCGGCATTTCTAATCTTCTTTACACGTCTCAAGAAGTTTTATTTTTTCTGTTATAGCTCAACAGAATGAAATCACATTTGCTCAGTAGTATCGTGGTTGTTGGTAGTGTTGCAGTGGTTAGTGTTATCCTCCCAGAAAATGAAGACCTAGCTGACTACCTATCTGACCGACCGCCCAACCGCCGATACTCGCCAGACCTTTACCGATTCCACCAAATATGCTTCCCAAACCAAACTGAGGAACCCTGAAAATAAAATATATTCAACGCATCAGAAAGTGTTAAACACTGGACCTTGTTCTCCTTTAACTTACACATCGCCTTCTGTCGCTGAAATATTTTGTTGCTGTCCCATTGCCGAAACATTTTGTTCTTGTCCTGAAGAATCTTGCACAAGCGTGAGCGAGCATAGAAGAACGAATAAGAATTGAAATAGCTGCATTTTGAAACAGCATCATTTGCGGAGCTTTTATATCGAGACTGTGGAAGTAAATGGTCTATAAAAGCCTAATGCAAATGTATAAGTTTTGAAACTGCTTAACTGATTAAAGTGATATTGAAGCATTTTGTGGCCATTTCGAAAGTATGCAGTTTCTTATGTTAACAAAAGCTTTTTCTAACCGTTCCAACGGCATGGTTTTCTAACCCGGATAAAGGTATATATAGGGGCGATAGTGCAAACCAGGGCCCGATGCCTTCCACCATGAAAAACAAAAAGTTTTAAGGTGAGAAAAGAGCCGCGCGAATTAGAGGCACGATATGGTCAACAAATCTAAATCTAGAGTGTTTTAAAAAGGCAAAGAGACAAAAATAATTCATGGGTAATACAAACAGATCAAAAAATGATTATGTGGAATGCAGTATGTTTTCTCAAGAATGCAAGTATAATTTTTGAATTGAGACTAACCATATGTTGTTAATTATGTTTTTGTTAAGGAATAAAAAACAGCTGTAAACATGTATGCAGTCTAAGCAAAAGATTTAGACAGACAATTCCAAAGGCCTTCCATCGCAAAAAGAACTTTCAAAACTTCCGCGGGGCCGTGTGGAAGAACGGAGCCCGACCTAGCTGGCAGCTCCAATATGAGTGTCCCCCGGAACTCTTAGAACTTCGGTTTGCGCCGAAAGTCCTTTGCGATTGTTTGAGAAGCTATCGTTTCTACGAAATGGCAGTCGCGTTTAATAGTCAAGGTGAAGATGACACGCTGGTGTTGTTTACGGTGACGTACATTTGCACCAATTCGCAGGCAACTTCCATCCGCTGTTTTTTTTTACGGTTAGAGGGGTTAAGCCAATTTCAAACGTGCTAAACCTATACACCTCCATCCTGGCTCAAGCAGGGATGTGAAAAGCTAGCAATCCAAGTTTCAGTGCCAAATAATTTCCGCCTCTATGGTATCTGGGATCAGTAGAGAGGGGCGTAGTGAGTCACACAATAGTTACCGCACAAAGATTATTTTAACATCTCATAAGAAGATTTACTTGTTTACAGATCGGGATGGGAACGGAGGGGGCTCACTGAGAAGGTGTTAACTTTTCTACTTTCCTCCGAAGAAAATCCAAAAAGAATTTGTATTTCTTAGAATCTAATCTGTTTTAATTAATCTAGTTTATTAGCAAAAATTTTGTGCTTTTTTTGTAAATAATTAATTTACTTTCATAAGAATGTACGAGAATGTAGTAGGATTCCATTTGACTTATCCATTTTCGTAAGCATCCGGCATTCATTAAAAACGTATTTTCTTCTTGAATTGCCTAATCAACCTTGGCAACATTGTGAAAATATCGTCGTCTCCCCGGCGTACGTTGGGCGGAGCTTTTGCGGACATTTCAACACGTTGGTGAACTTGTTAACCCTCTACTGCAAGGCATTGTTTTTTGTGATCTCTCGCTACCAACTCTGCCACGTGTGACAACAGCATATATACGTGGCAAATAAGAGAGTACCTTCGATTCGTTGCGCACAAAGACTGCGGACTTATCGGCGCCTCTGTGATCAAGCGCTCTTTCGTTCCTCTTACCACCTGCTATCTCTCCCACGCACCAGCTATTTTGGTCGTACGCAATGGCGCCCAGTCTTTGTGCGTTTTGAATCGACGATACAAAGAACCATACTTTGCAGTAGAGATTTGACAAGTTCACGAACGTGTTGAAATGTCCGCAAAAGCTCCGCCCAACTTACGCCGGGAAGACGACGATACCACCTCTATCTTGTATATAAAGCTGATGTCTGTTTGTCTGTCTGTCTGTATGTACGTATGTTCCAAATAAAAAATTTTTTTATTTCTGAACCGATGGGCCAATGCCACATATATACTTCGGAGAGGGGCGGGTGTCATAGGCTACTTTTCGTCATCAATCAATATCGCTTTTATTGATTTTTTGAAAAAGTTTGAGGTACGAGCCGGGAGTTGCCACAGGGTACGTGAGCATGCTGACTACGAATACAATATTAGTTTTCAGAGCCCTACCTTTATCAATTTATCGATTTTTTTACAGAGTTAAAAGCCTCGTCCAGGCAAGATCCATCCACCCGCATTAGCACATAGTTTTAAAGGGGGGCCCATGAATATCAGATCTGCGTTGGTCCGATCCTTTGACTGCCCTCTAAAAGGAGATACGGGCCTGTGATACGTATCACAAGCCGCCCCTTCGTATCACAAACCAATTGAGGACGAGTGCTCAAGCAGGTGTGCGGTTGCATTGCAGTTGCATTGCAGTTGCCCTGCACATGCAATGCAAGTGCATCCGTGCACTCAGATAATCGCGGGGGGCAGGCGGCCATGCGATTTTTGAGCAAGCGGGCACCGGAAAAATAGTTCGCTGATTTCTTGCGGCCCCCTTGCAGAAATTTGGAGGAATTTCGGCAAAATTTTAGACAAGTGCTTGAAGAACTATCACGGTTTTCCCATAGATTAGTTGCGACTCATTGGCCGCATGCTCGCGGACTTTCCGATATGCAGAATTTCTGAGGGACGCGCGGTCCTTTGTGGAGGACCGCACAGCCCGTAGATTCCTTATAGAAAGTACTTCAAACTTGGGTCAAACCATCGATGACACCTCTGCAGCATAGAGTCTCACATTTGCTCGACGTACGCACGAAACTGCTTAAAAAGAGTCAGAGAGCCTGCTGAAAGTTCGGCCAGCGTTTGCTGAAAGAGATTATTTGACGAGCGCCTGTGGAAAATTCTGTGTTGCTGCCCGCTGGCAGAACATTAGACAGTGAAGGAAGTGCCGCTCGCTGAAGGTTTGGCCACGCCCCAAATTTCTGCTGCCGCTTGCAGAAAAGCGCGAGTTTGCGGACCGCCTGCCCCCGGCGATTATCTGAGCAGTTGCAGCTCCTCCCGCTGGCATAACGATGGGGACGAGCAATTCGAAACTCGTCCGCTCCTCGAAGAAAGGGTCTCCAAGAACCGGGTTTTTTGGGAGTTTTGAGCAATTTGGACTTTACAACTGTAATCAGGGCCACGGAATGGCCCCAGAATGGCAGAAACATGAGAGGCGAAATTTTGTCCGGACGCTGCCTTTAACTCAAGGGATGGGAGTTGGCACTGGAGGGGGGGGGGGGAGGTAAGTGGGCATGCTGACAGCGAACAAAACGGGGATAGAGAGTTGACATGTGGAAGTGGGCACAGGGAACGAACTTCCCAGTTCGTGTTGTATTTTGTGCCCCGAAAATATCAACAGCGGCTGAAACGCGGACTTTCTCGTTGCCTTACAATTATTAATTTTTTTGGCTATCAGCTTATCAGCAGATTTCTCATACTCAGTGGAATTTGTTTATATTCGCTTACTTATATAAGTGGAGTGGCTGATACAGTTTAGCAAGGGTAGCGCGCTTTACATGTTCTTCTCATTCTCCACTTTATTGTTCACGTTCCACAGTTGCTTTCAAGTCACACAGATTCACAGAACCTCGTATTTACCTCTATCACATTTCACTCTCATCTGCTTGTATTATTAGTATACTGTTTGTCTGTATATTGCTCGTCATATTGCTTGTTGGAGCTGCTATAATAAAGTTTAATCACCCAAGTTTAAGGTGTCGCAGTCAACTGTGCCCGCAAACCAATCGGCGCGAAAGTCCCGAGTGGCATATCAGAGGATGAGCAACCGACCAGTGAAGTTGTACAGATATTAGGTTGCTGCATAAGTTCTGTCCGAGATGAATTTTTTGAGTTCAAACTAAAACTATTATAACTCTAAATAAGTTAAAAAGTTATAAATAAGTTACCAATCTCTGTTGTAGCTAAACAGTCGAATATTAACAGTATCATAACTCTCTTCAAAGTCAACATTTTTCCAAGATTTTAGTTTCTATGTGTTGAGTAATTCCTTGGCTATCAGACGCATATTGAAACCTGCGAAAATCCTTGTAAAGGAAGGAGCAAGAACTCAGAAACTTCACAGCGTTTTTCTTCAAACCTGTCTTTTTTGACATAGCAATGCTCCCTTATGAGAGTTGATAGGCATCTTGTCCAACAATGGATAGATAGAGAATTTTTCGCAGATTATTTTGGGACATAAAAGAACCCATAGGGTCTGCGTCGCCGAAAGATTTTTTTGGCCGAGCAAAAAAGAAGCCACTTTTTGACCCTGCCTCAGTGCATGTGTGCATGCCTATTTACGAGTTATAAAAATTTTACAATTAACGTGAGCGCCGAAAAAAAGTCGGTGGATGGTTTCTGCTAGCCCTTGCTTTACCCTAGCACCTCCAACTTTGAAGTCGTCGATTGCTTCTATTCACAGAAGGTTATAGCTTGTAAAACATCTATACAGAAGTTTAATGTTTGACAATAAATTTTACTAGCAAGACGTTTTCTTCATGAAACTGAACTTATGCGCATGTTAGCCTGTCACACCCTTATTCCAGAACCGATTGAAGAACCTGACCTATAGGGCGCATTATGGAGATTTCCCCGCAAGAACATATTTCTAGGGTGAGAACGTACCTCGACCACTTGGAGATTTCAGGCCTGAAATCTCCTTTCACTAAGAAATTTATTGAAATTTGATATGCTTTAGAATGCGCAAGAAAAGCACTTTCTAATGGTACTAACAATATCGCATCAGAGATGAGATCCTCTTAGAACAGCTGCTTCAAACATAAGGCAAAAAATTTCGGACAGAACTGTTGCAGCAACTTAATATATGGATAGTAAATTCTTTCTTATAATGTTTTGACAGGGCCGGGCGGAGCCTTGTCGCCCGAGCCTGCCCTTGCTGATATATAATGTTGTCACCAAAAATGCGGGAATCTCCAACTATAGCTAAGAAGCTAGCCAACTCAGATCTTTCTCCTCAACTCGTCTGCGCTTCCACTTGTCCCCCTTCCCCTACCAGGCGCTCTTTTCCATTTCGGTTGCTTCACACCTTAGACCCTCTGTCTCATTAGGAGTGACTGAGGCTCGTGCTGCTCGGGTCCGGCCGTCTCGCCTGTGCTCTGCATTTTTTTAGGAGAGTGCTCTTTGATTTTGCCACCTTAGCTAGCGATTGAAGGCAGCGTCCCGGCTAAAATATGGGTGCCGGGTTTTTGTGGCGATGTTAAAGTAGACCCCCTACCTAAGCGATCACTGAAGTTTGGAGCGAAAGAGGGGGTCTACCAAGGCTGCGATTTGCTCCAAAAGTGGCCCGAATCTTACGGTAGACCCGGACGCCGCCCACACAGCAATATCGATTTGCAAGGCCAGAGCGCGTATAGCGCACACAGTCATGAGCGCAGGGTCCCGCAACGACTCTGAGTCTCTATCTTGCATGCACCTCGCACTCGCCCGAGCCCACCGTAAGATTCGGTCACTTGAGGGGCGATTTGTAGACCTTGTAGACCCCCTTCGCACTGCAAACTTCTGTGTCGTTTAGTTAGGGGGTCTACTATTACATTACTACCAGGGCTAGGTAGCCCAGTCTGGTGTGACGCTGCTTTTAAGCTCGTCCTACACATTCAGATATGAAACTTGTGTGCTGAGGCCGGATTTGATCCCCGGCCTCAGCACCCCCTGCCAATCAATTCGCGCGCCAAAACCCAAGTATTTTAGGCGGCGCACAGTGATCGACTTTGGATCTTCTCAATCGACCATTTCTTCGTCGACCGTGGACTCATACTTTGCTGTCTCCTTATATTGCATAACTCCGAAGTATACTGGTACATATACTCTTTGTTCTCATGATTTACATTCACACTTGCACATATTTTTTGGTTCATTGGTTCCATAGGTGCGATGGGGTGAGCAGGGTCTTTCCAAAGTGAAGGGTGTCCCAGCTGATTTTGACCCCCAAAAGTGAAGGGTGTCGACCGGGGGGGGGGGGAGAATTGTAAAAATTTAAGACGTCGACCGGGGGGGGGGGAATTTTCTTCCAAAAAATTTTTTTAATAATTTCTGTAATTAATAGAATTTTGTATACATAATTTCTGCTGAGATTGCATAATTGATTTTTGTATTTTTTTTATTTGTATATATTATATTATAGTAAAGATATATTGTATTTTTAGTTTATTTTTCATATAATTTTGTAATTTAAACTTTAATTTAAACTTATGTGATATAAAAAATACAATTTCAGGGAAATTATGGAACGCAGAATTTAATGAACATAGTTGCGACAGAACAATACAATGGACAATGGTCAATAACAAATATTCAACAGCTTATGGCGCTGATGGACAGCTTTTTTGGCATTTACACCTGTAGATAATGTGCTATGATTGTGATTTATTGTCGCAAATAAATTTATTGCGGTATATGGAGTGCAATAAACGAATTAAATGTTTAATTGTGCCGTTTGAAGCATTATAATTGTTGTAGTAATGAGATTAGTGTAGTTTGAGTCAAAGCAGTCTTTAACTGAGCTTTTCCATACAAGATGCAGAAAAAAATGGATCCTGAAGTGAATTTTTTGTCAATTAGGTTGCAAAAAAAATTAGGAAATTCAAAGTGTAATCATTGTTGCACATGAGTATGAACCTGGAAGATAACCGTCTAGGGGGATTGCACTCATGAAGAGCTTCCGATTGATATGTAGTATGCTGGCCTGGAACGACGTCGCCATGGAATCATCACTTTGCTAAAATTTAAAAAATCAAGATTTTCAAAATTATGTAACTCTTGTAAACAACACTGTATGTCGATGGGAAGGGTGTATATGGATTGCACTCATCAGAGCTTCCGATTGATATGTTAGTATGCTGGCCTGGAACGACGTCGCTATGAATCATCAGTCTGCTGAAATGTAAAAAGTTGGATGAATTAAGGTTTTCAAAATTAAATAACTCTTGAAAATGATAACGAGTCTCGATGGGAAGGGTGTCTGTGGAATGTACTCATTATAAGCTTTCGATTGGTATACAAGAAGTTGGCATGAATGGAGTTCTTTATAGAAAAATCGTGCCTCAAAAAGACAAAATATCACGGTGCAAAAAAATCGATTTTTTAAAAATAACTTTTGTATAAGTGAATGAATTAGGAAGGGAAGGGTGTAGGCGAACTGTACTCCTCAAGAGCTTTCGATTGATATATAATACATGGGGGGTTCATGCTGCTGGACTTCGGGAACAGGGGGTGAGCAAATTTGGCCGAAATGCTCAGCTCTCCTCACCTTATATCATTATCTCGCCGCTTGTAGGTGAGCATTTCGCCCGAATTTGCTCACCCCCTGTTCCCGAAGTCCAGCAGCATGAACCCCCCATGTATTATATATCAATCGAAAGCTCTTGAGGAGTACAGTTCGCCTACACCCTTCCCTTCCTAATTCATTCACTTATACAAAAGTTATTTTTAAAAAATCGATTTTTTGCACCGTGATATTTTGTCTTTTTGAGGCACGATTTTTCTATAAAGAACTCCATTCATGCCAACTTCTTGTATACCAATCGAAAGCTTATAATGAGTACATTCCACAGACACCCTTCCCATCGAGACTCGTTATCATTTTCAAGAGTTATTTAATTTTGAAAACCTTAATTCATCCAACTTTTTACATTTCAGCAGACTGATGATTCCATAGCGACGTCGTTCCAGGCCAGCATACTACATATCAATCGGAAGCTCTTGATGAGTGCAATCCATATACACCCTTCCCATCGACATACAGTGTTGTTTACAAGAGTTACATAATTTTGAAAATCTTGATTTTTTAAATTTTAGCAAAGTGATGATTCCATGGCGACGTCGTTCCAGGCCAGCATACTACATATCAATCGGAAGCTCTTCATGAGTGCAATCCTCCTAGACGGTTATCTTCCAGGTTCATACTCATGTGCAACAATGATTACACTTTGAATTTCCTAATTTTTTTTGCAACCTAATTGACAAAAAATTCACTTCAGGATCCATTTTTTTCTGCATCTTGTATGGAAAAGCTCAGTTAAAGACTGCTGACTCAAACTACACTAATCTCATTACTACAACAATTATAATGCTTCAAACGGCACAATTAAACATTTAATTCGTTTATTGCACTCCATATACCGCAATAAATTTATTTGCGACAATAAATCACAATCATAGCACATTATCTACAGGTGTAAATGCCAAATAAGCTGTCCATCAGCGCCATAAGCTGTTGAATATTTGCTATTGACCATTGTCCATGTATTGTTCTGTCGCAACTATGTTCATTAAATTCTGCGTTCCATAATTTCCCTGAAATTGTATTTTTTATATCACATAAGTTTTTATTTTCGCATGCACTACTTCCTCACCTGAAATTTTTTTTTCCTCAGTCCCAGGTGAAGGGGGGGGGGGGGTAGCCCGGCCTCGAAAGTGAAGGGGGGGTGAGCATTTGCTCACCCCATCGCACCTATGATTGGTTCCAGTTTATCATTTGCAACTATTTACTGTTTCCATAATACTCAATAGTGTTCATGTGTTATTTGTTGTGTTCATTTGCTAATTTTCCTCGTGCACTCAGGTCTTTGTGCCTCATTCTCAACGTGAAGTGGTGCTTATCCGTTTACTGGTATTCATCATGATACTCAAAGTTCGATTAAAGTTGCATTACGCCTCGTATTTTGTTTCGCATGTTTGTTGGTGTTGAATTAATGGTAAATAAAGGGTTTAATAACCCAAGTTTGAGGTGTGTCCACGGCGATTGCGATCCGCGACTATTTCAAGCCGATCTGTTATTCCTAGTTCTGTTATTCGTTCACTGTTCATTCAGCGTTTTCGCCCCAAGCTCAAAAAGACCCGCGTGGCAACGAAGCGCTCAAACATCCGAAGCCCCAGTTCCACGAAGCCGGTGAAAGGTGGGATTTCAGTAATCCTTTCACTTTTTCTTTTCTCTTCTTTCCGAGTTTTTTTGGTCAATTTCGAGTACGGGGTCCCCCTCGCTCTCCCCCCTTAGTACCCGGGACCCAACTCAACTTGACACCCGAGGAGCACTAACCCCATCACTTTCAATGAGACATAGGATAACATACTGTTGTGCACACTGAAGTACTAAATTCTGACACGTTCCATGCGGCATTTACAATCTTCTGTTCTTCGTATCTTCAAAAATTTCATTTCTTCTGTTCTAGCTAAACAGAATGATATCACATTGCTCAGTGGTTGTCTATTATACTAATATTGCCAATAATGCTTCCCTTCTTTCATTCCAGGAGCTCTTGGTACGCCGATAAAATCGAGCAAGCCGCTAATAAAGCCACCAAAGGATTGAGGAGTTCTAAAACAAGACATTTCACGCACTAGGAACTGATAGATAAATACATTCTGTTTTGTGTGAACTTACACATCGTCTTCTTGTCCTGTTGCTGGCACACTTTGTGCTTCTGCTGTTGTCGAAACATTTCGTTTCTGTCCTGCAGCTGATTGCACAATCATGAACGGGCCAAGAAGCACAAACAAGAAGTGAAACAGTTGCATTTTGAAAGAGCATTGTAAAGCGAAGCTTTTATATCAATAATGTAGTAATGTTCTTTGAAAGCTTATTGAAAGTCTTCCTTGTTAAATTGTGCAGCTTGAACAATGTGATGATCAATCAATGATGAAAGCTTTCACTATGCAAATTCAAGTGTATGAAAAGTGTATGAAGATGAACGCATACTCAGGCCCGGCCCGCAAGATTTTTTCTAGCTTGAAAATCTGCAAGTCTTGACTTCAACTCAAAAAAGTAGATTTTTTACGAAAGTGATGGCAAGAAGAGGTACTTACCTAGGTATTACGTCAGTCCGAAAGTCCTTACTGTCTTTGGGACTTCTATGAAAACGGGTTGAATAAAGACAATCAAGCAATTATACTATTTGGCGCAGCTTTTCTTTTCTTTTGAGCACGCTTGTAGGCTAGTTAGTTTCTTGTGGTCACTGAGATAATCAGCGAAAATGCACACCACATTTTTTACTCCTTACTTTATTAATTCAAAAGTTTCCAAATTTGTTGCTGCAATCAAGTTGGTCAAATAGAACCTCATGAAACATCGCCCACGACGCAACTTTTTCTCCTCTTTCTGTGTTCATTTTCTTCCCACATCGCAAAGGTTTCGCAGGCAATTGATATTCTGATGTTTTTCAACGCTCCAGCCTGTTTTCGGGATTTCGAGATTTGTTATTTCGAACTCATGAACGTTCATTTGCCTTATAAAATTATGTTCAACACCGGCTTACCTGGCTCCGCTCGGCCCTGTCAAAACACTGTGATAAAGATCTCATCCCTATCCTTGTACAGTCTTTCGCTGTGCCCACTTCTACACTTCATTTCCCGTTCCCTGTGTTGTTTTCGAAATCAGCATGCCCACTTACCCCCCTGTGCCAGTTCCCCATCCCGTAGGTGAACTCTGCAAAAAATCGAAAAAATCGATAAAATCGTACCGATCGATAACGAAAAGAAGCCTATGACACGCTCCCCGCCCCGAAGTATATGTGTGCCAAGTTTGATCCAGATCGATTCAGAATTAAAAAATTTTATTCCGCACATACGTACAGACAGACAGACAAACAGACATTCAACTTTATATGTAAGATTACAAGTGGTTTTTGAAGTCTTTAAATTTCAAAGAAATACCAGTGTTTGTAGCTTTCGTGTATCTTACGACCTCAAAAAAGTTAAGAATTAAAAAGTGTAGAATGAAAATTTCAAAGTTGCAAGCGGAGGTGATAAACCATAGGTTCGCTCGGCCATTATTTCAGTGACCACAAGAGCAATTAACATGAATGCTAAAAGAGAAAGAAAAACCTCGTCAAGGTATGTTCAGGTTTGCCTATCATTATTCCAAGTGTTTTTATGACAGGTCTGAAAGCGACACGAACTTTCGGACTGACCTAGTGCATTTGCTTTCTCAAGGTTTGCTCTCATTTATAGAACCTTGCCCAAACATGTGGTTTGCATCAACTTCATCTATTCGGGAGACAATGCAAACATTTGATGGGTGACCGGTTTGAACTGTATTTTGCTTGGGATAATTCCGTGAGGGCCGCCATCGCTAGCTACTCGCGGCTTCTGCTCAGGATAAAACAAGGGAACAGGGTCAACCGTGTTGTTGCGCGGACCTTGTCTTACACCCCCATTTAGAAGTAACCATCCGCATGATCCTTCCCCCCCCCCCCTCTCCCTTACTTCTCCACGCTTTTCCGGTAGCTTGCATTAACGAATGCCAGATCACCTCAAAGGATGGCAACGGACCTTGATTAGAAAGCATGCTTTGAAAGAAAAGAAATCTACTTATATATTAGAAAATAATGCAAGTAATGCTTGCATTATTAGAGAAAATGCAGCGTGCGTACATTTCGTTCATGTCATGCGGGAGTCATGGTCCATGACTCATGGACCGTTTCGGAGTGGCATGCTTGAGCGCAAACTCGTCCGACCACAAACTCCTCACCTTTGCACCGCCCTGTTCAAAGCCTGGCCAATCATAGCCGTAGCGCTGAACAATCAGGGGCGCATCTGATAGCGTTCTAAAAATGCCGTTTTTCACGCACCCGGGGTGAGGCACCTACTGACTGATGAGATGGAGGATATAAACTGCTGCGCACAGCTACGCGACTTAATTCCAGTTCAATCCTAAATGACATCTGCAATTATGCATTCGTCATCTTTAAAATACCTCAGTTCTTCTTTTTAGCTTATTCCAAAATTTTATATTTCTTCTGTTCTAGCTCAACAGAATGATGTCACATTTCAATACTAGCTCACTAGTATCCCTGTGGATAGTATCCTTGTGGTTGTTGGTAATATCCTTGTGGTTGTTGGTAATATCCTTGTGGTTGTTGGTAATATCCTTGTGGTTGTTGGTAGTATCCTTGACCATATCCAGATCCATATGATCCTCCAGATGGCATAGGCATATAGTTGAAAGACACCGGTGGCACGGCTGGTAAATCGAAGATTATCTCATTTTCACTTACAAAAAACCTCACCTCCAAGTGCTCTTCCAAAGAATTTCCCAACACCTTTAACACCTTGCCAAATACCTCTACCAAGTCCTCTTACAAAGCCTCCGAAACCTTGAGGAACGCTGAAATAGAAAATCCCAATGCAGTAGGGACCAATAATATTGCATTCCGTCCCGTGTCAACTTACATTTCGTCTCCTTCTTCTATCGCTGAGACATTTTGTTGTTGTCCCGTTGCCAAAATATTTTGTCCTTGTCCTATGGTCGAGATATTTTGTTCTTGTACTATTGTCGAAACGTTTTGTTCTTGTCCTGTAGCACCTTGCACAAGCATGAGAGGGCATAGAAGCACGAACAAAAACTGAAGTAGCTGCATGTTTGATGAGCAATTATAATGCGGAGCTTTTATATAGAGACTGAAGTAACGGTTTTCAAAATCTTAGTGAAAATCTTCTCTCTTAAAATGTGCAGTGGTCGATTTATGTGTTAATGGAAAACTGTCACTATTGAATTGCTAAACCTTTTAAAAATAGAATTGATCAAAAACGATTGACATATCTATAGATTGTGATAGTGAAGACTTTGCATATAACCTTCTACGCATGTAAGTTCACAATCTATGAAAACGAGATAGCACCTTCGAAAATAGGTTGGTCCGGAAGTTTATAATTTTTTTGGGGATTGTTATGAAAATGGGTGGAATAAAAACAAGCAGACGCTTCAAACACTATTCGCGCAGCTTTTTTTCTTCTTTTGAACAGTCACGCTTAAAGACTAGTCTTTTGTGATTCAGCGAAAAAAGAAAGGAAGATTCACACAAGGCTTTTACTTACTAATTTTCAAATTTCTCCCATTTTTTGATTCAATCAGGTATATTTGATCAACTCAAACCTAATGAAACATCACCGACGATGCAACTTTTTCTCCTCTTTCTGTGTTCATTTTCTTCCCACATCGCAAAGGTTTCGCAGACAATTAATATTCTGATGTTTTACAACGCTCCAGCCTGTTGTCAGAAAACTTCGAGATTTGATATTTCGAACTCATGATTTACAAAATTATGTTCAACCACAAATGGTTTTCAAAGTTTCCAACTTCCAAAGAAGTATTAATGTTTGAAGCTTTCGTGTATCTTACGACCTCAAAAACGTGAAGAATTCAAAAAGTTTAGAATGAAAATTTCAAAATTGCAAGTGAGATGATAAACCATAGGTTCACTCGGCCATTATTTCAGTGATCAAAAGAGAAACTGGAATGAATGCTGAAAGTGAAATGTAAACCTGTCAAATTTTGTTCAGGTTTGCCTATCATTATTCTCACAAGGGAAGGATAAAGGATACTTGGTGAGCGTGGCCTTTTGCAGTGAGATGTACACCAGTAGATGCATCTTGAAACGCTGTTTCCAAATCTATGTGCTCCTCCATATCTGCTGTGCGACTCTCTGAAGTAGTTAGGAATTTCCATATTAATTCCACGAGATCTATTCAATCAAAATCGTCAGTGCAAAAGGTTGAACGAGGTTTGGATTAATGTCAGTAGATCAGCAGGGTTTGATGATAATTTCGTGAAGAGACTGAAAGTAAACAATCCAAACTGTCCCGTATTTTATCACTTGCTGAAAACCCATAAAGTAGCGGCTCACGAGACCAGCTCCATGTCGCCCGAAACGTACAAGATTCGCCCCATTATAAGCAGCGTAGGTGGTCCCACCGACCGAATATCGTGGTTTTTAAACAAAATCTTAAGCCAGTTGCTCACAAAGGTTCCAGCGCACTTGTCTAACACACGTCAATTCATTGAGCAGCTACAACAGCTAAAACATGAGCCAAACAGTGTCATCGAATCGTTTGATGTAACATCTCTATACACTAACGTCCATGTTGATGCTGCTTTACAGGCGCTCTCGGAAATGTTGGACAAGTACTACTCTAACATCACACCTTTGTTTTGAGCATAAATTGCATAGTGGTTCTAGTCAGAGAATGCCTCAAGTGTGACATATTTAAATGGTCCGGAAATTACTACTCTCAAGTCAGAGGACTCGCAATGGGCCATAGACTTGCTCCAGTCATCGCAATATGTTACCTGAGTAAGATCGAAGAACCAGTACTCGCACGCTTACCAATGATGTACTGCCGATACATCAATGATTGCTGTATCGTAACCCCGACACAATCCGAAATGCATGAGTGTTTTCGAATTTTGAATCAGCAATCACAGTACATCCGGCTTACACGTGAAAAACCTTGCGGTGGATGGCTTTCCTTTTTGAATACACAGGTCAGCTTATGTGACAATACCGTTCGCATAAAATGGTACAGAAAGGAAAGCTCTAGAAACATCCTCTTACACGCTACGTCAGCTCACCCCTCAGCAGTTAAACATGCTGTTATACATAACATGTTCAAAACTGCTATCGAAATGTGTACAGGCGATGACGAGCGACGAGAGTCACGACAATTGGCAGCTGACATTGCACTCAGTAATGGCTATATGCTTGGAACAGGACGATCACGTAAAAGACACAGTCTAACTATTGTGAATGTGTTAGCCTTACGGAGCGCAACAAGAACAACAAAATTCCTTAGACTTGTGTCTTGTGTCTTGTTAGACTGTGTCTTTTACGTGATCGTCCTGTTCCAAGCATATAGCCATTACTGAGTGCAATGTCAGCTGCCAGTGCATACCCTTTGTTTCCGATAGAACAGCCAGGCCATAAGACAATGCATTCTGCGAGCACAGTTGCAAAATGAAGTCATGCTGATTGACATTCCTAGCGATAATATCAAAAGGCGGTTGGTCAGAAATAGAGTTTACGATGTTGAAAGTGTATCAAAGAACTGCATAGTCTGTCCTAACGGGAAAATTGGGGACTGCGCCAAATCCGGAACTATCTACCAATTAGAATGCTTGAGTTGCAGAACAGCGTACATTGGAGAGACGGGTAGACCTCTAAGTATTAGAGTGAACGAGCATTTGGCCAACAAGAGGCGAGGAAATCTATTGTCTCCGTTAGGCAAGCTTAAATTTGAAGAGCGCGGCGGCAATGATTTTGGCGTTAAATGTGTCATCCTAGCGTTTGAGACTGACATTCAAGCACGAAAAACCCTTGAAACGGCGTGGCTATACTCTCGCAATCCGAGTATGAACAACAGAAATGAATGTCTCACGATAACGAGTGATGTACTACAACTGATATCGTTGTGTGAGCTCGATACCGCACACTATAAGTAGCACGACTCACTGGGCACAACTCAGTGATGTCCGTCATACTGATCTAGTGCGGACTATTGACTCTTTGGTGGACCGAAGGTTCGTTTGCCATCGTTTGATGTTCCCCTTACGTTGCGTCTGAGAGAACGTCAAGCGAAGCAGACTCAGACGAGATGTTTGGCGGCACAGTACAACGAGTACGTAAACTACAATCCTTTTCAGACCTCCGACGATGACGAGTTGTTCGAAACGTTAGGTCGATAAAGATCCACCATACCAACCTGTGTGGCATAAGAAATATTAGAACATTAAACTTAAAATCGTCAGTATCCAAACCTTCTAAAATATCGGAGAATGCTTTCCTGGACTTAACGTAAAGCTTTGTTTTATTTGGGAGGTTTTTTTTGTAGCGCATAAATGAATATTCTAACGATATTGGTGAATCCTGTCATCAAACAGTGCAAATTTTGGTGGCAAAATGTTCATAACTTCTTTCGGAAGAGCGCGCAGCAGATATCGAAAGCAGATTTGGAAAATTAGCACTCTAAGGTGCATTTAGTAATAACGTTAAATTCTCAAATTTAATAATATACGTTTCATTCCAAAACTCCACGGTCACCAAGTATCCTTCCCTTGTGAGTGTTTTTATGACAGGCCTGAAAGCCGCACGAACTTTCGTACCGACCTAATGCAATTGCTTTCTCAAAATTTGCTCTCATTTATAGAACCTTGCTCGAACATGTAGTATGCATTAGTATGCATCAACTTTATCTTTTCGGGAGACAATACAAACATTTGATAGGTGACGGGTTTGAACTGTATTTCGATTGGGGTAATTCCATGAGGGCCGCCTTCTCTAGCTGCTCGCGGCTTCTACTGAGCATAAAACAAGGGAACAGGGTGTGTTGTTGCGCTGGACCTTGTCTTATACCCCCATCTAGAAACCATCCGCATGAACGTTCCCCCCCCTCTCCCCCTCACTTCTCGACGCTTTTCCGATAGCTTGCATTAACAAATGCCAGATCACTTCAAAGGATGCCAATGGACTTTAATCGGAAAGCATGTTTCAAAAGAAAAGAAATATACTTATATATTAGGAAATAATGCAAGTAATGCTTGATTGCATAAAAAGCTCTCAAAATAAATCGTAGATTGTATAAGTAGGGAACTCCCATACTAGGTTGTTCCGAAAGTTCTGTCCGATTTCTAGTTGCCCCGTTTCAAAGCAGCTAGTTTCTTGGAGTTTTGTATACTTGTTGCAAATATATGAATTATCTGAAAGCATTTTTCTTGCTCTTTCTAGTACTCACTAATGCTTGACAAAACAACTTTTTAGTGATAATCCAAGCCACGAAGTCAAGTTTCCAAAATGCAATCATACTCAAGAGAAAGATTCTATAACAGAATGCCGTAATATTGTAAAATTAAATATGTAATATTTCATAATGGTCAGGGTGTAATGGGCTAACATATGCACACTTCACCTACAACAAAGCGAACGTCTTACTTTTTCAATTTTTTCTCAAAGGTGGAAGACAGACTTAGTTATTCAAAAAGCAACAACAATCTACGTATAGGGAACGGTGGTGCAAGCATTAATGCATTTCATATGGTAGAGGAGCAAGCCGAGACCATCGGCCAGTCAGATTACTTCGTTCGCGACAGCAAGAAAAAATCAAATATTAGAAAGTCGACCTACTTGCACGCGCGGAGGAGGGCTCAAATAATGGATTTTTTGAATTGCTCGTAAAAATTTCTGTGCAGCAAAGATAGCTCGATTTCTCTTTAGCCATGAAAGTACCTTTGAAGTATAAGCTACTTAATGGTAACAGCCAAATATGTCCGCGTGTCCTCATATGGAAGCATTAATACGCCAAAGTGGATGGTTTTGAAGAAAACTTTGCAAAATTCTCCGATTTTCACTTCTTTCTCTTTTGCTTTCTTCAAATGGCATATGTGCTTGTGATAGATGTAACCTCGCCTAATCCAACAAATTTTGATTTGTGCAGAAATGTTGTTTTTGAAGAGAGTTATATTTTAATCAGAAAATTTGCATATGGACAGAACTTTTGGGACAATCTAATACTTGGCTGTACTGTAGTTGGGAAAAGATGGATGGTTTTGACAAAGGAGGATAAAAATTTTAGTTTGACACCGGCTTTTAAACTGTAACCTACCTGGACGCTGAAGACTTAAACAAATTCAGGAATGCAGAACAATACTTGAATCGCTGTAATTCATGGTGATTTATTTTGTGATGTCAGAGAAAAAATTCTCCTACGATTCATGAGTGTTTGGCATAACTCATTCTTGTTTAAGTGAGTGTATTAGTTCTGGATAAGAGCGCTTTAGACTATAATGATAATACGAAAGAGCCCGAAATTCTCAGGATGTAAAGTAGGAGGATGAAGCAGTAATAGGCGAAATTGCAGCGAAGAAGCTTTCGCATGCAGAGAAAATGCAGCGTGCGTACATTTCGTTCATGTCATGCGGCAGTCATGGTCCATGACTCCTGGACCGTTTCTGAGTGGCATGGTTGAGCGCAAACTCGTCCGACTGCTCACCTTTGCACCGCCGTGTTCAAAGCCTGGCCAATCATAGCCGTAGCGCTGACCAATCAGAAGCGCACCTGATAGCGTTCTAAAAATGCCGTTTTTCACGCACCCGGGGTGAGGCGCCTACTGACTGATGAGATGGAGGGTATAAACTGCTGCGCACAGCTACGCACAGGCTTAATTCCAGTGCAATCCTAAATGACATCTGCAATTATGCATTCCTCATCTTTAGAATATCTCATTTCTTCTTTCTAACTTATTCCAAAATTTTATACTTCTTCTGTTCTAGCTCAACAGAATGATATCACATCAGTACTAGCTCATTAGTATCCGTATCCTTGTGGATAGTACCCTTGCTGTGGATATCCTTGCTGTGGATAGTATCCTTGCTGTGGATATCCTTGACCATATCCAGATCCATATGATCCTCCAGATGTCATAGGCATATAGTTGATATTCACTGGTGGCAATGCTGGGAAATCGAAGATTATCTCATTTTACTTACACTGAAAACCTCACCTCCAAGTGTTCCTTGAATTAAACGCCCAGCACCTTTGAAACCTTGCACAATACCTCTACCAAGTCCTCTGAAAAAGCCTCCCAAACCTTGAGGAACGCTGAAATAGAAAATCTCAACGCTGTAGGGACCAACAATATTGCGTTCCGTTCCGTGTCAACTTACATTTCGTCTCCGTCTTCTATCGCTGAGACATTTTGTTGTTGTCCCGTTGCCGAAATATTTTGCACTTGTCCTATTGTCGAAATATTTTGTCCTTGTCCTATTGTCGAAATATTTTGTTCTTGTATTATTGTCGAAACATTTTGTTCTTGTCCTGTAGCATCCTGCACAAGCATGAGAGGGCATAGAAGCACGAAGAAAAACTGAAGTAGCTGCATGTTTGAAGAGCATTATAATACGGAGCTTTTATATTGAGACTGAAGTAATGGTTTTAAAAAGCTTAGTGAAAGTCTTCTCTGTTAAAATGTGCAGTGGTCGATCTATGTGTTAATGGGAAGCTGTCACTATCAAATCACTAAGCCTTTTTGAAACAAATAAAACTGAGCAAAACGATTGACACATTTATAGATTGTGCCATGAAGACCCTGCACACAATCTTCTATATATGTAAGTTCACAGTCTACGAAAACGAGATACGCAGATCTTTCGAAAATAGGTTGGTCCGGAAGTTTATAATTTTTTTGGGAATTGTTATAAAAGTGGGTGGAATAAAAACAAGCAGACGCTTCAAACACTATTCGCTTTCCTTCTTCTTTTGAGCAGTCACGCTTAGAGACTAGTCTTGTGATCAGCGAAATAAGAGAGGAAGATTCACACCAGGCTTTTACTTACTAATTTTTGAATTTCTCCCATTTTATGATACAATCAGGTATATTTGATCAACTCAAACCTAATGAAACATCACCGACGATGCAACTTTTAAATTTTGATGTTTTACAACGCTTCAGCCTGTTGTCAGAAAACTTCGAGATTTGATACTTCGAACTCATGATTTATAAAACTGTTCAACCACAAGTGGTTTTTGAAGTTTCCAACTTCCGAAGAAGTATTAATGTTTGAAGCTTTCGTGTATCTTACGGCCCCAAAAACGTGAAGAATTCAAGAAGTGTAGAATGAAAATTTCAAAATTGCAAGTGGAGATGATAAACCATAGGTTCACTCGGCCATTATTTCAGTGACCACAAGAGAGACTAAAACTAATGATGAAAGTGAAATAAAAACGTCGTCAAATTTTGTTCAGGGGTTTGCCTATCATTATTCTCACAAGGGAAGGATACTTGGTGACCGTGGCCTTTTGCGGTGATATGTACACCAGTAGATGCACCTTGAAACACTGATTCCAAATCTATGTGCTCCATACCTGCTGTGCGACTCTCTGAACGTAGTTATGGATTTCCATATTAATTTCGCGAGATCTATCCAGTCAAAATCGTCAGTATCCGGACCAAATTCTAATATATCGGAGAATGTTTTCCTGGACTTAACGTAAAGCTTTGTTTTGTTTGGAGGTTTTTTGCAGCGCATAATTGAATATTCTAACGATATTGGTAAATCCTGTCATCAAACAGTGCAAATTTTGGTGGCAAAATGTTCATAATTTCTTTCGGAAGAGCGCGCAGCAGATATCGAAAGCAGATTTGGAAAATTAGCAATTAAGGTGCATTTAGTAATAACGTTAAATCTCAAATTTAATAATATACGTTTCATTCCAAAACTCCATGGTCACCAAGTATCCTTTCCTTGTGTGTTTTTATGACAGGCCTGAAAGCCGCACGAACTTTCGTACCGACCTAATACAATTGCTTTCTCAAAATTTGCTCTCATTTAGAACCTTGCTCGAACATGTAGTATGCATAAGTATGCATCAGCTTTATCTTTTCGGAGACAATATAAACATTTGAGTGACCGGTTTGAAATGTATTTTGATTGGGGTAATTCCATGAGGGCCGCCTTTCTAGCTACTCGCGGCTTCTGCTGAGCATAAAGCAAGGGAACAGGGTGTGTTGCTGCGCTGGACCTTGTCTTAAACCCCCATTTAGAAACCATCCGCATGATCCTCCCCCCCCCCTCTCCCCTCACTTCTCGACGCTTTTCCGATAGCTTGCATTAACAAATGCCAGATCACCTCAAAGGATACCAATGGACCTTAATTAGAAAGCATGCTTTGAAAGAAAGAAAATCTACTTATATATTTTAGGAAATAATGCAAGTAATGCTTGATTGCATAAAAAGCTCTCAAAATAAATCGGGTACTTTTCCGTTATGCGGACCCATTTTTTCAAAAAAGGATACTGCTTCTTTCCTTGCACCATAGTTCCCAACTTCGTAGGAAAGAGTGTCAACCTTCTGCCACGTGTCAAAAAAACTTGACATGCCATGTATATGTTTGACAAGTTTTACCAAGAGTTCGTGTTGCTCTACCTAGCAACATAAGTACAATAATGACCTTTTTTGGTCAATAATGACCCTCTTTTCGAATGAACATTTTCAAAAAAGACATTGTTATAATAATAACGTCGCCCTCTTATCAACGAACATACTATACATGCCCAGATTAGAGAAGTGCGCTAGGGTTCCATCATGTAAGCTGTGAAAAGCAGCACCAATGTACTATTAGGTTGTCCGGAAATTAACGTCCGTTTTGAATTTCAACCGCAACAAGTCATACTCTTTTCATTCCTGAATAGCTTCCAAGGTACCATTCGATAGAGCAAAGCAAGCTCTACAAGATGGCTATCTCGCTTTAACAGCAGCTCTGGACCTCGAGTTTCGAGCCAAAAACTAAAAAGATTCAACTGCCCGAAAAATCAAGAAAAATCATAACTCAGTTCATAAGAATCCTGCAAAAATTCTAACCTGCTCATTTGAATAGCATCCACATAAGACATATATGTACGCTATTGAAGTATTTCTTCCTTTGTTAGAAGTCAAAAAAACGAAAATGTTCATGCTTTTGCCAAAGTGATGCTGTGTCGTTCCCACATAAGTGTGTACTACAAATTTGTAGAGTACAAACGTAAATTTTCAGCTCTCTACAAGCTTTAGTTCTCGAGAAATTTGAATTTTAGTTTGCACCACCTGACTAATGAAAGCTACATTCGATATTTCTCGAGAACTAAAGCTTGTAAAGAGCTGAAAATTTACGTTTGACTTCTACAGATTTGTAGTACACATCTACTTATGTGGGAACGACACAGCATCACTTTGGCAAAAGCATGAACATTTTCGTTTTTTCAACTTCTAACAGAGGAAAAAATGCGGCAATAGCGTACATATATGTCTTATGTGGATAGGTTTAAGTGAGCAAATTAGAATTTTTGCAGGATTCTTATGAACTGAGTTATGATTTTTCTTGATTTTTCGGGCAGTTGAATCTTTTTTAGTTTTTGGCTCGCTCGAGGTGGATCAGAGCTGTTGTTAAAGCATCTTGTAGAGCTTGCTTTGCTCTATCGAATGGTACCTTGAAAACTATTCAGGAATGAAAAGAGTATGACTTGTTGCGGTTGAAAATCAAAACGGACATTAATTTCCGGACAACCTATACTTCAAGCCACATTTGTAGACGTTTCTGGCTAAACTTGCATGGCGGAAAGTTTGAAGAGAAATACATTTTCGAATCATTGCTAGAAGCAATCAAGATATTCTAGTAATGGTTCTAGATCGTTTTGCTCTTATTTAAATCAGCTGGACAGCTTTTGAGTGGTTACAAATGCTCTTTTACCTCACCGGAAATGATTTAGAATAAACATGTCAAAGTGGACTAAAACGTGTCAATTTTTTCCTGTCACGTGGCGGGGAGGCAGTCTTCGTAGAATCTATGAGAATTTGTGCTTGGACTACAGAACCTATTTTATAAGAGCTTTTTGAAAAAATGGGTCCGGATAAGGGAGAAGTACCATAAATCGTAGATTGTATAAGTAGGGAGCTCCCATACTAGGTTGTTCCGAAAGTTCTCTCCGATTTCTAGTTGCCCCGTTTCAACGCAGCTTTTTTCTTGGAGTTTTGTATACTTGTTGCAAACATATGAATATCATCTGAAAACATTTTTCTTGCTTTTTTAGTGCTCACTAATGCTTGACAAAACATGTTTTCAGTGATAATTCAAGCCGCGAAGTCAAGTTTCCAAAAAATTATGCTCAAGAGAAACTTTCTGAACAGAATGCCGTAATATTGTAAAATTAAAGGCTGCTGCATGACGAAGGCGCAATGGCGATATTAGTTGAGCGGGCGCAAGCGCGACGCGCGCGTATCCTCACCGTTGTACCCTCGATATCATCCCATATGTCTTCCCTCAACATGACGTGGATTACGTGGCTTGATGAGGCGCCGCCTCGCCTCGGGCTCGCGCCACGTTGCGAGCGCATCATTTGGCGCGACGTGGCGCTCAACACAACGTGGCGCAGGCTTTTCCACGTTCTTCTTGTTGCCACATCACGCCGAAAATGCGCACGCAATGTGGCGCAAGCCCGAGGCGAGGCGGCGCCTCATCAAGCCACGTAATCCACGTCATGTTGAGGGAAGACATATGGGATGATATCGAGGGTAGATTCCGCAGCCCATGCGCTCTGCGGCTAATAAAGCCGCGTTCGCGCCCGAAGATATTGCGTCTTCGTCATGCAGCAGCCTATAAATATGTAATATTTTATAATGGTCAGGGTGTAAGGGCTAACATATGCACACTTCACCTACAATAAAGCGAACGTCTTGCTTTTCAATTTTTTCTCAAACGTGGAAGACAGACTTAGTTGTTTAAAAAGCAACAACAATCTACGTATAGGGAACGGTGGTGCAAGCATTAATGCATTTGATATAGCAGAGGAGCAAGCCGGGACCATCGGCCAGTCAGATTTCACTTCGTTCGCGACAGCAAGAAAAAATCAAATATTAGAAAGTCGACCTACTTGCACGCGCGGAGGAGGGCTCAAATAATGAATTTTTTGATTTGCCCGTAAAAATTTCTGTGCAGCAAAGATAGCCGATTTCTCTTTAGCCATGAAAGTACCTTTGAAGTATAAGCTACTTAATGGTAACAGCCAAATATATCCGCGTGTCCTCATATGGAAGCATTAATACGCCAAAGTGGTCTCCGAATTTTCACTTCTTCCTCTTTTGCTTTCTTCTCTTCAAATGGCATATGTGCTTGTGATAGATGTAACCTCGCCTAATCCAACAAATTTTAATTTGTGCAGAAATGTTGTTTTTGAAGAGAGTTATATTTTAATCAGAAAATTTGCATAGGGGCAGAACTTTTGGGACAATCTAATACTTGGATGTACTGTAGTTGGGAAAAGATGGATGGTTTTGACAAAGGAGGATAAAAATTTTAGTTTGATACCGGCTTTTAAACTGTAACTTACCTGGACGCTGAAGACTCAAACAATTCAGGAATGCAGAACAATACTTGAATCGCTGTAATTGATTTTATGGTGATTTATTTTGTGATGTCAGAGAAAAAATTCTCCTACGATTCGTGAGTGTTTGGCATAACTCATTCTTGTTTAAGTGAGTGTATTAGTTCTGGATAAGAGCGCTTTAGACTATAATGATAATACGAAAGAGCCCGAAATTCTCAGGATATAGAGTAGGAGGATGAAGCAGTAATAGGCGAAACTGCAGCGAAGAAGCTTTCGCATACAGAGAAAATGCAGCATGCGTACATCTCGTTCATGTCATGCAGGAGTCATAGTTTGTGACTTATAGACTGTTTCTGAGTGGTATGCTTGAGCGCGAACTCGTCCAACTCCTCGCCTTTGCACCGCCCTGTTCAAAGCCTGGCCAATCATAGCCGTAGCGCTGACCAATCAGAATCGCACCTGATAGCGTTTTAAGAATGCCGGTTTCACACAGCCGGGGTGGAGCACTGTTGCCTGATGAGATGGAGGATATATACTGGTGCGCACAGCTACGCGCTATACTTTGGAATATTCGAAATTTTTCTCGAATAATCGAATAATCGAATGTATTCGAAAATCAGAAATATCGAATAAACGAATTTCGAATATTTTCGAAAATAAAAAATGTCGAATATTCGAATATCGAATATTTTTCAAAATCAAAAATGTCGAATAATCGAATATCGAATATTTTCGAGATGAAAAAATGTCGAATAATCGAATATCGAATAAATTCGGAATGGAAAAATTGCGAATATTCGAATATATTCGAAAAAAAGTCTCGAATAAACGAATACTTTGTATAAACTATGTCGAATATTCAAACAAATCTAGTCGAATAGTACAAAAAAAAATCCCAGTAGTATAAAACTCAAAAAACAAGCAAGCTGATATATTTAAAATGTAATGCATATTTCTGAACTGTTGACAGATCCGGGTCTGCTCGGTCTACTTCCTCATAAGACTATAGAAGTCAACAATCTAATCCACTGTGAACACCGGTCTTCTGCCTCCACTCTTAAGTGCGCAAACCACTAAAGACAAGGGGCTCATTCACACCTACTTTCAACACCTAGTTTCGATCAAAGGCTGCAAAAACATCAAAATTAAGAGCGCGATTGTTGGTGTAGTTAGTACTATCTTTTTCCAACACCCAATTTCTCAGCAGCATGCCCACTCAAACTTGTGCACGAACTTTAGCTTCGAAGTCGAGTCCAAACAATGTTGTTCTTTTCTGGACGTTTACATACTAGGACCTTCTTTCAAACTCGAAAAGGAGTTCTCCAAGAGTGAAAGACAGACAGGTTCAAGCTCTCAAAACTTAATGATAAACTCGCGTACTTTTGGATGCCCTTACTGAGTAGTTCCTTCACGAAGATTCACTCCAATAAATTCCATGTAAAGAACTTCACAAATTTTACTTACTGGCAACTTGGGCAAACAGAATCAAACAACAAAGAAACAATTATTGCGTATCAAAAACATATGGGTCCTCTTCCTCCAGTTCTTCCGAGTCATCAGAGCATGATTCCTCCGATGTACTATGAGCTGCATTCGACTCGTAGTTGCATCCATAACGAAGGACTTCCTTTTGTGTCCAAGCTTTGCATGACCAATGAAAATAGAGAGAATGCAAACGGTCGAAAACGTGGAGAACTCCAGCAAATCACAGACATAGCGAGTTGGCAACAGCGCAGATTACGCAACCACATTCAACCTACAGTCATTCACGCGGAAACAGGGTGGTCGTGGCGAGATCGACTTAGCAATGGCGTGTAAATGCGAGAAAACACAATTGGAAGGGGGAAAGACACAAGAGGACACCAGCAAATAGAGCATATAGTTATTCGATTACATGAAAATGTCGAATAATCGAATAACTTCCGAAATTAAATATTCGAATGTTCGAATATATTCGAAAAACAAAATTTTCGAATAACCGAATAATCGAATAAATTCGAAAATGACAATTTTCGAATAAGCGAATATCGAATATATTCGAGATTTTAAATTTTTCGAATAATCGAATTTCGAATAAATTTTATTCGAATACTTTATTCGAATACTCGAATATTTATTCGATTCGGTCCAAAGTATACTACGCACAGACTTAATTTCAGTGCAATCCTATATGACATCTGCAATTATGCATTCTTCATCTTCAAAATATTTTATTTCTTCTTTCTAGCTTATTCCAGAATACTGTACCTCTTCTTCTGTTCTAGCTCAACAGAATGATATCACATTTCAGTACTAGCTCATTAGTATCCGTATCCTTGTGGATAGTATCCTTGCTGTTGATATCCTTGCTGTGGATAGTATCCTTGCTGTTGATATCCTTGCTGTGGATAGTATCCTGGTTGTTGGTAATATCCTTGACCATATCCAGATCCATATGATCCTCCAGATGGCATAGGCATATAGTTGATATTCACTGGTGGCAATGCTGGTAAATCGAAGATTATCTCATTTTCACTTACACCGAAAACCTCACATCCAAGTGCTCCTTGAAAGAAACGCCCAACACCTTTAACACCTCGCCAAATACCTCTACCAATTCCTTGCATAATGCTTCCGAAGCCTTGAGGAACGCTGAAATAGAAAATCCTAACGCAGTAAGGACCAATAATATTGCATTCCGTTCGTGTCAACTTGCATTTCGTCTCCTTCTTCTATCGCTGAGAACATTTCGTCTCCGTCTTCTATCGTTGAGACATTTTGTTGTTGTCCCGTTGCCGAAAAATTTTGTCCTTGTCCTATTGTCGAAATATTTTGTTCTTTTCCTATTGTCGAAACATTTTGTTCTTGTCCTTTAGCATCTTGCACAAGCATGAGAGGGCATAGAAGCACGAACAGAAACTGAAATAGCCGCATGTTTAAAGAGCATTAATACAATGCGGAGCTTTTATATCGAGACTGAAGTAATGGTTTTCAAAAGCTAAGTGAAAGTCTTCTCTCTTAAAATGTGCGGTGCTCGATCTATGTGTTAATGGGAAGCTGTCACTATTGAATTGCTAAACCTTTTTGAAGATAAAATTGATCAAAACGAGTTTTTGCATTATCCGCCAAGAAAATTTCAGACATTACAACAAAAAACGGCTCTTACGAATATCTAGCAAAATAATGGTGATTTTAATGGCACAGGAAAGAATAACGAGTTTGGAAGTTTGAAGGACTTGCGAAGCACAGATTTGATATAGTGACATATCTATAGATTGTGCCAGTGAAGACTTTGCACACAATCATCTACGTATGTAAGTTCACAATCTACGGAAACGAGATACGCGAATCCTTCGAAAACCGCATTTTGATTGAGTCCTTATTTCCCCCAAAATTAAATCATATAGACTCACTGCAGATTTTCCTGACTTAAACGTTTGCAGACTTGATTTTACTTTACCTTGACTTTAAATCAAAAAAATAATTTTCTTACAAAAATGATGTCAGGAAGAGGTAATTACGGATATTAAGTTGGTCCGAAAGACTCATAATTTTTTTGGATTATTATGAACGTGGATGGAATAAAAACAAGCTTCAAACACTATTTACGCAGCTTTTCAGCTTCTTCTTTTGAGCAGTCACGCTAGAGGCTAGTCTATTGTAATCAAAAAATAAGCGGGGAAGTTTCACGCAAGGCTTTTACTTACTAATTTTTCAAATTTCTCCCATTTTTTGATTCAATCAGGTATATTTGATCAACTCAATCCTAATAAAACATCACCGACGATGCAACTTTTTCTCCTCTTTCTGTGTTCTCTTCCCACATCGCCAATTTTCGGAAACAAAACTAATATCCTTATGTTCTTATGCTCTCCAGCCTGTTTTCAGAAAAATTCAAGATCTGATATTTCGAGCCCTTGAACGCTCATTTGGTCTATAGAATGAATGTGCAATCACGATTGATTTTTGAAGATTTTCGAATTCTAAGGAATTATTGAAGTTTGAAACGTGCGTGTATCTCAAGATCTCAAAAAGTGAAAAGTTTTTGAAAAATTATCTCAAAAGTCAAGCTGAAAATGCCAAAAAATACTACCATTACATTTTGTTTCTATTTCACTGCTACCTTTCATGCGTGACGCGCGGTCTCACGCCTTCGCTAAATAACCGAAAGCACGAGGAGTTCAAAGTCTAAGTAAAAAAAAATAAACTGAGCCATTTTTGAAAGCGCAGCAAAGGAAGTGAGTCTCTAGATTTGCAAATGGCCGAAAAGTGTCGCTCATTAGTCTTCATTTGATATATGGATACAGAGCATTCCTTTGATTTATTGCAAAGAACATGTAATGATACTTGCTATTCGACGTTTCTCTTTTAATCAAATTCTCTCCTCTTACACCCCCCCCCCACCATAAGTGCCCCTTTGCGACCCCTGTTGCGATGCTCGCATCAAGAAAGGCAGCGTCCAGCCTAAGTTGAGGGTGTTGAGCTTTTGGCAGCATATAAGAGTAGGGCCCCTATTCATCCAGTGCCCAAGTCGCGGCTCAAAATGCTGCTTGGGAAGCGAGAAAAGCGCTTCAGAATAGCGCGCTTCCATCCATCATCGTTGCGGAAAGTCGGCCTATGGGTTCTCCGGAGCGGGCTGTGACGGGGTTTTCGCACGTTCTCGACTTCATATTCGGAATCAGGGACATGAGATGCCCTAAAACGACACAAACGTGGAAGTCAAAAATCTGGGTGGACGGTGCCTTTTATGTGACTGGGGCATCGGTGTTTGCTGCAGGACAACGCGGTTTTGACCGCAGGAAAGTCTCAGTCAAGGCCATTGGCTTCGCACTTTTCTTTGAAAACAATGTCGGACGTTTGAATTGCCTGCTGATACTGATTTCATGAGTCTCGCAGGCATCTTGTGCGTGAACGCCTTCCGTCCTGCGGGAGTCAAGGGCCAATGTCTAAGCGTATGCATGTGCGCAAACCTGTCCGACTCTTCGCCTTTGCACCGTCCTGTTCAGAGCGTGGCCAATAGAGGCCGTAGCGCTCACCAATCAGAGGCGCACCGTATGGTCAGCGGTTCGAATGTTGCTCCCTATGCTGTGATGGAGGGTATCAACGGCTGTGCAAAGCCAAGTGGCTTGATCCCGGTGTATTCCTATGTCTGCAATCATGCATTTCTCATGTACACAATATTTTATTTCTTATAATTTAGCTTATTCCGAAATATTTTATTCCTTCTGTTCTAGCTCAACAGAATGATATCATAATTCAGTTGTTGCTCATTAGTATCCTGACTGTGGATAGTATCCTTGTTGTTAGTAATGTTTTTGTTGTTGTTGATCTGATGATCCAGATGGAGAAGGCATAATGTTGGTATTCACTGGCGGCATGCCTGGTGAATCAAAAATTATCACAATTTCACTTACAGTCTCACTTCCAAACACTCCTCCAACGACTTTCCCAACACCTTTGAAACCTCTACCAATTCCTTTTATAAAACTTCCAAAACCTTGAGAAACGCTGAAATAGAACACCCGAACGAGTAAGTACCAACAATATTGCATTCCGTCGTGTTAACTTACACATCGTCTCCTGCTTTTATCGTTGAGACATTTTGCTGTTGTCCCGTGGCCGAAATATTTTTTGTACTATTGTCGAAACATTTTGTTCTTGTCCTGTAGCATCTTGCACAAGCGTGAGTGGGCATAGAAGAACGAACAAGAATTCAAATGGCTGCATTTTTAAGGACTTCGTAGCGCCGAGCATTTATACCGAAACTGCAGAAATAATAGCCTTCAAAAGACTGATGCAATTTTCCCAGCTTTTTAATCGTCTATCGACTGATTAATGTAATAATAAAAACATTTTACCACCATTTTGACAGTAAGCAAATCCATGTGAGAGTATAAGCCTTATGTGAGGGTTTTCAAGTGCAAATGGAGACAAATTTTTTGTTCTGTTTGCTGATATGCGTAACTTTTAGGGCTGGAATTGGAGGAGTGCACCAAGATGCAACACTCAGCATGAGTAAAGCATGCGCTGGTATCATTCGCCTGGTATCAAGTCTTAATTTCTCCTCATTTTTACAATAAAAATCATGACGATGGGTGAAGTTTCGAGCAAAAAGTTGTACTTGTAGATCGCGTCGATGGGTCTCCGCTTACAATGGCTTGATCTCAATGTATTCCTATGCGAAATCTGCAACTATGCATTCTTCATCTTCAAAATATTTTATTTCTTCTTTCTAGCTTATTACAAAATACTGTATTTCTTCTGCTCTAGCTCAACAGAATGATATCACATTTCGGTAATCGCTCAGTAGTATCCGTATCCTTGTGGATAGTATCCGTATCCTTGTTGGTATTGTTGCTGACGACTTGATGATCCATATGAAGAAGGCATATATTGGAAAGACATCGGGTCTGTTGAATCGATGATTATCTCACTTTCCCTTACACCAAAAACCTCACATTTGAACATTTCTCCTAGGAAATTTCCAACTTTTTTGCCGAAATTCACAACACCTCTACCGAATGAGCTAAAAGCATCTCCGAGACCTTGAGGAACGCTGAAATAAAACATGCAAACGCAGAAGGTATCAATAATATTGCATTCCGTTCCGTGTCAACTTACACTTCGTCTCCTTCTTCTGTCGCTGAGATATTTTGTTGTTGTCCCGCTGCCGAAATATCTTGTTCTTGTCCTATTGTCGAAACATTTCCTTTCTGTCCTATAGCTAATTGCACAAGCATGAGCTGGCATAGAAGCACGAACAAAAACTGAAATAGCTGCATTTTCAAAGACTCGTAGCGCAGAGCATTTATACCGACGCTATGGAAGTAATGGTTTCTAAAAGCCTGTTGCAGTTTGACCAGCTCTTTAGACTCCCAGTCAACTGATCAATATGAGAGAACATTTTATCGCCATTTTGACAGTAAGCAAATTCATGTGATCGAAAAAGCTTTATGTAACTGTTTCAATGCGAGCATTTTCAAATGCGAATGGAGATGATGAAATGTATTTCGTTCTGTTTACTAATACGCGTAATGTTAGCGCTGAAGTTGTGAGAGCGAACCAAGATTCATTACTCAGCATGAGTGAAGCATGCGCTGGTATCATTCGCCTTTCAAGTCTTCAACTTCTGCTCAACTGTTCGCAAAAATCGTGACTTGGTTTGGCCTTGAGCACAAATACTTGTAGGTCAAGTCAATAGATCTTCGCTTATGGTCACGTCATTTTGACATGCGTACTGTGCGTTATCTCACAAAATAAAGGCTGCTGCATGACGAAAGCGCAGAAGCAGCATTAGTTGAGCGGGCGCGTACACGGCGCTCCCGTATTCTCACTCTCAGACAATCAATGGGAACTTCCCGAGGTCCGTGAGGGAACTTTCCTCGGGTCACCTGCGGAAGTTCCCGTGAAGCGCTCGGGAAGTTTGCAAAAAAGTCCTCGGGAAATTCGCAAGAAGTGGGAAATCTCCCGAGAACTTATCTACAGAACTTCCTGAGGGCTTCACATTGGCTCCGCGTAGCTGTACCGAACCTTCATGATGAATCCTGCTACTTCATAAAGCCGCACCCTTAGTACAGCTACTCAAAGTAGTGTAGTAGTAAGGGTGGAGCACTAGTAGTAGTTATACGCAAAAACAGATATGCTCCATCATTTATTGTTATAGCAGTAGATATAACATATCGACGGAGGGAATGGGAGAATTTCTTCAAGTTCTTAAAAGATCGAATTACAGTAGCCCGGATAATGCGTAAGGAGTATCATATTGATAGTGAGATATGAAGTAAGCATGTAGTGAATATAGAGGTAAGCGGGGAGTAAGTAAATGAAGCACTGATTAATGAGAAACATGCTTAACTAATGAGGCAAAGGCACGATGTTACATGAGAAGACTTATGATGGATCAGAAATTAAACATCAGGTTCAAACAGGACAGCGACGGGATCAAATTCCACTACTGTGTAGCGCTTTCCTCTTCCATTCTGACTTCGTCATACTTGCCTTGTCCTCTCTACCAAATCCGACCTGCGTAGCCTTGTATTTCTGGAAAACAAATTTTTAGTATAAAAACAACTGAGACTAAGTTTGAACCTTTGAAGGCACAAGTTTTCCCTTGTCGAGGCGATAATAACGGACATCCTCGCTGTAAAACTGAATTTAGAAGCAGAAGACGATTCTGGAAAACTTACAGTGCTTTGCGATACAGGTCCTGATTTGGCCGCAGTAGAAAGTTTTTTGCTCCAGCAGATAGTTGAACTTTTTCTCGCGTTCTTCATCGGATGTACCCAGAGAGATCCAGTAACTAAATCATTTGAGTAGGTAAAGACTGCTTACGAAACACCAACGCACCTAGTGCGCAAGCTTCTTATCGAATTCAATCTGTATCCCTCCAAATCCTCGTTGCCGAGGCTAAGCGCATCCAATACGAAATCTAAAGAATGATTTGAATGAGAATTTCTTACATGACTAGTTTCGTACCGTTGAGTGTGATAACTATGGACTCAGGCAGATCTTGTAAATCCGGCTTGCGCGATACATTAGATGTACGATGAGCAAAATTCCATATATCTGAGGGATCTGGTCCACAAACCTACAAATCTCGCTGTAGTCCACTCATATTTACTTAACTAGATTTTTTTATTATACTTACATGTTCATTGGTTATGAAAGTTATGAACATGAATGGCCAACCTGTCTGAAGATCACACGTAAAAAGTCATTGATGACGAGCGAAGTCTTGTGTTTGACTCTACTCGGAGCTGTGTAGCCGGCGAGAAGCTCGTTGAGGTTTAGTTCCTATGATAAGCATAATTGGCTTTGGTTAATTTTTGATCCTAACTACCTTGAATGGTGAACTACGCTTGATTATGTGCTGTTTCTTGAGATTATCAGGGCTGAAGCTTATGGTGGAAGAGGACTCGCTGATTCCGCTAGTAAGCTTGTTGCAGATCTGTCGCAGTACATGGATTTGAGACTCGAGATCTCTGTTCTTTGTTAGCAGAAGATTAACCTGTAGCGAGCAATGCTGATTCAAATGCTTAAGCGTGACGAATCCTACTTTCCCCCTTAACCGATACATAAAAGTCGTCACAGCTGCACTCACCAGCACGCGGTTGGATATCGCGTTTTCTACCAAGAGCCGCGTTGTTTCGATGTTATCAAATAAAGAAATACCATGCCTAGAGCGCTCGGCGCTCTGCACCAATCTAGACAGATCCTGTAGATCGAACTGAGTTACTTGCCTACAATGGTGGAGCGTCTCCTAAAAAAGATTCTTTCCTTGCGTGCTGCGAAAAGAAGCAGGAATACCTGCAGAGTGACACTTGATAACGGCGTTCCTCTTGCAACCATTGCATAGAGCGGGGTTGAAAATTCCGTGCTTCCAATTTCACGCGACAAACATGTGCGCATTACGTCTAAAATGGCTTTTGCAATGTAATAAACCATGTGAACAAAATCGCCAACCCAAAGCGTCCGACTGCAAGGTAGGTTGCTGCGAGGGAGGTGCCGAACCGACTGGCGCCCTTTCAATTCCTATTAGATTTTGACTCTAGAAAACATTCTGGCGCATACAGATGAGTTTACTAGAAACCTGGTTCATTTGACCAAGGTACTTGTTGCGATGTGCCTGGCTCCGAAGAAGATGACCATCCTATCTGCTGCGCTGAACCATGCTCTGAAGAAGAAGTAAATAGTTCTGTTCAGAACATGGCTACGAACCTGTCACATCTGGCGAATGTACGGTAGACGTATGCAGTGCTTGAACAGGCTCTAGAGTCGCATATACTCGTTCCTAGTTCGTTATACTCGTTTACTAGTTCCAACCCCACTAAATTATGTTTCACCAAAGAAAGGTGAAGATGTTGAGAAAACACCAAAAGAGAGATGGACATCGATGGATGAGGTAGCGAATTTGAAAAGCAAACAAATTACTACGCTTGTTCACAAAAAGCAGATCTGAGGATATCCATGAGAATTACACACTTAGTACAGGCAAATCTAAGCTCATGGAAATGTGTGTTGTTGAGAGAGACAGTACGATTCAACTAAAAATTGATATGAGCTGACATTAAAGAATGGCTCAAAAACTTCCCGCTAGAGCTTTAGCCATACTTTACCCGTGTTACCGTGTTACTGGTCTTACCCGTGTTACTCGTTTACTCGCATTACCATTGTTACTAGTGCTACTCGTATTACCCGTGTTACTCACTCGCCACTAGTCAATGAGATCGCGTTCTAGAATGAGCCTGTATCTGTGATCATTTCACTACTTAAAGCACTAAAAGCGGTAAAAGCAGTAACACTAGTAACATTAGTAACACAGGTTACACCGGTAACATGGGTAACACGGATAAAGTTCGGCCAAAGCCTAATGGATCTATAAATTTGAGTAGCAAAAGATTCCACCAAACCAATCGTGCAAAAATACACTTATCACAGCTTTAGTTTCAACCATACAAAAGCGCTGTTTCTGCTGTTAGCAGGCAGCGTTTCCATCGTCAGTTGTTATCGACGTTCTGTTGCTACTGTTGTTAACCACTACTGCTGCTGTTATTTGCTACCCCTGCTACTGCTGTTAGATGATGGAACGAACAATCAAGTCTCATTTCTCCATACAAGTTTTCAATGATTAGGTAACAGCAGCAACATCAGTAACAAGGATACAGCGGTAACATCAGCAACAGCGGCAACAATTGATAGTGACTACGAAGTAGTGCATGGCAAGAATCCAAATAGACACAAAGAAGAGATTTCAATCCATAAAATAAACAAAAAATGTGAGTGAAATACGAAATGTCTTAGTAGGTTGCATGAAGCGGAATGTGGGTGAAGAGAATAGAGGGTGAAAGAGAAAGTGGAAAGATGGGAGGTGAATAAAAGATCCTCGAACAACTTCATTACTCTTGCTTAAAGATTATTGTATATTCTCATTAGTGATCTCTAATGTGCACAGCTTCGGAAAGAAAGCAAGAGAGCAGTGCTAAATCAGAGAGGAAAACAGGAAACTTTGAGAAAAGAAAGAAAGAAAAGCAGTGCTAAATCAAAAAAGAGAAAGAAACATTATCATAGAAGTGAGTTGAAGCATAACTAGTGTCAAATAAAGCGCAATCACGCTCACCTGAAAGTCGACTTGTGCCCTCAAAGTAGAAGCCTTGAACTATTTGTTCGTCGCGACTATATTCGGCTGATGCCCTTGCTCTGAAAAAATTCACGTTAGAAAAGAGGAAAGAAGAGATCTAATATGCAAAGAATCGTAAGCGCAGTTTGAAAATCATCAAATCGCGAGAAACCGCGGTGCGGTCCCGAAGCGCACGCACATATAGCACCTTCACATAACTGCTTCACTAGTAGGAGGAGAAAAGATCGAAATTACAACCACTCAGCTAGGAACCAGAATCTAAATACTACCTAAGATAACACTCCAATTTGAATTGCTAAACTTTCACCATCTATAACAGATTGACAGACTAGCAGTATAGTGAAATAGCGCAAGTGCACTGTTACGAAATACAGAAAAGAAAGCAAGGAGAATCAGACGCTGAAAAAGACTTGCCTAAATTCATATTTTCCTTTTTATATATAAAACAGCACAAAGTCACATTTAGAAGAATTTCGAAACACGTAAAATTTATGAGTAAATGTAAAGTCAAAAGGAGTCATTTCCTTATTACATGGTGCATCATAACAGCCGCACTCGCAAAGAGCTGTACAATAGATGGTCGCACATATATTAAGGTAATTCAATAGCCGGATCATCTATTTGCTTGTTTTGGCTCTGGGTCATAGCTTCACACCTCGCACTGCGACAGAGGACGGTAATTATGATGTGCGAAGTAACAAGCAAGAGGTCACTTCACCCTTAACGACAAGTGATGCAAATACATTTGAATAATGCCACATGGAAAGAAGAGAATTCAGTCAATTTACAGAATAAAACGAGAGGACGATGGAAAAGAAACACTAGAAGTCCGCACTTGCGCTAAATCAGATATCGCACTGACCATTACATAAGTTTGATGAAGACTCTGTGACTTTTTACGACAATTCAGTCATTAGAATGAAAGTAGCGCTATTACGAAATACCGCGAAGCTCTCGGAAAATTCCCTTTTCTTAAAAGCTTTTGGAAAGTTTCGCATTTATAGATACTTCCCGAAGAAATCCTCGGGAAGTTCCTAACTGCGTTGCTCCTGACGTCAAAGTTTTCGGGAAACTCCCATTTTTGCGCTTCCATTCACCTCTGTGTTAAACGAGTTCTTCGGGAAGTTTGCCAAAATTGGCTTGTTTTCGGGAAGCTCCCGTGAATTGTCTGAGACTGTTGTAAATTCTGCGCGGCTAATATAGCGCGCGATCGCGCCCAAAGGTAATGCGCCTTTGTCATGCAGCTGCTCTTATGTGACACTTGCTTGTGATTTTTTTGTTATTTCTTTCTGAATTTACGTCTAGGTATGCATATAAATATTCAGTTGTCTTTTTGCATTACATCGCCTTTAGTAAGTGTTTGTGACAGAAAGTCGTGGGATCCTTCACTGATTGGAAGTTTGACAGTGACTTGCAAACTTCGGGTAGGACTATATATCGCCGATAGGGCTCCACCCGCGCAATCAGTTAGTGCAAATCGGTAATGCCTGTAGATGCGGAGGTGCGCACTTTGTTGCAGATGTCCGCGTGGGACCGGATCCTTCTGGCGACATATAGTCCTCCTCTCGCAAATTTCGACTGTAGAAATCTGCCGAAGTATAAGCTCGACATGCAAAGAAAGGAGCGGATCTGATGGTGAAACCTTTGAGCCTTTTGCATTATTTACAACAGAAATGATTCGTCTATCTTTAACATATGAAGCCCTCAATTCCAAGTCAAAGAGTCCACAATGAATGTTTCTTTTTTTTCAAAAACAAAACGCAAAAAAGTACTTGAAAATTGTAACTTCCAGTCTGCCGGCGGTATAAAGGTCCCTTATCCTCGGACCCAGAAACGACGCATAGGGCAAAGAATGGAATTCTATTTTATATCGAAGTAAATCTCGCATGCGTTGACTATGCAAAAAATGAGCAGATCCCTCGCGAATCCTGTTTGAACAATGCGTTGTAACCTGGAAAGCTCGGCCATTCCCCAAAACTCACTGCAAAGGTTGTCTGATGTCAAACTCAGTAGGGTCTCTAAAGTCTCGGATAAGAAGACAAAAGTTTAGTTTTTCATAAAGAAAATGCCAAGAAAACTCTTCAGTAAAGTTCGGAAAATTAAGGTTTGCAAAGAGTGGCAAAGACATTCATTTCCCGAGCTTCACTAGAGTTTAGATGAATTTTTAAAGGAATGTATATGCATGAATCATCATCCTTTTGGGTTCATGCGGTTCAATCGGGAGGTGTGAAGTGCTACGACGTCAGAGCTGGCGCCAACTCCTAGCTGAGCTTTAGTAAGCGCGTTATAGACGTCCACAACCTCTACCGAGCCGATCTTCACGACAGCCGCACCTCATCGACGTAGGGTGCCAAAACTCCGTCTGAGCCCGTTGATTGCAACAAAACGTGTCGACCGGCACCGCAGAAAATTCATAATTTATCATCAGAGGAGACGGTTCTTCTGCACCGCTAGCATCAGCAGCCTAGTTACTGCTCGCCTTTGATTGGTCGACGCTCCCGTGAGAGCTAGGCTGTCATTGGAGATAGTTTTACAACTAGAAGAGTTAAAAGCACCCCAAAGGAGAAGAAACAAAAAAGATCTTGATCACATAAAATTCAAAAAATGTTCTCATGGATGAGTTAAATAGGTTTTTCGGGTTACGTGCAGATTTTACGGTTTGTTGAGAAACTGGGAAGGGGAAGGAAATTACGAAATAGCAGATGACGGGACCAACCTTCCCATGTTCTTGTCTTCGTACAGCGCTGGCCATAGCTATAAAGCCACCCTAAAAAATCGCTGTGAATTGCTCTCTGTTATTCGAAATTGTCTGAAAAACCACTGTTCTGTGTGCAAACTAACATCATATCATTGACCAGAACGGCTCCCAATTTCATTGATTTTAGCCGGAGAAAAATTGAAAATTTTGAAAAAAGGGGTTCCCAAGGCTGGTCAAAGCTATAAAGCCACCTTTCATTTCCAATCAGTGCTACGCTTTTTGAAGCTGAAATTTTTTGTACATATACAATATCAAAATATAAAACATTTACCACACTTGGAAGCAGTCGCCTTTTCAAAAAGAAGATTCATCCTGCATTTTCTGCTAAAAAATGTATATAAAGTTATAATGTTTGGGAAAACTGCCTTTTTATCGACTTCTCAAGCATTTGTTTGAATCAAATGAAGGTCCTAGGCTTCGCCGAGCCTTTGCAATGAGTATGGTGAAAAGCGCAGGAGTCAACATGGTGTAGTCGCTGGTATTGATGAACGAAGCCCAATCTTACAGTCGAGTAGATTTAGCGGTAAATATAGTGTGCTTGCACAGAGGGTGAAATGCGGTGAAATTTGCGCGTGAACAAGTAGCCACGCCAGTACCGGGGTATCTTGCGCGCGCAATTGGCCGGCGTCGCAGTCGAAACTATTTCTTCACGCGCCAATTTTACCGCATTTCACCTTCTGTGCAAGCACACTATATTTACCGCTAAATCTACTCGACTGTACCTAGGCGTAGACGCACTTCTGAAAAGCAAATCTCGATTCCTGACGCGCGAAAATTTTCGGTTGGAAGTTGACACCTTGTTTGCATGGTGACGTACTCATTCAGAAGCTGTCAGGCTTTTTACAAAGACGTATTTGCAGCATTGGACTTAGAACGCCTTGTCTGCAGTTCGGTTGTGCGCAGTGTATCTCACATGACTTCAAATTTTACTGCTTTGAACTCCTCTTCAAGTCAAATCTTACAAAACTGTCAGAAATACTAGAATTTTGAAGTTTTGAGTGGATTTCCGCTCGATCGAGAGGTCAGAGTGTGTCACGATCAGGCGGAGTGCACCACTCATTTGTCGAAAAAAGGCATTTAAGGCGAAACCAAAATCCTGAGAGTTGCGATAATGTTCAAACTATGCGCACGATTCTATCGTTGTACCGGCGACGTGCTGAGCACGCGACAGAGCTTTTTGGGCATTAGAACTCAATTTCTGCGGTTCGAAAACTCATCTACCTGGAGTGAGGTTGGGGCTCGTTTATTAATATGAGCGGCTACGCCATGTTGACTCCTGCGCTTTTCACCATATTCATTGCAAAGGCTCGGCGAAGCCTAGGGCCTTCATTCGAGTCAAACAAATGCTTGAGAATTCGGTGAAAAGGCAGTTTTTCCAAATATCATAACTTTTTATACGTTTTGAAGCAGAAAATGTAGGTTGTATCTTCTTTTTGAAAAGGCAACTGCTTCCAAGTGTGGTAAATGTTTTATATTTTGATATTGTATATGTGCAAAAAATTTCAGCTTCAAAAAACGTAGTACTGATTGGAAATGAGAGGTGGCTTTATAGCTGTGACCAGCCTTGGGAACCCCTTTTTTCAGATCTTTCAATTTTTCTCCGGTTAAAATCAGTGAAATCGGGAACCGTTCTGGTCAATGATATAACGTTAGTTTGCACACAGAATAGTGGTTTTTTAGACAATTTTGAGCAAGAGAGAGCAAATTACAGTGAATTTCAAGGTGGCTTTATAGCTATGGCCAGCACTGTACATTGATCATCTCTTTATTATTATTTGAAAATGTGTGCACTCGCTTGTTTTGACTACGAAATATTTGAAAACCCTGCTCGATTATAGAAAGGGAGTGCGCCCTGGGGCAGAGCAATCAGCGCGAGGATCGAGCGGTGCAGAAAGGAATATTTACATCCTATCACCAGTAGAACTCAAAATGAGGAGAATACAAGGAAGAAAGTTGATATAATTCTCATCATTAATAAGAAGATTGAACAATTATAAGGAAGAGTGTAATTGCGATATAGAACTCAGAGAAATTTCAGAAAAGCAGAAAAGGGCGATTTATTAAATCGTTCCAAATGTTCGCAGCGTTTTCAGAAACCATCGAAATAGCAAAATATTGTCAAAATCAGTCGATGGTGTGTTTTCAGTTGTTGGCAGCGCTCACAATCAAATGAGGATCTCCGTCGATATCGAAAACTGAACTTGAGAACGAGGCAGGCGGAAGACGAGGCAGAGGAAGCACACTACAAGAGACTTTACGACGAGCTGAAAGGACCTGCCGGAGCTAACAAGGTCTACCGACGGCCGCCGCACGACATCGAGCGAAGCAGGACATCAACCACGTCATGCACATTAAGGACGCAGAGGGCAACCTCCTGACGAAGCCGAGGGCAATACTCAAGCGGTGGGGTGAATACTACAAAGGTCTATTTGATGAGGAGTTCCCGCACCCGTTAGTACCGCAAGGAGCCCCCACATTTGGACCGGTATCTCGGATCGAGGAGTCAGAAGTTGTGCAGGCACTGAGGAAGATGTCTAGCGGAAAAGCTCCGACGACGACATACTGCTGAAGTGTGGAAGATGATGGGGCAGCGTGGAGCAGCATATCTCACATCGCTCTTTAACATTATCTTCGACGGACAGTTGCGGCGAATCTGGACTACGAATCCCGATTCATTTCGCATTCCTGGATTTAGAAAAGGCATTTGATCGGATACCACACGGGCTGATCTGGTATGCGCTGAGACAACACGACGTCGCAGAAGAGTACGTTCGCTGGATCAAACTCCTCTATACGAACACGACGGCGCCATAGGCTGTGCAGCGGGAACGTCAACGCCATTCCCAATCCAAGTCGGAGTACATTAAAGATCGGCTTTATCACCGCTTCTCTATATATTGTGCATGGACACGGTGACCAAGGACATTCAGCTGCCGCATCCGTGGACGCTCCTTTACGCAGACGACGTCGAGCTAGCAAGCGGATCGAGACAAGAGCTTGAAGAGGCGACTGTGAGATGGAAGACACGATTGGCGGAACATGGCTTGCGATTGAACGTAGCAAAGACCGAGTACCTGGAATGCGGAGAGCAAACCGATGGCACAATTAGCATGATGGACAGCCGCTGAAGAAGGTCGGTCACGATATTCAAATATCTGGGCTCCCGAGTGACGTCGGATTGCGACACGATCACTGATGCTCGTGCTAGGACGAACGCGGCGTGGCTAAAATGGCGGCAAGTAACAGGAGTACTCTGCGACCTAAGAATTCCGTTGTATCTCAAGTCGAAAGTTATCGGACTGTGATAAGGCCAGTCGCACTGTACGGAGCCGAATGTTGGCCAGTAACCAGGAAACACGAAGAGTCCTGAGCACGATGGAGACGCGAATGATAAGATGGATACATGGCCTAACGAGAAGAAACTGCGTCACGAACGATGATGTACGACACATTTTCGAAGTTGCACCTAATGCGGATAAGATGCGAGGTGCCAGATTACGATGGTATGGTCACGTTTTACGAAGTGAAGATAATACGGCAGCAAAAACAGCACTTCGTCTAGATCCACAGGGGAAGATACCACGTGGCCGGCCGAAGCAACGCTGGTTGGACACCATTCGAAACGACCTGCATACTGCAAAGCTCAAACCACAAGAAGCAGCTGATCGAGCCAAATGGAAGCAAAAATGCACCACCGCCGACCCTGCCCCCGCGGTACAATGGCGAGGATAAAGTAGAAGAAGAAGAAAAAAGGTGTGTTTTCAGTTGTCGCCCACAACCTTTTGCCACGGGTAGGGGAACGAAAGCCGCCAGCTTCGGTCGCCTGCGCGGACTGCTGGTCCTGGAACGACATGCAACGTTGCGAAAGGACCAGTTAGCCGCGAAAGGCGGCTCAAAGTGGCAGTTTTCTTTCCCCTACCCTTTGCCACCTTGCTGTAATTTCAATTTCGCTCTATTAAAACTCAGCAGGTCGGCTCCCACGTCTAACCAGCGTTTAAAATCGTCTTCAGAATCGGAGCAAGCATCATTCATACGGTTTGCAAGAGAGCGGACAAGCGATTAACCGGTAAGGCGAGGTCTAGTACGTCGGATACTAATGCGTATCCCATAAGTCTTGCAAGGCAGCTTTGACGGCGTTTGTCGTACGGAGCCTTCTTTTGTTATGCGAAAAACTCACTGAACCTATCTGAGTCATTTTTGCAGCAGGAAGTATGACAGCAGTTTGTTTCCCGTCTAGAAAATTTCAGCGCAGAACCTCCTCCCATCCTGTGAATAGTCTCGTTTATGGGACACCCGTGAACCCTTGATTTCTTTGAAGCAATCGAATCCTTTTTGTCGCATGCTGGTCGAAAGGCGCCATTCTTCATGAGCGGCAAAAAAACTAATGCAAAAAAAAACTTTTTTTGTGAGAAGAAGTGAGCAGAAGTCGGAAATGCTTCCTTTTGCCTTTGAAGACTCCACATTTGGGGGCTGAACGAAGTGGATCAGCTTTCATAAAAACCAAAAGGTCCGTTATAAAAATCATAATTAGTTTTTTCAGTGACATGCGCATCTTGTCGCAAATCAACCGCCTTCCAAAGAAATTAGGGCGAGAATGAAAACGCTACGAACTTATGGAATGACCTAATATATGAGTTATCGGCAAATATTTTGTTGTTGGGTATTATGGGTTCAATCTTAGCTTATATATAATGGTAGAGTTCTTCCCCTACCCCACGAATGTGCGGCTAAGGCACTTGCCACAGTCTCAGCGCAACGCGTTTACAGCGGCCTTGCCGAGCAAATGGTATGAAGATGAGAAAATATCTGTTTACGCGGTTAAGCCAAGTCGCGTTGGCTGGCCACTGACTGTTGTTAGAACGCCATCCACCAAGTGTTCATTATTCTGCTGAGTGTACTCTCAAGCAACTGATTTTTTACAGAATTTAGGGGTCACAATCAAAATTTAGTGGCGCATTTTCACCTACACCATCCATCTTTGGATTTCGGCCGTTTCCTTGGAAGCCCCGTCATTTTCTTGGGTCGTCAGTGAGGAGCTTGCAGTGACGCTTTGCTATTTACTATGTAGGTTGGTCTCTCAATTTACGTCAAAGCAGCTGCTCCGGCACGAGTAGCAGCAGATATGAAAAATTTACCCGCTTCTACTCACACACTTCATGAAGAATAAGCACGGCTGCAGTTGAATGACAGTAAATTACATCCGTTTCTCGCCCCTTCGTGAACTGTGTAGCCAGATCTAGCACTCAAAAGAAAGTGACGAGCGACTATGCTACACGACTGAAAAATTAGTAATTTTAGCAAGTCAGAACTTCCAAAATGTCTCTGTTACCTGTTAACCCATTGTTTCCGGTGTGATTATGATAAATGAAAAAAAAACATAGAGATGAGGATGTACAGCTAAAATCTCCCTCTCGCCCTTCCATCGCCTGGTTTCGCAACTAACTACAAATTGCTGTGCTCATCAAGGCACTAAAAGTCTACCGATTGCGGCATCTGTGATCTTTTTTTCGTATTTCCAAAAATGTTTATTTTTTTTCTGTTCCATACAACAGAATAATCTTTATTAATGAAAGTTGTTGTCCTTGTCCTTATTACGTTCCACTCTGTATTCAACAGCCCACGCAGAAAGAAATGCTTCCATTTAGACGAAACCTTTGCGGAACCCTGAAAAAGGAACATCTTCAACACAAAAGAAGTTGATGGTTATTGCATTTTATCTGTTAGACTTACGCATCGCCTTCTGATGCCGGTGGTACTGATACTGGCGCTGGTTCCGCAAGCATGAGCGGTGTTAGAATCACGAGCACGAGGTGAAATAGTTGCATTGTGCTCATCAAAATTTTTTTGAAGCTTCATAATGCAGGGCTTATATACCAAGATTGCCAAAGTGAACGTGTCTAAAAGCTCATTAAAAGTCTCTTCAGCTTCTAGTGTTGTTGATTGATCACCTGAAAGCTTTTTGAGGCCATTTTGGCAGCAAGCGAATTAGGGATGGATGGCGGAATGTAAATTTCGACAAAAACGTAGAAGTGAATAGTGCATTTTTTTGTTTCTCAGTGTGTGTAATATTAGGTCTTCAAACCTCTTCTTATCGGCAAAAATCGGCTCACCTCAGTTTTCTAAATTAGAGCTTAAGAGACTATTTGATAGAGCAACGCAAACTCTACAAGATGGCCTTCGAAAGATCGCAAAACCTTGATATGCATGAAGTATTCAACCCTAATTTCAAAAATTTTCAAGTGATCGAAAATTCGGATCTGCGCTCAGAGAACTTCTACGGTCCTAACTTGCTCAGGTATGTAATCCTCTCAACAGACACTTATGTTTACAGCTGCTGAATTTCTTGGCTAGAAATCGAAAAAATGACAATGGGTCAAAATCATAAAGAACCCAGCAAATGCCCTTTTTTGTATTTTTTCATGCTAAATTGGTTATTTCTCGACAATTACAGCACATAAAAGGCTCAAAATATATGTTAGCACTCACAAAGATCTATACTATCGATCTGTCTATGTAGGAACAGGCCAGCACTTTTACGAAAACATGCATTTTTTAGTTATGTCAGTTTTTGTGCCTTCAGATTCCCTGGTGGAGGCTTTATCGACCTTACGTTTCGACAATGTCGTCGTCATCAGGGCCGGTAGTAATCCCCCCCCCCCCCCCCGACCTGGCGGCAGGTCTCGTCGGCAGGTCGCTGGCACCTTTTCCGTGAGGTGGCCAGAAAGCGAGACTCCAAATTCAGGCCGTCCCATGCCTTTTTTCAAAAAATTTTCTCGATAAAGATGCCGCCTCGACTCTGTAGAAAACTCCATAAAAGTCTGCGGTTCCAAAACTCCCTCTTTAGGAAAATATCTGGAAGCGTGGGATGAGCTGCCGGCAACTTCGCGATGTCAGTTGCCGGCAACCTGCCGGCAGCTCTTCGAAATCCGCGAGATGGCAGCTGCCGGCAGGTCAGAGAGCACGGGAAATAGCGTGCTCTTTTGAGAGAGCGAGCTGCCGGCATCTCGACGTGCCCCTACCACGTCAAGGTGGTGGCACCTTTGCCGACGGCGTCTGTGAGTTTGCGAATTGCGGCGATACCACACAATTTACGTCAGGCGAAAAAACCAAAAACCCTACTTTTTATCAAAAAACTATCATTTTTCTCATCATATAAGTTTTTCTTTTCTAAAACGACGATTTTCTTACAGAGAAAAAATCTAGTCACGCTTTAGAACCATAAAGAACACTATCCTTTTTGGCACTATCCTCTTCTAAATCTCGTTTACACCGATTTCGCTCCTCTCTCGCTCATATCAATCAGCTGTTCTTTCAGGTCAAAGTCTCTCACGCAATGTATTGATCCCTCATACAAGCGGCCAATTACCGGTGCGTTCCTCCTATTGCTGGTGCAATCGGCAATGGTTGACCGAATGGTCGAATGGTTAACGGGTGGCACTTGAAGTTAACGCACTTAGGATTGGCCGCGCGCGAGATAGCAGTTTTGCGGCTGTGTGCGCCATCAAAATCTGATGTGCGAAATGATTGCACACTAAGGTTACATAAGATTATCACAACCTACAATCACTCCACGAGTTGCCGCCGATGATGGCAACTTCCCCGTGATGTGTGCCTACCTGCCGGCATCTTTGATGCCACCAGGTAGGGTAGATTACTACCGGCCCAGAGGTCTGAAAACGGATTATAGGCTCTTTGACTTGCTCACCATACTTTCAAACGCCTCCTCCCACTCTGTCAGTCTAGACCTAGTCCAAGACCCGCAGCATGAGATCCTCAAGGCCACAAAACGAACGAACCTCGACTCCACCGGCTAGCGACAAGCCCGCACATTTGGTCGTAACAGACGTCACTCTTGTCACCCAGTGGATCAAGTCCTTTTATGTGCAACGCTAAGCCCACATAATGATATGAATGGAGCTAAGTCACTACTTATAGACAAACACTCGTTTTTGACATTTATCTTAGGATTTCTGACAGAAATCCACGCTGCTTCAAACAGTTTCCTGGCGCGAATCTCAGTCTCGCATGTCAGCATTGTGCATTTGACTTCGTAATCATTTCCGCGGTGCGCCTCTATCTTGTGCCGTCCCAACGGTGCTGTTGAGTCCCTCGTCTTTTATTCGCTAGATACTCTTTCAACCATACACCTAGACTTCTACTCGTTTCTCCAATATAGCAGTCTTGGCAGCTGACATTCTAGTTCGTACACCACACCTGTCTTTGCACAATCTCCTATTTTGCCGTAGGGACAAACTATGCAATGCTCCATTATGCACTCATTATCATAGAGTCTGTTTCGCACCAACTGCTTCTTCAAACTATTACTCGGGATGTTGACAAGCATCACATCTTCCTGCAGTTGGGCTCTACAAATGCATCGCTTAATCTGCCTACTAATTTCGTCTGAAATAAACAGAATGCAAAGAGGGATCTTGTCGCATTGCGTCTGGATATGCTTTGTGGAACGCGTACATAACCTACGTTGATGTTCTTGTAGCACATACCCATTGTTCCGCGCGATTTGTGATGCAAGCTCTCGTGACTTAAGCCGCTCTTCGTGACCCGGCACACCGTCGAAGCAGTTTTCATCATATTATGGATTACTGCTTTTTTCATTTCTGCGGAGTGAGCTGATCTTGCATGGACCAAGATAATCTTGCAGCTTCCTTTAGGATACCATTTGACATGGAAAACGCCATCGAATAAGCTGATCTGGTGTTAAGGTAAGAGAGCCATCGTTCCGAAGGGTTTCTCGAGTGAGCTTGATGTATTGGGACTGCTGGTTTAGCAATTTGAATAACTCAGCCATTTCGGATTGAGTTGATGTTATCACACAGCAGTCATCGATGTAGCGACAATACATCGGAGGCATACGCGGAAATGATTACGAAGTCAAATGCACGATACTGACATGCGAGACTGAGATTTGCGCCAGGAAACTGTTTGAAGCCGCGTTGTTTTGTCAGATGTCAAAAACGAGTGTTTGTCTACCAGTATTGACCAGGGTCAAGCAAGGGGTGTGGCACACGATCGCTGGTTACGACCCTCCCCCCCCCCTCCTGATTGCTGTCTTAATAAGACCCCCCCCCTGAACTATATGCCTAAGATAGCATTACCAGAGTTGAGAAAGAAGTTAGGCACAAGTCTTTCGAAACCCTCTCCCCCTCCCATGAAAGCCCTCAAACGACCCCTTCTTCCTCCTCTTAACCTCTGGACCTCAAAGTGTGACATTCTGGAGGACACCATCTTTTTCTAGAGAGTTTTCAGATTTCTAAGAGCTGCACGCCCGGTTTTCGTGACTGCACTTTACAATCACACGTAATTTGACGGTTGATTTTGATCTGAATGGGCATATTGAGAGGGCCATAATTTTCTTATGGGTGGGGCGTTCGGCTCCAAATTTCCAATGTAGCAAAAAGAAGCTATGTGCTCAATACTCATACCAGCAATGAGGCGCTTTCCGGATTTTGAAGGCAAGTTAAGGGGGTGCGGCACACTTTCTTGAAAGCTGCGGCAGCCGCAGCTTCTAAGGGGGTGTGCCGCACCCCATTAACTATATCAAAAATACATCTTCGAATGATAGCCTAAACCTTGTAGATTTCATAAGACTGTTTGGAGCCTGATTTGTCTTCTTAGCTTCAAGTAATATTTGGTGAAAACACAGCGATCAAAAGCGAAAAATGGTAAAAACGAGATATTGGTTGGCTTCTAATTCCACAGTTTGCAGGTCTTCTGAAGCGGGATTCCTGAGTTGGACAAAGAAGGAGTAGTGCTTTGTCTTGAGTGCAAAAACGGATAGCTAATTCACCTTTGAAACAAAGTTAACCATGTTGGAATTTGACCATTTCATTTAGGTAGCCTAGTATCTTGAACCTTCATTCGCTCACACTTTGTCTAAGGGGTTAATTGACATGCTAATTATGGATATGATACGAATATCATGTTATCACTATTATCAGATTACCCAACTATGGCCCTCTCCCCTTTTGACTCCTCAATACGACCCCCCAGGTGTGGCGTGCCGCACCCCACGCATGACCCTGGTAGTGACTTAGCTCCATTCATATCATTAGGTGGGCTTAGCGTTGCACACAAAAGGACTTGATCCACTGGGTGACACTTAATGACGTCTGTTACGACCAAATGTGCGGGCTTGTCGCTAGCCGGTGGAGTCGAGGTTCGTTCGTTTTGTGGCCTTGAGGATCTCATGTTGCGGGTCTTAGACTAGGTCTAGACTGACAGAGTGGGAGGAGGCGTTTGAAAGTATGGTGAGCAAATCAAAGAGCCTATGATCCGTTTTCAGACCTCTGATAACGACGACATTGTCGAAACGTAAGGTCAATAAAGCCTCCACCAGAGAATCTGAAGGCACAAAATACTGCCATAACTACACTACTGACATCTTGTCATGCCCAGATTTGAAGACAAAAGAGCATTTAACTTTATGCATGTTTTATTTTCTCAATTTCTAGCTATGGGAAATTGTATGCATGGATGTCCTACGTGGAATAATTTTTTTTAACGATCCTGTTTCGCCTCTACCCCTAGACAGGGGAACCACTCCCGAACTTACAATTAGGTTGGCTCGAAAGCCTTCATAAATTTTCAGACGAGATCTGCCATTTCTCGAAATACTGCACATCCGGCAGAGGTAACATTCGGAGAGCAAAGCAAGCTCTACAAGATGGTACGCAAAAGTTCGCACCAGCTTCGACCCAGCGTAAATTTGCATCCGGAATCTGCGTCGTATTGAAGGCTAGAAAAATTGAGAAAAATTCATATCCTAGTTCAGATTCCTACGGATTTCCAACTTGATCACGCAAATTGCACATCACATCGGACACTCACATGTACCGTTCCTGTAATTTCTCCTCATCTAGAAATCGAGAAGACGAAAGTTCTCATGCTCATACAAAAACAAAGCTTCGCTGTTCCCACAATTGTGTACTACAAGCCCTTAGAAGTATGACCATAAATTTTCAGCTCTCCGCAAGCCTAGTTCTCGAAAAATAATGATTTTAGCATGGAACAAACGAGTGAGGAGAACTCGATTTGGTAATTTTCAGAAGTCTCTCGACGCTTTGGCTGCCGACAGAGACTTCTGAACGAAAAGCGATTGCTTTTCAGAGATTGCAGATCTTACGGCTTGATTGGGGTCACTGCTCATAATTACAAGTGCCTTTGCTAGAATGGTCAACTACAAAATCGCATTCAATGTTTTGCGAATCTCAGTTTGACTCAATTATCGGTTCCATTACCTTGATGAGAGAATAAATGATATGTCCCCTAATACTCAATGCTATATCGTCTGTTGCAAAGCATTCAGACCACCAGGCTAATGTCGATTTGGTGACAGTCACCTCATCTATAGGAGGGGCGGACAAAATTTTTCGAGTAAAGGTGGGCGTGTGCCATGCACATCGAAAAATTTTTGAAACTTCTTCAATACTGCTGTGCCTGACAGGTTTGTTAGGTGTTCTTTATTCATCGAAGCCTAAGTTTCGACGCCTTTCATCTTCCTCAGAGGCCTGAAAATGGCTCAAAGCGTTACCTATGAAAAGAGTCCATCAAGCACCATCCCCATTCCTGCTAGTTCTCGATCTTCGCTCAATATCCCTACCGCAAAAATTGTCAGCGCCAGAAAATGAACATACCGTTGAGAACACCGCTACGTCAGTTTCCGCAGCGGAAGTGATGGTTTTGGCGGATGGACTGAACCAAACCATAAATGCACATAGCATGTGATCTATAGATGCCATAACGATATGAATGGAAGGAAGTCGTTGGTGACTGACGAGCACTCATTCTTATTGTTCATTGCTGGATTCTTTGCAGAAATCCAGAATGCTTTCAACGCCTTCCTAGCCGAGGTTTCCTTCTCATGGTTAAGATTTCGCATTTTATATCGAAATCGTCCCATCCATGCGCTTCGTTTCTATGCCTGTACGCCTTTTGTCTGCCAGATGTTCGTTTATGCGAGTACTAAGCGACCTTCCAGTTTCGCCAATATAGAGAGCATTGCAGTAAGGCACTTCAATTGATACACTCCCACTGGTGCACAGTCACCTATTTTACCGTACGGACAGACTACGCATCTTTCTGTTATAGAGTACTGATCGTAAAGTCTATTTCGATTCAACTACTTTTTGATATTGTCGTTTGGGATGTTCACTAAGGCCCGTATGCACGTACATCCCCGCTGGGGAGGGGAGGGGATCTGAGAGGGGATGCGCCATATCTCGCTACTTTACGTATCTTTCTTCTTCCTTTTCTATCTTGCTTATGAAGGTTCTCATACCCTACTACCTGCGCATAATTAATGCCAGGTTACTGGCATAACTGATTAGATTTGTACTATTTTGTGTGATCCCCGGGGATCCCCAGGGGATCCCCAGGGGATCACCCCTCATTTTCAAAGTCATTTATCTTTCTGAGAAACCAATGGAAACGCTGCAAAATTGTACTGAGGATATACTACGATACTGCTAAGCATGTTTTCGACAGAAAAAATGGAATCTGAAGATTGTGAAATTTTTGATGATCCCTAGCTTTTGAGCCAGGGATTACCGAAGATTTCGATATCCTGGGATTTCACTTATTTTTACTTTAAACATGCTTAGCAGTACCGTAGTATATCCTCAGTACAATTTTGCGGCCTTTTTATTGATTTCTCAGGAAGATAAATGACTTTGAAAATGAGAAGTGATCCCCAGGGGATCACACAAAATAGTACAAATCTAATCAGTTATGCCAGTAACCTGGGATCGATTATGCGCAGGTAGTAGGGTATGAGAACCTTCATAAGCAAGATAGAAAAGGAAGAAGAAAGATACGTAAAGTAGCGAGATATGACGCATCCCCTCTCAGATCCCCTCCCCTCCCCAGCGGGGATGTATGTGCATACGGGCCTAAAACAATATCGTCTTGCAATTGTGCGCGCATTATGCACTTTCGAAAAGCCGTACTGGTGTTATCGGAAATAAATGGCAGGCAGAGCGGGAGCTTATTATCACGAGTATGGTCACCATTTGTGTGATGTTGAATACGCGGTAGACAGTGGTAACCATTGCTACAAGCAATCTGAGAGGCCAAACTTCGTGACTCGCATCGTTCTCTCCCTCCGGAGCACCTCTACATAGCTGTCTTGAACATATTCCTAATCACTGCTCGTTTCGTAGATGCAGGATGCGCAGATCTTACATTGATAAGGATGTTCTTTGAAATTTCCTTGCGGTACCACTTCATGCTAACAATGTCTTTGGACAATTTGACTTGCGCGTTGAGATAGGGGAGCCACCCGTCGTGCGGTATCTCTCGTGTGAGCTTTATGTACTGCGACTGCTGGTTAAGAATTTCGAAACACTTGTCCATTTCGGACTGTGTGGACGTAAATATACAGCAGTCATCGATGTAACGGCAGTACATCAGCGCATGCGGGCTAACATCGGTTCATCGATTTTACTCATGAAGCAAATGGCGAGGACAGGGGCTAGCCTTTGACGCATAGCCAATCCGCGTATCTGGGAGTAGTACGTCCCAGACCATCTGAAGATGTTACATTTCAAACATTCGCTCACTAGGGTCATTGTCCGCCTTTTGTTAAGCCCAAAAGTATTGATGGTAGTGGCATATTTATCCAACATCTCTGAGGGCGCTTGCAAGGCCTGGCTGTTCTGCACGTTAGTGTAGAGCGAAGGCACATCGAATGACTCGACTACAGTGCTCGAATCAAACTTGACGCTTCGAAGCTTTTCGATAAAATCACGCGAGTTGGATAAATGTGCTGGTACTTTGGGTAGCAGTTGGCTCACAATTTTGTTCAAGAACCACGAAATTCGATCGGTGGGACCACCTCCACAACTGATAACAGGTCTGATGTAAATGTCCGCTGACATCGAACTCATGTCCCGCAAAGCTTGTGCGTCTTAACGAGGCTTTAAAACACTGGACAACTTGGAGACCTGAGTTTTAACCTGCTTATAAATCTGTCGTCGAGTCCGGCAGATTTAGCTATCGTAGCCCAAGCGTCGTTCAACTTTCTATACTGTGACTGAAATTCTTTCGCAGAGACAACTCTATACGTGGTGGTGTCCGCAGATGAGCTGTTGTTATTCGGCGATCCAATTCTTGAGGCATTACTACGAATTCGCCGCCTTTATCGCTTACAGACAATGCACCGAACCGTTAGAAAGGAGTTCACGTATCTCTTTGAAACCCTGCCACTGTCTAGGTGTCAGGTTAGTCTGATGTTGATGTTTCGCTCTATTTAGAACTTCGAGAACACCAGAACGAGACGGAACTCAAATTATTAAATTTTTGAAACTCTTTCCTAATTTTTTGTGCACCCATGACCCCGAAGTTTTAGAAGAAGCTAAACTCAATTTCAAAAAAATTCTAGAAATTATTTCTATCAAGAAATTTCAAGTTCACACACTTTATAACTCATGTGCGTAAAAAATTCGCGATCCATCCTCGGGGAGAGAACCACACTCGGTCCGCCACTTTTGCAGTCATTTTTGGTAGCTTCGCTTATTTCACTTCGGATGACCTTAAAGAATGCTTGTCAGGCTTCTCCGAAGCGCCTGAAGGATTCTAGCAAAGGATCTGCAAGGAGCCGTTAGGATAAGATGCGAGAGCCACTCATTACAAAAGCTTTTGAATTGCTGTTACTTTAACGTTAATCAGCAGAACACTAAAATTGTAAAATGCAAGGTGCCCATAATCTTAGATCACCCTAATAAATATAGTTAGAACCGAAAATTCGTATTCGAATGATTTATTCGAAATATTCGACCATTCGAATACTCGAATAGTCGAATATTCGAGAAGGTCCAATTATTCGATTATCCGAATAGTCGAATAAATGAAAAAGACCTGTATTCGAATAATTCGTTCATTCTATGATTTGGAATAATGAGTTATTCAAATATTCGTTTATTCGAGGAATTTTGAAAGACCATTCGAATATTCGAATATTTGAGAACATTCTTTCCAACATTCCATGTCAAAAGAAAATTTCTTTCTAACACGGAGTACAATTACCCCGATCGGTCAATCACACAAATGAATTATCATATGACAGAGTGGCTAGCAGGCTTCCCTTTTTGAGGCATGGGTCGCGAGTCATGCCAGAGCATAGTGATGACAAGTCTTATGCCTTCATTTGGACTGCTGAACTATTTCCCAGAGATCGCGTCTGAGAAGTTGTGCAATATCATGCGGAAATACCTCCAAGCTCTAAATTGGGTGAAGAAAAGCCGTCATTCCCTTTAGCGGACCAATGGTTTTCAAACAGCTTGCATAAGCATGTGAAGGACCAGCAGTCCTTTAAGGCAGCAAGTATAGACAACATTCATTCCTTTATCTCGAGATCTTCTCTTGCCTTGCCAGCCCAATCACAGCTAGCATGTCAGAATACCTGAAAGATACGTTACAGCTCAAGGCCAGAGCAAGGCGGTCGTGAGGACCTGAGCCACTTGACTTGTGGCGGCAGCCTGTATTTCAGTCACTATTCTCAAATCGGCTGCCCTTATAGCCCGAAGGCGTAGAAAAATAGTGTTAGAATGTTGCAAAGTTTGTAGAAATAATACTTCGAGTAGGCGAGTGGGTTGAACAATAATTTTTTGCACAGTAAAAGATATGGAAGATCCCTTACAACAAAAGTACAAACCTCAAAAATAGAACTAAAACAACTTCATGAGAATTCAATCACAACAAAAACTATGAAGCTAATGATAATTCGCGACAAGTATTAGATTGCAGCTGATATACAGATACTTTCATGAGTTTCCTTTTTCTGAATTTAGATGAGCACAGAAGTATTAGGTTGTCCCGAAAGTTTTGTCCGTTTTTTTCATCTTCCTAGAACTCACACAACACCAATCCACGGACAACTTAGGTACGAAATGATATATTTTTACCTTCCTTCTACATCTATATTTGCTCTCTGATCTAATCTGTCTTTGCAATGTTATGGCCACGGCTTTCTGAGCAGCTCAGAAGTAACGCCAAATTTTACTGAATTCAAAAAATATTTATCCCGATGTTTTCAAAAAGCGCTGATAATTGTTATGTAGAGCAAGCTTCAGCCACATTGTACCCATTTCAGATTACATAGGCCATGTTTACCAAGCCCATTATAATTATTTGTTTGTTGAAAATTGTGGGTTTTTGATTACGTTTACTACGTAAAAGTACCGAAAATTCCAGAAAGCTGCTTCATCAAAGCAAATCAAACTTGGTTATGTTGCATAAATAATCTTATATATAAAGCTGAATGTCTGTTTGTCTGTCTGTATGTCTGTCTGTCTGTCTGTATGTCTGTACGTATGTTCCGAACAGAAAATTCCATTTCTGAACCGATCCGGATCAAACTTGGCACACATACACTTCGGGCCCCGGCGGGTGTCATAGGGTACTTTTCGTCATCGATCGATATCGATTTTATCGATTTTTTGCAAAACTTGAGCTACGGGGCTGGGGGTTGGCACAGGGGGGTAATCGAGCATGCTGTTTACGAATATAATAATGACAGAGCCGGGCGGAGCCGGGTAAGTCAACTGGTGTTTGATAAGAATCATATTTCAATTCGCAAAAGCTTCAAGCGCAAAGCTTTCGTGTATTTGCTGCAGTTGCGCGTTTCATGACTTTGAAAAAAAATTGAGGCTTCCGAAAAAATAATGTTTATGAAGACCATGAACACCTTGAACTACATGTTTGAGTGAAATTCTTCTGTTCTATTTTGTGGCGGCTTTCAGGCTTAAGGGTGGCGCCTTCAAGAAATGGGCTAAGGATGGGCCCGTACAATTGTAAAACACAACAAAAGTTATGATTAGAGAGTTTACTGAGTTCAACCGCACGCGGTGGTGCAGTGGTAGAATTATGTCTTGATGACAGGGGAGCTAAACGCTATGCACGCTCAAATCATATTAGGTTACCAAATGGTGACCTTAACGGTGCTTATGCGAATAACATGGAGAAGCGATATGGATGAAACGGGGTGCCGACAATATCGGCACAAAAAATGTGCTGACTTTACCAGTCTTATGGTAAAGTCTAAGATGTGGTGGCTGACCAATCTTATGGATAGCCGGTAGTTGGAGTTTGGTGGCTCCTGTGTGTTACAGTACACATAAGTTTGTAAAAGCTCTATTGAGACATCAATATACCCTCATTCGGGTAGTGGTAGAATGATGCTAGTAATAGGCGAAGCAAAGCAAGTTAATGCGTATCAATACAAAGATATGACTCGAGGTCGCGGGTTGGTGACCTCAGGGCTACAAAAGGAGTCTAGTGAGGAGGAATTGATAAGACTGGAAGAGGTGCCGAATATATCGGCACATATTTAAAACCCTGACAACGACAACAACCCAGTCATTCTACCACTTGCTATACATATAATTAACAGCTACAAATCTAGATCAAATATAGCAATTAATTTTTTTTGCAGAAAACCGCAACGAAAAAGAAAGCAGCATTGTTTGAAGCACTAGATTATTCGAACTATTCGAATAGTCAAATAATCGGATAGATATGATTATTCGATTATTTGAATAGTCGATATTCAAACGTATTTGATTATTCGATTACTCGAATAGTCGAATGTGCGGTCAACCCCATTTATTTGAATATTCGTTCATCCGAATTTTGGAATGTAGCATTATTCGAATATTCAAATTCGAATAACCTGAAAATCACAGATCGAATAATATTCGTTCGTTCGGATATTCAAAAGCCGATTATTCGAAATTCATTCGTTCCACGGACTTTTCTCGGTCGTTACAACTATACTAGGTGTGCATATAAATATTCAATTGTCTTTTTGCATTACATCGCCTTCAGTAAGTGTTTGTGACAGAAAGTCGTGGGATCCTTCACTGAATTGGAAGTTTCACGGTGACCTGCAAACTTTGGGTAGGACTATATGCCGCCGATAGGCTCCACCCCGCGCAGTCAGCTGGTACGAATCAGTGACCTGTAGCGCGTGTAGCTGCGCGCTTGTCGCAGATGTCCGCGTGGGACCAAATCCTTACGGCGACATAGTCTTCCACCCGCAAACTTCGACTGTAGAAATGGCTAACGACATATAAGTTCCACATGCAAAGAAAGGACCGGATCTGATGGTGGAACCTTCGAGCTCTTTGTATTATTCACATCAAAAATGATTCGTCTACCTTTAACATGAGAAGCCCTCAACCCCAGGTCAAACAGTCTACAAAGAATTTTTTTCAAAAACAAAATGCAAAAAAAGTAATTGAAAACTGTAGCTTCCAATCTGCCGGCGGTATAAAGGACCCTTAGCCCTGGGTCCAGAGACGACACATAGGTAAAGAATGGAATTATACTTTATTTTATGTCGAAGTAAACCTCGCATGCTAAATCTATCACTGTGTAAGTTTACTACGCAAAAAATAGGCGGATCCCCCACGAACCCTGTTTGAACAATGCGTTGTAACCTGCAAAGCTGGCTCAATCCCTGAACTGCAAAGGTTTGTCTGATGTCAAACCCAATAGGGTCTCTGAACTCTCAGATAAAGAGAAGACAAAAGTTTAGTTTTTCATAAAGAAAATGCCGAGAAAACTCCTCAGTGAAGTTCGGAAAATAACTATAAATTTGCGAAGAATAGCAAAGACATTCATTTCCCGAGCTTCACTAGAGTTGAGAATAATTTTGAGAAGAATGTACATGCATGAATCATCATCCTTTTGGGTTCATGCGGTTCATTCGGGAGGTGTGCAAGTGTTACGTAAGCAGCTGCCTGTGCAGCCAGCCGTCAGAGCTGGCGCCAACTGTTAACTGAACTCCAGTAAGCGCACTATAGGCGTCCACAACCTGCCGAGAGATCTTCACGACAGCCGCACCCCATCGACTTAAGGTGCAAAAACTCCCTCAGACCCCCTAATGCAATAAAGCGTATATCGATCAGCACCGCAGAAACTTCATAGTGTGAGCACAAGCACCCCTATTGAGTTCGGTATTGAGTCATGCTTTTTAGGCGGGGTGCGTGGAGAAACTCCAACTTCCGGTGACCGACCGGCGGCGCCTCTCCAGTGATATCCCTGGACTGCTGTTTGCCCCGTCATCATCGTCAACCTTGCAATCTACCAGGATCCAGTAGGTTTATATTGTTTATATTCCTGTACTGCCTTCTGTCATTAGATCAATGAACCATTTTACTTTCAACGTGTAGCTTAGCATTAGTGAAGTGCACATCATTTTACTATAGTTTATCATCAGAGGAGACGGCTGTTCTGCACCGCTAGCATCAGCAGCCTAATTGCTGCTCGCCTTTGATTGGTCGACGCTCTCGCGAAAGCTACAGTAAGTTCTGACCCGCGTTAGGCGGAAATTGGATTGGAGGGAGTCCGCCTCGCAAAAGCTCGCGCCGTTTCGCAGCTACAGCATATCCTATCGTGCTGGGAACCTATGTCTGCGTCTCTTCAATCTCCTTAGTTTTCGCTTGGCAAAATGCCAGCGCTATGCGCTTGCGAAGCCTTCAGGATGCGCATGCGCTGCTCCACGTAGAATGTCTCGCCTAATCCGGGATGAAACCGACTGTACGTTGTCGTTGGAGACGTTGGCGTTCTAAACTAGAGAGTTAAAAGCACTCCAAAGGAGAAGAAACAAAGAAGGTCTTGATTATATGAATCCTAAAAAATGTTACCATGGATGGGTTGATTAGATGTTTCAGGTTACAGGTGCAGACTTTACGGTTTGTTGGAAAACTGGGAAGGGGAAAAAATTACGAAATAGCGAATGACAGAACCAATCTTCCCATGTTCTTGTCTTCGTACATCGATCATCTTTCCATTATTATTTGAAAATGTGTGCACTCGCTTGTTTTGAAATACTACGAAATATTGAAAACTCTGCTCGATTATAGAAAGGCGGAGTACTTAGCGCCGCCCTGGAGCAGAGTAATCAGTGCGAGGATCGAGCGGTGCAGAAAGGAATATTTACATCCTATCACCAGTAGAATTCAAAATGAGGAGAATACAAAACAGAAAGTTTATGTAATTCTCATCATTAATAAGAAGACTAAGCAATTACAAGATTGAAGAGTGTAGTTGCAATATAGTAGAACTCAGAAAAATTTCAGAAAAGCAGAAAAGAGGGCAATTTATTAGATCGTTCCAAATGTTCGTAGCGTTTTCAGAAACCATCGAAATAGCAAAATATTGTCAAAATCAGTCAATGGTGTGTTTTCAGTTGTTGCACGCAACCTTTTGCCACCTTGCCGTAAAATCTTCAATGTCGTTCTATTAAAACTCAGTAGGTCGGCTCCCAAAGTCGTCTAACCTGCGTTCATCATTCATACGGTTTGCAAGAGAGCTGGACAAGCGATTGGTAGGGCGAGGTCTGAGGAGTACGTCGGATACTAATGCGTATCCCATAAATTTTGCAAGGCAGCTTTGACGGGGTTTGCCGTACGGAGCCATATTTAGTTGTGCAAAAAACTCACTGAACCTATCTATTGAGTCACTTTTGCAGTACGAATTCGTCTGAACAGTGCATATGGATCGCTTACGGTATGATCTGCTGTTTGTTTCCGTCTAGAAATTTTCAGCGCAGAACCTTCTGTCCGTCCTATAAAAAATCTTGTTTACAGGACCCCTGAACCCTTGATTTCTTTGAAGCTCCAATCGTTTTTGTTGCATGCTGACAGAAAGGCGCCATTTTTCATGAGCGGCAAAAAAAATTGATGCAAAAAACTTTAGCAAGAAAAAGTGAGCAGAAGTCGAAAACTTCCTTTTGTTTTGAAAACTATACATTTGGGAGCTGAACGAAGTGGATCAGCTTCCATAAAAACCAAAAGGTCCATTATCAAAAGCATGATTAGTCTCTTCAATGACATGCGCATCTTGCCGCAAATCAGCCACCTTCCAGAGAAATACGAGAATGGGTTCAATCTTAGCTTATATATAATGGTAGAGTTCTTCCCCTACCTCATAAATGTGCGGCTAAGGCACTTGCCGAGGATCACAGTCTCAGCACAACGCGTTCACAGCGGCCTTGCCCGAGCAAATGGGATGAAGATGAGAAAATATCTGTTTACGCGGTTAAGCCAAGTCGCGTTGGCTGGCCACTGAATACTGTTGTTAGAACGCCATCCACAAGGCCTTCATTATTCTGCTAAGTGTACTCTCAAGCAACTGACTTTTTACAAAATTTAGGGGTCACAATCAAAATTTAGTGGCGTATTGTCACCTACACCACTTCTGGATTTCGGCCGTTTCCTTGAAAGTCCCGTCGTTTTCTTGGGTCGTCAGTGAGGGGCTTGCAGCGACGCTTTGTAATTTACTATGTAGGTTGGTCTCTCAATTTACGTCAAAGCAGCTGCTCCGGCACGAGTAGCAGCAGATCTGAAAAATTTACCCGCTTCTACTTACGCACTTCATAGAGATTAAGCATGACTGCAGTTGAATGACAGTAAATTACATCCGTTTCTCGCTCCTTCGTGAACTGTGTAGCCAGATCTAGCGCTTAAAAGAAAGTGACGAGTGACTATACTACACGACTTAAAAATTAGTAATTTTAGCAAGTCAGAACTTCCAAAATGTCTCTGTCACCTGTTAACCCATTGTTTCCGGTATGATTATGTTAAATAAAAAAAAACATAAAGATGAGGATGTACAGCTAAAATCTCCCTCCCACCCTTCCATCGCCTAGTTTCGCACTAACTACAAATTGATGTGCTCATCGAGGCACTGAAAGCTAGTCTACCGATTGCGGCATCTGTGATCTTTTTTTCGTATTTCCAAAAATATTTATCTTTTTTTTTCTGTTCCATACAACAGAATAATCTAAATTAGTGAAAATGTTGTCGTGTGCTTGTCCATATTATGCTCCACTCTGCATTCAACTACCCCAGTTGATTTCAACGCCACCGATACGAAGTCCTTGCGGATTCCTGAAAAGAGAACATCTTTAACGCAAAAGAAATTGATGCTTATTGCGATTTATCCGTTAAACTTACACATCGCCTTCTGGTGCTGGTGGTACTTTTGATACTGGTGCTGCTTCCATTAGCATGAGCGGAGCTAGAATCACGAGCACGAGGTGAAATAGTTGCATTGTGCGCATCGAATTTTTTGAAGCATCATAATGCAGGGCTTATATACGAAGACTGCCCAAAGATTGGCTAAAATTGTTTGAATTGTTAGATTGTCTAAAAGCTCATTGAAAGTCTCTTTAGCTTTTAGTGCTGTCGATTGATCAGTTGAAAGCTTTTTGAGACCATTTTGGAAGCAAGCGAGTTCAGGGGTAGTGGGGTGTGTATTTCGACAAAAACGTTCTCAAATTGAAAAAGTGCATTTTTTGTTACTTAGTGTATGTAATATTAGGTTGTTAAGTCTCTTCTTATCTGCAAAAATCGGCTTACCTCAGTTTTCTAAATTAGAGCTTAAGAGACTATTTGATAGAGCAACGCAAACTCTACAAGATGACCTTCGAAAGGTCGCAAAACTTTGATATACGTGAAATATTCAACCTAATTTCAAACATTTTCGAATGACCGAAAATTCGGATCTGCGCCCAGTGAACTTCTACGGTCCTAACTTGCTCAGGTATGTAATCCTCTCAGCAGACACTTATGTTTACAGCTGCTGAATTTTTCCTTGGCTAGAAATCAAAAAAACGAAAATGGGTCAAAATCATGAAAAACCCAAAAAATGCTCCCTTTTTTGTATTTTTTCATCAAAATTTGTTATTTCTCGACGATTAAAACACATAAAAGGCTCAAAAATATTAGCACTCATAAAGGTCGATACTATCGATCTGTCTATGTAGGAACAGCCCAGCCCTTTTACGAAAACATGCATTTTTCAATTTCTCAATTTCTAGCTATGGGAAATTGTATGTATGGATGTCCTATGTGAAACTTACTATTAAGTTGGCTCGAAAGCTTTCGTACATTTTCAGACGAGATCTGCCATTTCTCGAAATACTGTGCATTCGGCAGAGGTACCATTCGATAGAGCAAAGCAAGCTCTAAAAGATGGTGTGCAAAAGTTCGCACCAGCTTCGACCCAGCATAAATTTGCATCCGGAATCTGCGTCGTATTGAAGGCTAGAAAAATTGGGGAAAATTCATATCCTAGTTCAAATAAATCTACAGAGTTCCCACTTGATCACGCAAATTGCACATCACATCGGACACTCACATGTACCGTTCCTGTATTTTTTCCTTCATCCAGAAATTGAAAAGACGAAAGTTCTCATGCTCATACAAAAACGAAGCTATGCTGTTCTTACTCAGGTAATTGTGTACTACAAGCCCTTAGAAGTATAACGATAGATTTTCAGCTTTCCGCAAGCCTAGTTTTCGAAAAATAATGACTTTAGCATGGAAACAGCTTTGGCTATCGACAGAGACTTCTGAACGAAAAAGCGATTGCTTCCCAAAGATTGCAGATCTTACGGCTTGATTGGGGTGCTCATAACTGTAAAAGTTTTGCTAGAGTGGTCAACCGACAAGAACGCATTCTATGTTTTGCGGATCTCAGTTCGATTCAATTATCGCTTCCATTACCTTGATGAGAGAATAAATAGTATGCCCCCTAATACTCAATGCTATATCATCTATTGCAAAGCATTCAGACCACCAGGCTAATGTAGATTGGTGACAGTCACCTCATCTATAGGAGGAGGCGCATAAAATTTTTCGAGTAAGGTGCCTGGCGTGAGCCACGCACATCGAAAAATTTTTTGAAACTCTTTCCAAATCTTTTTGTGCACCCATGACCCCGAAGTTTTAGAAAAAGCAGAACTAAATTTCTGAAAAATTTTAGAAATTATTTCAGTCATCAAGAAATATTAATCAACACACTTTAATAACTCATGTAAGTAAAAAAATTCGCGATCCATCCTCGGAGAGAGGGGTCTCCCTCGGCGCGCCACTGCTGCAGTTATTTTTGGTAGCCTCGCTTATTTTACTTCAGATGTCCTTGATGAATGCTTGTCAGACTTCTCCGCAGCGCCTGAAGGATTCTAGCAGAGGATCTGCAAGAAGCTGTTAGGTTGCGAGAGCCACTCATTACGAAAGCTTTTGAGTTGCTGGTTCTTTGACGATAATTAGAAAAAATTGTAAAATCCAAGATCTTGGTTTTGGTTGAGGCTGTTGTTTTTCTTAGAGGGTTGGGCTCCTTTCTGTAGTCGACGAGGTGTTTGATCGGATAGTTTACTTATGTGTTTTCGACTTTTTCAGACTCTAAAGAAGGCGAGTTTGCCAAAACGTTTGTCTGTATTCTGTGCGATAAAGTTCTGTACCAATCTTACTATGCTCAAGCAACTGGCGAAAAGATTACAACTATGCCAAGATTTATGGATAGTCGAACATGGATGCTTATGAACTTCCACTGTCGCCTAAAGATTCACCATCTTATGCACGGCTTGATGAATAAGCGTTGCTTGGGTTGCTAAGATCTTTCCTTAAGAACAATAAAAGGAAAAGATAGTTTATAGAAGGATTTTGCACACTAACTACAATCGAAGATACTGTACAGTAAGAAAATTTTTGCAATCACAGAAGATCATCCAGGCTTTTGCAAGGGCAAAGGCAAAAAAGCTGATAATATGATGCGTGACAGAATAAATACATATCCTTTTGAATGTGAATGGGCGAAAAACCCGAGCATGATGGGCAAGTATTGAAAACTGTCGAGATTAGAAACAAATTATGCAATTCGAATTATGCGGGAATGCACCATGATAGAAGGGCAAGTGGGTCAATCACAATCTAAAAACTGGATAGATACAGCTATTGCGATAGAACATAGAAATAAACAAGTTGTGGATATAAACATGATTAAAAGAAAACTAATTCGAACTTGAACGTGACCAAGTTCAAACAAAGCACCTCAACCGTACATCATGAACGTACCTCTCAGAAATTAGATTAAAAGCAAATGAGGAAAAATTTCGAAACGAGTACGATGGAATTCATTCTTCATGGAAAAGTAGGCGCGCCAGCTGATCCTTCGCTGCAACGTTCTCACGTTTACTTGCCATACATCGCGAGTAATCCTCTTCTACAAGATCGGAATCGCATGCCTTCTGGTGGTACCTGAAGATGTGATGACATATTTCGTATTAGCATATTGCATGAGCTCGCAAAGAAATAACAGTCCTAACGGACAGGAAACTTTCGAAGATCATGGCAGCCAGACAATTTCCACTCCAGATGTAGAGGACGATGGCCACTACCAGGCGGGCTGACTTACAAGGGAATGGTCAGAAGTCGAAGTGGTCAATCCAAACAAGCTACATACCATTCGATGCAGCATGGAACGCTGATTTCAAATCCGCCTTCCTTATCTGCAGAGCGCCTTTGTAGGCGAAGTTATGAGCAGCTTTACTGCGAAAAAACCGTATACAAAAATTGCGAAATTAGGCACATTATTGCTGTTTCAGCTCACATCTAGGTACGGGTCACATAAACTGACCTAGTTGCATGTTTTGGTCCAACACTGAGCCGAGAATGGCTTTGTACGGCCAAGTTTGCATTTTACGTGCACAATTTGTTAGCAAAATGATGGCCTTCAACGGCTTATAATTTCGTCCACAAAAGCGCTCTGCAGATAAGGAAGACAGATTTAGAGTCAGCATTTTATACTGCATTCAATGGTATGCAGCTTATATGGATTGGCCACTTCGACTTCTGACCATTTCCTTGTAGCACCCGGTTTCGATTGAAATCAAGCCAATACAAACCTGATTCTCAGAGTAGGTTCTATTGCACGCAGGACGTGGACCTCATCTTGGTTCAAAAACGCCGTAATCAAATCCAACCGCTTTCCACTCAGTTTTGGACGCATTGCAACATAATCAGATCCATAAACGGCCATACAAGAAAAGTCAAGGGAATCAAAACGACCGTGATCCTGAAGAAAATCATTTCGTAAGTTTCGAAAAATTATATGTGGATACAGATACCTTCTGCACTATTAGCGGCCTTTTCCTCTTTGGTGGTGAGGAATCACGCAAACGCGCTAAGGCTGCCTCGCGTGCTTCTTTCTGATCCGCGGGGACCTAAAACGGTGGAAAATGGGACTTGAAGTTGAAATTCTAATCTTGAACTAACCTCATGTTCCTCTACGTCCATTCCTGAGATTGTAGGATGATATTCCACAAAAGGTATAGGAAAAAATACCTGAAAACAAAAGTCTCAGAAACTGGAACGAATGAATGAATCATGACTAGTTTTACCTGATAGTGTTTGATTGTGTTGATTCGCGAGCGATCCAAAAACTCTTTCTGTATATCCGCATACGGTGACAATAACAAAAATATAGAACCGCTTCCATAACGGTCAATGGCTTCATCGAGTGCTGCACTTCCGCCACCAACATCTCCTGATGTTCCGTCGGGGACTTTGTTGCCGGACAAGCCTTGCAATTGCAACAGATCCGATTCCAGCCCCGAACGCTTGCATCTCAAATAAATATGATGAATAGTTTGAAAAGCACCTTCGCTGTGTGTAACACACCTCCGCTTTAGTTCTTCAAGATCATTCCCGATGTTTGTTGCCGATCGCGGATCAATTCCAGGTAAAAGAGCTACGACAACTCGAGTCTAAGCAGTAGGTATATTCTAAGGAACGTCAGAATAATTGCTAAACCTTTCTAGTTTCTTCAGCTGGCGCTGTGCACAGTCGCGCATGCCTGGCTAAAAGTCGCCTAGCCGGCAGTACTTCCGACTCGTCGCCTACAGGCACGACAATGGTCATGTCTGTATCCTCTTTTACATAAGGAACCTGATGACAACGATATAATAACGTAGCACAAAGAGCTCTACTATGACACCTGGTTCATCAGCTGCGTTCCAGCCACCATTCGGCAAAGATGCACTCGTCTCTCAACGGTTGCCTGAGTGGTACCATCCTTATACACGAGATCCACCATGTAATCCATCCCACGTTGTGGATCAAATAACCTTAAACACCACTTGCAATCTCTAATGGATAGATACGATAAAACTACTACCTGTATCCATTCCTCACTTGCAAGAACTCTAAATCGGGCTCTTCAGCTTCCGCATGCTGCCTTGCAGCAGCCACAACCTAAAAAAAGTGACCTCTCAGTACAGTGAACAGATTATATTCCAAAGAGTTACAAACATACACCACAGAGTTTTCGGGCAGAAAACGAGTCTTTCGCCAACAAAGAGTTGAGTGAGAGAAGAAGAACTTTCGAAATCAAATGGAGAATTCTATTCACTAACTTCCAACACATCATCGCGATCTTTTCCCTCGAGTGGACGCACATTCTGATTAGGCTCACTGCGAAATATGTCTTTCAATGTGAAAAATTCCCAAGTCGGCACCTTAAACAAAGCATAGCATAGCATAGCATGTTCAGATAGCATATCGTATATTTGAAAATTTTATTGTTAAAACAACCGCACATCACTGCAGCCATCTGGTAAGGTGAAGCTATAGGCTACCGTGTATAAAATAGTATCTGTCCGCCTACCTGATAACGATTCGGAGGCCTGCTGTAAGCAGGCACAGCAGCAGGCCATGTTGGTCCTTCGTCAGTTTCTTTTTGAAGCTCTCCCAATTCAAGTTCCATTGCGGCAATTTCGGCATCAACTCTAAGTATTGAAACGCTTAACTGATTTATTGGTAAGATTTACTTCGCTTACTTCGCTACTTCCACACTAACAAAATGGTCATGTAGTGCGGACGCATCAGCATCTGATAGCAATTTCGTGACCGCAATCGATTTATTAAAAGCTTCATGTGCACGCCATTTGTCGATCGCGTCGTGAGCAGTTTGCGTACCATCCACGTGCCAAACATTGTAAGTCTGACCCTGAACGAAAAGTTATTGCCAACAACAGAAAAAATGGAATGCACGAAATCACCTGGTATTCACTGACACAAGACAAATTGGTAGCTAGCTGTAAACACTTTTCAAAAGCAAGTTGATCAGCATCAGAACCACTGGCGAGTAGGTTGCAGGCATGTCGCTGCCTAAAGCGGCGTTCTAGGCCAGCAAATATTCAACCTACGCAAATACAGTCGAGTGAAAGTTTCAAAATCATGATGTCCAGAAAATTAGTGAAGAATGCAATTCAAACTAGAAAGTGGACTGACTGTATCAATTTCTGCATAGCGGGATTGCTCAAGATTACTCCAGCTTCAAGGGAACACCGACCACTTCCATCCTCAGCTGGCTGGCCAACCAAAACAGGTTGATTCCAATTCACCTAAAGAATGACACAGATACAATTTTCAAGACTTCCTGCTTCGAGTTTAACCTACACTATTGATAAAGCGATTTAACTCAAACGGATTGATATAGGTCGAATCGCGCACAAGCAGAAACCAATCGAAGTTTTCGTGAAATGTCTGAATATCGCTTAGTATACCAGAGAAAACAAAAAGTCAACGTAAGCCAAGAAGAGATTTTGACCAAGCACATCACATCCTACGTCACCGTACAAACTCACCATTGTGATTTACTCCAAAAGCTAAATTACAATTTGATACGAACGATAAATAATCAAAGTAGAACCTAAAAGAAATTTACCAAGTTGAAGATGAGTCCTAGCACAAACACGTGAGATTTTTGTCCATTTGGCCTAAATGAGCATATAGCACTGCAGTCAAACACTATTTAAAAATCAAAACAGGCAAGAGCAAGGAAACATAGATGATTGGTGCAGATAATTGACAACTTGCGTCTATGGCGAGTTCTTGTGCACTTAGTGCCTAAAATTTTCAAAAGGAAATCAAAACTTCGCCAAGAAAATGACCGCAACCCATAGTTCGCTTCGGTAATTCACAACTAATTCATAATTCATAGTAACTTGGTACCATTAAAGTGACCAACAAAAAGCTCGGTCTTTAACATTTATAAATTGAGAAAATGGGACTCCCAAAACAAGTCTCTTTCAAACCCACTTACTTGTACGGACTCAAGTTTGTCAGCTGAGCTAGATCAGTGTCAATTCGACTAGCATCAGCAAAAACATGAATCCTTGGCACATGTTTTCCTAGCGATGCATTCATTGCTACTGCCAGTGACGACTCAGCCAGAACTCCAACCATCAGCCGCTCACGTATGCCTAGCTCAGTGGCTGCGAACCTAGCCCTGACAACCTAAAACTTCTTGCTAGTTTTTATTTGTAAAACATAAAATCCACAAAACAGAGAAGTGAACTCCTGAAGAACATTAAAACACCAACCTTTGGAGTCGCATCCTGATTCGGTGGTGGTGATGGCATATTATCCAGGTGCACAGTCCAGTGTTCGCTGACATCGACGTACCTCAAAAAGCAATCATGAGAACAAAAAAGAAACCTTATCGACAGCTTATACAATGCAGTGGCAGGCAGCATATATAGTACTCACAGATATAAAATTTATAAAAAGAATGGAAATTTACTGTTTCTGCGGCGCACTTCTCGGAGGACATACTGCATCGCCAATGGTTACTGGATCATCCGGATTGAAAAGCAGCATGGCGATCAGTGCTCCCAACATCATACCGCCAAGTAGCGGAATGCATGTTCGAGAGCCGGCCACCATCGCAAGCGGCTGAAAGAGAGTTATTCGAAATTGCAGGTCGGATAAAGACCAATATAGACGACAGAATTCTTAATGGGTCCAGTTTAGCAAAGGTTGAGGATGTAAGCTATGACAAGCTTGAATCACGTTTTCTCCGATATAATGAATGAAAAAAAACGTAGCTGCTGTCACAGATGGAAGGCGAAAATCAAACGAACACCAACTTAAAATGACTAAATAGCCTAGCGGTAAAGTAGCTTTTGCAGCAACTTTCGAAAAGCGAAGTTCTAACAGCATGTAAGATCTTATCAAGCAGATAGACTTATATGCTTTACATCAAAGCATAAACTTATACTATGCTTTACATCAAAAGCAGACTTGATAAATGAAAAGCAACATACCTCAGTCGGTGCTCCGCTTTCGACTGGCCGGATCAGCGTCGCTGGCTAGCAAGAACCTGCGGAAACAATGAATGTTATATCATTAATGCGGAATGTCCAGAATATAAATTAGTATCGGGACACGGAATCTCGAGTGAAGAATCATTCAAGTAATTAGCAGCGCAAAAAAAGCGGTGAAAACATGGGAATTACAATGGCACCAGTGAAATTCATAACTAAAAGAAAAGTAGAAAAGCGAGGTAGAGCGTTAGGGAAAATGCAGGAATACGCATATTTCAGCCGATAAAGAATCTGTAGCACTACTAAATTTGAAAATATGCTGACATCGCTTCTAAAATGACTACAACGGACTCATATGCATACCACCGTACCAAGTGAACGCGAATGTGCGCGCACGCAGACAGAAATGCGGGCGGAGGGATGCGTAGGATGTCGTGTGGACTTCATAAAACGGCCGAAAAACACGTCGCCGAATGAGACATGGGTCGGAACGTAATCATGTTCGACGCTAGCAAAAAACAAACACACTGTCCCCGTCCACACCACATTGCTGGACTAGAAACCTGATTAAGAGTGCACTCATTTCATTACCGTTGTAAAGTAGAGTTGAACATAAATGCATCCTAGCCTTATTCTAGTACTATTATTCAACTATCTTACAATAATGTAATGATTTTCTTTGTACGATGGCACATTACAATTAAGAATGCTTGAATAAATTAATAAATAAAATCTCTCCGCACACAAGAAAAAGGGGAATTACGTCGGGCGCTTTAAGCGCTTTCGAGCGAAGTCTGGCAGACTTAAGCTATCAATTTATATTCAACTCAACCACTCCAAGTATCCAACAACTATCTTATGCATGCAAAAATGATTTGAATAGAGACTAGAGTAAGAAATTCGGTTGCCAAAAATGTGGTATCGTTTGCTCGCTTTCGGTAGAGTGGGCGGAGCACTGTCTACGTACACGCGCGGCGGCTTTGGATGGCGAGAGAGTACAAAAAACAATGCTCTAGGATGGAGGTTTATCGACCGATTACATGTCATGTCATGTCTGCAGTGGTCCGCCCACTCTAGTGAAAGCGAACGAACGATACGCGAAGCGCACGAGAGCGCCATCGTCCATCCTATTCCACATACCCAAAAAATGAAAACCGCGGATTCGGCTAAAACTTCCTCTAAAGGGAGGGGTTATTTTGCACCGCTGATTACGAAAATCGCATTTATTTCGCACGATAGTGCCATCCAGTGTAGTTACGGTAGGACTACGGTAAGGATCAAAACCGGATTGCCCCCAAACCTCGTCCAGGGGGTTACTTGGGAAACTGAGCACGACAATCATATTCATTCGTATGGTAGGGCCATTTTTTGGGTTACGGTCGTATATAGTAGATTGCTGGAAGTCTCGAAGTTGCTCAAAACTTTGCCTAGAGGGGTTCCTAAGCAAGCTTACGAATATCATACTCTAGTCCGTTCTATAAATGCGCTATATATAGTCGAGTCGTCGACCACTGACCCTAAATTGCGGAACACGTGCTGCGCGGCCAGAGATTTGTTCCAGTACAGCTCATGCATGACCTGTGCTCTCGTTACATGTCAGCCGCGCTGCGCGTGCTCCGCGATCTACGACGATATTTTGCACAGTCTGGTGTATATGATAGTCCGAAGTGTGAAAATCGATTTATCGATCTGGTCTGGCACTTGAATTGAGGGGCTGCGACCAGACTTCGCTCAAAAGCGCCCAAATTCTTCTAATTCTCTCACCTCTCCTCATACGAAAAAGTGAAGAGACATTGGAGAAATTCGGGCGCTTTTGAGCGCTTTTGGGCGCTTCTGAGCGAAGTGTGGCCGGGCCAAGCACTTCGATGCAACTTTGATGCATTCAAAGATGATACTGAACTGATTATAACGCTATAAAGCCTCTGAAAAAGCAGAGATTGTTGCCAGAATACTACTAGCTCCTAAGTTCTCTGCATAAGGTGGATTTCTTGAAGGCAATGTCCGAGCAAAAACTCGATTTTTAGATTTTGTGCTTACTTGGGCCTATTCTCTACGCTGAATCCGAAAATGCAATTGTAGAGCGCGAAAATGGCGAAAAACGGGTCTAACACAGGAGGGAAATTAGCAGGTGGGCGGGGCCCTCCCCACTGCGAAATCACGTTCCCGACTTCCGGAGCGACCTTCTCGCTTCCGGTTTCAAAACAATCATTCGCACTTGACCGGTAGCGATGTTAGGACGGCTAGCGGAATCGAGAAAATCGCCCCGGGAGCCAGGAGCGTGAAATCGCACTGGGGAAAGCCCCGCCCACCTGCTGATTTCCCTCCTGTGTTAGGGCCCTTTTTCGTCGTTTTCACGCTCTCCAATGTGGATTTTCGGATTCAGCATAGCGAAAAGGCCTGGGTAAGCACAAAATCTCAAAATCGAGTTTTTGCCCGGACACTGCCTTTAACGCATTTGCAAATCAGATGTGGTACACCTCTGGCTACAGACACTAGCACGACAGCGAACCCTTTTTGACGACCCATAAAAACTATGAGAAGCAGGTGCTTAAAGGTAGTGGGTCAGCAGAATGAGACCCGTGGCAAAACAAGGTCACAGGGTAGGAGCCCTCATAATGGAACCTACGGGCTATAGTTCGATCTTTTTCTGCCACTTCTAACCCCCGAAATTTCAAAGCGAAAGCAGCGCTCATCTCCTGTCTTCTCCGAATCCGCCCACCCCATGGACGAGTGACTTCCACGGTCAGAGCGCTAGCCGCAATGCTATAAGCATATGCCTCATATGAGGCCGCAACGACTCTGCGTCTTCGCCATGACGGGCTTCGCGTTCACTCGTCCGTCGGGTGGCGGGATCGGAGAGGAGAGGAGATGAGCGCTGCTTTCGCGTTGGAATTTCGGGGGTTAGAAGTGGCAGAGAAAGATCAGGGGCGAGGCCCTCAACTACGAAAGAAAATCGAAAACCGGTAGACTGACTCTCAGACTTGGAATCGGAACCTTTACAGTAATAAATCCAGTAACGAATATATAGTTTGGCAAGATATGCTGTAGAAAAAAGGATGAGATAAGAAAAGCTAGCAATCAGGGTCGTAAGAAAACAGTTCGTTTCCCTTGCGACAACGTCGATGCATATAGTTGTAACAGGAACACTTTTTGCATTACCCGCCAAGAAAAATTCAAACGTTAAGACAAAAAACGGCTCTTACGCATTGGTATCTAGCAAAATAATGGTGATTTTAATGGCACAGGAAAGAATAAGGAGTATAGAAGTCTGAGGAACACTGCGAAGCAAAAATTGATGTTGCCGTTAGCAGTGACGTCAACATAGCTGCCTTGTCTGTGGTTACGGTCGTACTAACATAAAAGTACAAAATATTTTTGTACTTGTGTGAGTCGAGTTTCCAGTTTGTCCTGCACAGCGCAAAACGGGTGAAAAATGTAGGGAAAGTTTTAGTGCAAATTATATAATGATTATGCACATAGTTTGCAGCTTTCACACGCGACAAAACCCGTGTTAAGAGAACTGGTGAGGTTAGTCGCAGTAACGGAACACAAGTACAGATGACAATAATGTCTTCAAGTGGTGCATCTGCAGATGTGTGCCGTCAATGGCCCCTGCGCTCTTGTGTCCTCATCGTTGATGATCAGCTGTAAACAAATGCGCGGCGTCTATGCTCGCGAAAAAGGCTGCCGAGGAAAGGCCTCTTGGGTGTATCGTGCATCCCCCAAAGTTATTCCTATAGGTGTACCACCAACTCTAGCAAAATTAAAGCTTTTTCGAACTTGACATGTTAAAACGATCGAAAGGAAACCACGTTGATGGGAACGATTCTGGGGAATGCACCATAGGTAGGTAGATATCTAGTACATGGAAATTGACAGAAACTGGTCTTTTTTGTTCACTGACATGTTTTTCCACGACTACGCGACCGTAATGTTCAAGAAGTTTGCTAAGCAGTGCGTTGAATTAGACAATCCTCCTATAGCGCTACGCCTTGTCCGTTTATTTAATCTCCACATTCTTTGGAAGCAGCACCTCGCCAAAACCGAACATTCCGAAATTTTGACATGGAAGGTTGCTTGCACCCCAAACATAAGAACAGAGCAGGTTCGAACTACAGCATGCTGCCCTTGCCTGCTGCTATTCGTTACGCTAAATATTAGTGAAGTAGGGCCAAAAGATGGACAAACAAGGAAGAACACAAATCGTCAGAGCATTGAGCTATGAAGCGGATACTATTGAATGGGAACCCTTCCCCGGACGGCCGATTGATACATACTGTCCCAGATCTAGCACTCAAAGAAAGTGGCAAGCAACCAGGGCCCGGCACGAGTCGGTTTCTAGGGTTTTTAAAAACGAAGTTTCCCCTGACTTTTGGTAGTTTTACGAAGTCCCCTTTGACCTACCTGCTTAGAAGAAGATGGAAACAAGAAAGATTTACTAGTATGAAGGAAAAAAAGTGAGATAAGAAAGAAAATCCAAGTTGGAGCTGATTTATATGCATGCACAAAAGTTTGCTATTGGAGCGCGATATCTAACAAAGCGATTCATGAAGAAATCAAGGCAAAAAACGAAGGAGAGGCAATGATATGAAAATGTCTTTATGCTCAGGGATAGATTTTTGATCGGAGAATCCGTCTATGCTAAAAAGATCCGAAACTTATGTGAAGTGACAGAAATATATGCTCCAGACGATCTCAGATCGTCTGGTGGCCGTCTGGAGACGATATAATTTTGGAAAAGGTATTACTTCACATAAGTTTTCAAAACTTTTTACATAGGTCTTTCTTAAATAATATTTTACTTATATGGTACAAATTTGGTGTTAAAAGCTTATGTTTACGCTCTAAACAAGCAATTTGTTTACTTTAGCCTTGCTTTCAAATCGCGCGCACTTTTCGCCATACACGATAGAGCACGTCAATCGTGTGATAACCTGCCCAAAAAGCTTGTGTTGGACTAAATGGCGCTTATTCTTGGTGCTTGGCCCCCGACTCGTCAAAAACGATATCTTTTTTGCTTTTTGCTCCAAAAACGAAGTCCAGCCTGCTTCCAGACGATCTGTGCCGGGCCCTGCAAGCAACTATACTAGATGACTCAAAAATTAGTAGTTTATCAAGTTGGAACTTCCGAAATGTCTCTGCTGTCAATTCGTTGTTTTCGGCATGATTATGATAAATGCAAAAAAACATAAAGAAGATGTGCAGCTAAGCTCGTCTCTCCCACCCTTCCATCGCCAGTTCGCAAGTAAGATCAGCTCCCAGATTCGTGTGGAGGCGGATCACGGACTTCCATGATTTTAAGGATAAGCTTAACGAGAGAGTACGAAATGCAATGCTATGACGTGGAGATTTAACAAGTTTATCCTAAAAATCAAGCAAGTCCACAACCCGCCTCCACGCGAATCAGGAAGCCGATGATAACTAGATACAATTTACTGTGCTCATCGAGGCACTAAAAGCAATGCTATGCGGCATCTGTGATCTTTTCTTATATTTCCAAAAATATTTATTTTTTTCTGTTCCATACAACAGAATAATCTAAATTAGTGAAAATTGTTGTCGTTGTCCTTGTCCTTATTATGTTCCACTCTGCATTCAACCCGGAAAGTTTAAAGTAATGGATGGTAAATTGAAATGAAGCCCTTGCGGATTCCTGCAAAGAGAGCATCTTTAACGCAAAAGAAATTGATGGTTATTGCATTTTATGCGTTAAACTTACACATCGCCTTCTGATGCTGGTGGTACTTCTGATACTGGTGCTGCTTCTACAAGCATGAGCGGAGCTAGAATCACGAGCACGAGGTGAAATAGTTGCATTATGCGCATCAAAATTTTTTTGAAGCATAATAATGCAGGGCTTATATATGAAGATTGCTCAAAGATTGGCTAAAATTGGTTGAATTGTTAGACTGTCTAAAAGCTCATTGAAAATCTCTTGAGCGCTTTTAGTGCTGTCGATTGATCAGTTGAAAGCTTTTAGAGATCATTTTGGAAGCAAGCGATTTCAGGGATAGTGGGGTGTGCATTTTGAACAATACGTTCTCAAAAGTGAAAAAGTGCATTTTTTATTCTGGAAAGCATACTAAGCACAAATGATCAGGCGGGCGTTGTTCATTAGCTTACATCTTCAACATCGCCCCTCTACGAGTCCCTCGAAATAACTTGCAGATTCCGGTTCAAAGGCAGTGGATTGGCAAAATTCAACAATTTAGGATTTAACGTGGAGGTTCCTTATCGCCCAAATACAAAAACATTGCAATCCCGGTTGCACAGCATGCCTTCCCTGCCGAGAAATTTGCTCTCAAACTTACAGTCTGCCCCAATCGGGATCAGGCCGAACCGTCGGCTGAATTTGCGCGCTCGCAGCGCTAGGGGATTGCGCTGCATACGCGCGCTGTCGCAGAGAGTGAGGAGATTGAGGAGAGAGCAGACTAGCTAGCCGCAGATGTGGCGCGAAACCCTCGCGGCGCGGACTCCCACCATGCCGATTTTGGCCTGGTTAGGATTGGGGCAGACTGTACACGCGGGGGACGAGTTGGCAATTTGCTTCTCACTATCGGAGACTGCCCGCCGCAAACAGCCGCTTAAGCTCTAACTTAGAATACTGAGGTAAGCCGATTTTTGCCGATATGAAAAGACTTAACAATCTAATATTACACACACTAAGAAACAAAAAATGCACTTTTCACTTTTGAGAACGTGTTTGTCGAATTATACACTCCACTATCCCTGAAGTCGCTTGCTGCCAAAATGGTTTCAAAAAGCTTTCAACTGATCAATCGACAGCACTAAAAGCTAAAGAGACTTTCAATGAGCTTTTAGACAGTCTAACAATTCAACCAATTTTAGCCAATCTTTGGGCAATCTTCGTATATAAGCCCTGCATTATGATGCTTCAAAAAAATTTCGATGCGCACAATGCAACTATTTTACCTCGTGCTCGTGATTCTAGCTCCGCTCATGCTTGTGGAAGCAGCACCAGTATCGGAAGTACCACCAGCACCAGAAGGCGATGTGTAAGTTTAACGGACAAAATGCAATAACCATCAATTTCTTTTGCGTTAAAGATGTTCTCTTTGCAGGAATCCGCAAGGGATTCATTTTAGTTTACCATCCATTACTTTAAACTTTCCGGGTTGAATGCAGAGTGGAACATAATATGGACAAGGACAACGACAACAATTTTCACTAATTTAAATTATTCTGTTGTATGGAACAGAAAAAATAAATATTTTTGGAAATATAAGAAAAGATCACAGATGCCGTATAGATCAGCTTTTAGTGCCTCGATGAGCACAGTAATTGTAGTTAGTCGCGAACTGACGATGGAAGGGTGGCACGAGCTTAGCTGTACATTCTCTTCTTTATGTATTTGCATTTATCATAATCACGCCGAAAACAACGAATTGACAGCAGAGACATTTCGGAAGTTCTAGTTTGATGAAGCTACTAATTTTTGAGTCATCCACTCAGGGATTCGCGCCGTGCGGGCGGTCCTCATTAAAGCTCCTCCGCCTGAGCGCACTGCATAGTTTTTGATGTCCGTGCGTGCGGTCAACAATAAAAATGCCGTGCAAGCGGAAGACAGTCTACCCGTTCGATCGGCACGCAATAAAATCGACCGTGCAAGCGGCAGGCAATGCGTCCGCACGATCGGCCAGCAATCACTTGATCGTACAAGCGGCAGGCAATCTCGCCGCGCAATCGGTACGCAATAAAACCGACCGTGCAAGCGGCAGGCAATGTGTCCGTTCGATCGGGCGGCAAACATTTGCCCGTGCAAGCGGCCAACAGTGACCTCTACCTTCGGCTCATTATTTTCACACACTATGAGCGTAAACGGTACCTGCATGAGATACGACGCAGCGTTTAGGCTGGCTAAGCGTCGACTATCGTGTTATCGACATTTCCCTTCACCGCAGAGCTGGTGTGAACCTGTGTGAGGCTACAGTTATCAAGAGTGATGGTGTGGGCCTCTCCATGGAAAGTTTGGGTAGTGCGGCAGGCATTGGTCCGTGTTCCCAGGATGTGAAAATGCTTAAGATACCTAAGAAAAATGGTTAAAATACCCCATATAAACCTACTCCAGCAGCAAGCGAGCGGCCGACCTTCCCCGCGCAAGCGGCGAACACTAGAAACCGTGCGGGCGCCCCACGTTGACCGTGCTAACGGCCCTTGACGACCGTACAATCGCACACACCAACGAGCGATTGTAAGTTCGTCGCTGGCCGCCCGCACGGTGCGAGTTCCTGAGCAGTTAGTCGCTTGCCACTTTCTTTGAGTGCTAGATCTGGGACGGTATGTATCAATCGCCCGTCCGGATAAGGGCCCATTCAATAGTATTCGCTTGACAACATGCTCTGGATTTGTGTTCTTCCTTGTTTGTCCATCTTTTGGAGGCTCTACTTCCCTAATATTGTAGCATAACGAATAGCAGCAGGCAAGGACAGCATGCTGTGCGCTCGAACCTGCTCTGTTTTCATATCTGAGGTGCAAGCAACTTTCCGTGTCAAAATTTCGGGATGTTCGGTTTTGGCGAGTTGCTGCCTTTAAACCCAATGAAGGCAGTGGCTCGGCAAATCTCAACCAAGCCAAATTTCGCTTACTTGGGGTTATTCAATACGCTGATACCGAAAATCCACTCCAAAGAGCTTGAAAACGGCGAAAACCCAATGGTTACGGTCCCGCAACGATTCAGCGTGTCAGTCTTGCTCCACTCGTCCAATTCCAACAGGAAGGGCACTAAAATTGAAATTGAAAAACGCAAGTTTTCGCCGTTTCAAAGCTCTTCAAAGTGGTTAGGATCAGCGTATTAAATAACCCCAGGTAAGCGAAAATTTGACTAGGTTAAATTTGCCGAGCCACTGCCTTTAATGGGCTCAAAGGCAGCAGCTCGCCAGAACCGAACATCCTGAAATTTTGACATGGAAGGTTGCTTGCACCTCAGATATGAAAACAGAGCGGATCCACGCACAGAATGCTGCCCTTGCCTAAAAAATTGCCCCTAAACCCGTTCTGCAAGTCATTCTATTACGCGCGGACGAGCCAATTCTCCCGGGCATAGGCCTTTCTGAACCCGTTTTAATCGCGATGATAGTGAGAGGTCAGCCCACCACAAAGGTCACGCTGTGATTGGCTGCCGCACCGCAGCGACCAATTGACTTGTCAATACGCATCGCAGTCTCGGACGAATTTTGTTAGCGTACAGCGGTGCACTTACACTCATGCGCCACGAAAGACGCCACAAAACTGCATGCACTAAAAGCAGATAAACTTTTAAAAAGTTCAAAACCCTGAAAAAATAACACGAAGTGCGATGCCACCTGGCATTTGACGTTCCTACTAATTCGCCGCTTGTAGGAAAGTTTAAAAATCAATGACAAAATGACTAACTTGTTTTATCAATCACGAACCCCTCCGATTCTGCTTATCCCTTCTACAACTCGGAATCCACTCACATGTTGCTCTGACATTATCTGCTCACAAACTGCGGGAACTTGAGCTTGAAGACTTCTCAGGGATTCGTGCCGTGGGAGCGGTCCTCCTACAGACACCAGCGCACAAACGGCCAACGTAAACCTGGGTACGGCGAACAATGAAAATTCGGCGCTATTCCAGTATCCGGGCCCCAAAATTTTTTTGTCGTGAATTCTGTCGAAACTTGGCCCAGGGGGGTTATTCGGTCCGCTGATGTCGATTATCATATTGATTTTGTACGGTAGCGCCATTTTCTCGGGTTACGGTGGGTATACGGTAGGGGGCCAAAATCACGGATTTTGCTGAAACTTGGCCAGGGGGGTATTCGGCCAGCTGATGCCAAATATCACATTGGTTTTAAACCATAGCGTCATTTTCTCGAGTTACGGTAGCTACACTGTAACGGGTGTAAAAAATAGTTTTGCCTGAAGCGGGTGTATGGCGATTCGGACAATCGTGAAGCTTTGCACACACGACCACCGCCGCGCGCTACACACCCTGCTGCGGCTTTTGCCTAAGCAAAGTACAGGGGAAAGATACATTTGCCGATTTGTGATTTTGACCCCTACCGTATACCCACCGTAACCCGAGAAAATGACGCTACCGTACAAAATCAATATGATATTCGGCATCAGCGGGTCGAATAACCCCCCTGGGCCAAGTTTCGACAGAATCCACGACAAAAAAATTTTGGGGCCCGGATACTGGAATAGCGCCGAAAATTCCTTCTAAGCGGCAGGCAATGTTACCGTGCGATCGGGCGGAGTACATCTGCTCAAGCGAGCGGCCAACAATGTGCCCGTCTGATCGGACGACAAAACCCGGGGTCGTGCAAGCGGCCGACGGTGACCTTTATTTTCTCCCCGTAGTTGTCATACGCTGTGAGCCTAAACGGCACCTGCGTAAGATACGACGCAGCGTTTAGCCTGCCATTGGTCATAATATGTCTGTATCAGCAGCGCGATTTACATTAACCGAGAGCTCGAGGTAGGTCTATGAGTTCATGCATGTTCAGAAGTGTAAGTGTGTAGACTCCCAACATAAATTGGGCCAATGCTGCACTATCCACGTTCCTGGATGCAAAAACTAACATACTCAAAGAGAAGGATCAAGGTATCTCGTTACCCCAACAGCGAGCAAGCGGCCCCCCTTCCCCGCGCAAGCGGCGAGCGATAGTACCTACGTACGCCAAACCTTGCTCGTACGATCGGCCCTTGACGACCGCACAGTCGCACACACGAACGAGCGTATTGTAAGGTCGTCGCTGGCCGCTCGCACGGCACGAGTCCCTGAGTTTGCTTATTTGGTAGAGATGCCAGTTTGGCAATAGCAGTTGGGAAGAATGCTCTCGACTTATTCTTCAACTGTTTGATGCTAAGGAATTCACTGAGACAGGTGACAGTTTTTGAAACCTGCGTTTCTGCACACTCACAAATTCCAGCAAAATACTGGTAAAAACTATCAAGAAGTCTAGCACTCTAAACAGGGTTCATGGCTTCAAAAACTCATGACAACCTAAATAAAGACCTTGATCTTTAAACGTTGACAAGAATAAGCTTTCTAACAACTTAAACAGACAGTTTTCAAAAAACTGATAGCTTTTGTTAGTTGAGCACTTAAGCAAAAGTGAGCAGGTCTGTAGTCCAATGCACAGACAGCGAAAGAACCTTACACTAGTGACATTTTCATCGATACCGACTATCATTTTGATCCAGAAATTGATTTTTTGAAGAAAAAAGCTTTGAAATATTAATGACATTAAAACTAACAGAATTACTGCTCCTTTGAATTGGCCAACAATTGTCCAAGTCCGGATTCGGATTATTTGCTCGTTTAAAGAATGAAAGGAGAATTTTCCTGCTAGTTCATTTTTAAACATTCAATATTTTCCTGCTAGTTCATGTTTAAACAATCAAAAGTACCCTATTGAACGCCGAGTTTCTAATAAACAAGAGCCAAAGTTGTTAAAGTGCTCAACTATTGGTTGATATAACACAACTTACCAATTCAAGAGATTCAGATCTGTATTAGTGACTAGTAATACAGTTAGAAAAGTGTTATTTTGAACAACATATTTCGTAATCGACTTTTGTCGACTGGCTCGAAGCCAATAGGCGGAGTCTGACTGCTCTGAGCACAACAAGAATGACGGGTCATCCAGGCGTTTTGACGCATATGGAGCGGCCCAACACCTCGCCCTATGAATCTTATATATAAAGCTGAATGTGTGTTTGTCTGTTGTCTGTATGTCTGTACCAGTGGCGTACAAAGGATTCCGGCTCGGGGGGGGGGGGCAAAAATTTTTTTCAGATGAAGGTGCGTGGCGTTAGCCACGCACTCCGAAAAATTTTTAGGGGGGCTTCTCAAAATTTTTGCGGGCTCCCAACCCCTAAAATCTGGAAAAAGAAGGCGTGGCTGACGCCACGCCCCGAAAATTTTTTTTATAAGGCTATAGCTTGCCTACCCGGCTCCGCACGGCCCTGTGAAAACATTGTAATTAAGGCCCCATCCCTATCCCTGTACAGCCTTTCCCTGTGCCCACTTCTACACTTCATTTCCCGTTCCCTGTGTTGTTTTCGAAAAGCATGCCCACTTACCCCTCCTGTGCCAACTCCCAGCCCTGTAGCTCAAACTTTGCAAGAAATCGATAAAATCAATGAAAGTAATGGACGATTTCAAAAACTAATATTGTATTCGGAATCCCCATGGTCGATTACCCCCCTGTGCAAACACCCAGCCCCGCAGGTCAAACTTTACAAAAAATCGGTAAAATCGATAAAAGTAATCGATAATTCTGAAAACTAATATTGTATTCGGAATCCCCATGCTCACTTAACCCCTGTGCCAACTCCCAGCCCCGTAGGTGAACTCTGCAAAAAATCGATAAAAATCGATAAAATCGATATCGATCGTTGACGAAAAGTAGCTTATGACACCCGCCGGAGCCCGAGGTGTATGTGTGCCAAGTTTGGTCCGGATCGGTTCAGAAATGGAATTTTCTATTCGGAACATACGTACATACATACATACAAACAGACATTCAACTTTATATATAAGATTTGAATTTTTTAAAAATTTTGAAAATTATTTTGATTGTTTACGAAAGTAAACAAGTCACTTGCACATTTTTATAACCCATGTAAGTAACTTTCAAAAATTTCGCGACCCCCATCGGTACGTCACTGGTCTGTACGTATGTGCGGAAGTAAAAATTTTTTATTTCTGAACCGATTTGGACCAAACTTGGCACACATACACTTCTGGGCCGAGCGGTTGTCACAGGCTACTTTTCGTCACCGATCGATATCGATTTTATCGATTTTTGCAAATTCAAGCTACGGGGCTGAGAGTTGGCACAGGGGGGGGGGTAATCGAGCATGCTGATTACGAATACAATATTAGTTTCTAATACCTTTTACCTTTATGTTTGCAACAGACTTTCAGAAAAGGTTCCAGCTTTATCTCAGACGTTCAGAACGTTTGAGACAAAAAGTGGAATGATTCTCGCTAGAGAACATAAAGTGTCATTAGCAATACTAATCATCTTTTCTCTTTACTCAGCAGCTAGTGACACTTGTAAGTTTGGCCGCAAGCAACCGCACTATGAAACGAAAGAATTCTCTGATTGGCGGCTCAGAGAAGGCTTTCAGTAAATCACTTTTCACCCACGCCCTTGTAATCAACGTTAGGGAAGTGTTCCCTCCTGAGCTGCTTGCAGGTTAGAAAAAAATGTCAATATCCTGTGAAATTACATGTCCATATCATAGCTTACCATGCTCTGTAACGGCAAATGTTCGGAATATACATTCCGTTCATTCGTCGTCTTCGAACATGATTCATTTTGCTATTTGCTGTCAATTTATGTACTATTCCATGCGTTATTCCATGCTCGTAATCTCATTTTCTACAATACTGCTCATTATTTCTTTACGGATGTCATCATATTACCGTATGTCACATTTCGTCACCAGAGCGCCTTTATCCGCCTCCTTATACCCTATGTCATATTTTACCACCATGCGGAAGTCTTTATCCGCCTCCCCAAATAACTACGGAAGCCCTTCATCCGTACCCCAGTTGCTCATCGTTCAAACTTCATGTTGCTTCATTTATCCTCAGCTCGAGACGAGCCCTGACGGGGTGTGCGAAAGCGTGCCTTCTCATCCCTTTCCCCCTGTCCTTGTGAAGAAAAATCCAGCGACTAACGCCTGAAGCAACTCTCCCTCAACCAAAGCAGCAAATGGTGAATGGGCAACATCATTGGTGCATATGGGCAACGTGCATTCAATGATGATATCTCAGCTACACATATGGGCAACGTTCAACTACACATATGGGCAACGTTCAATCAAATCAATCGATGACACCTCAAATGTATGGGCAACGTCAAACGAATCCGATGATGACAACTAAATTACCATGGCAGACTTCAAAAGCTCGAGGACGAGCTTTGCCATGGAACGGACATGTCGAGACGCAGACTAATTAGAGTCCGACAGTCCCCTCGCCGACTTGGGCGGTGCCACCAACTTCAGATGAGCTGGCACTCCCCGGGTGCTCAGTGGTCCCCTCCCCAACTATGTTCCCCCACATTTTATTACATGCAGATAAAATAATCTAGTCAGAACTGTTATGTTATTACTAAGGAAAGAAACTAAGGGTAGAGGGATCAAGTTAAGAGAATAGCTAACTCTTCAAACTTGACAAGCTGTCCAAATCCCTAAGATGATGCTCTGTTTGAACATCTCGTCCCGCAAAAAGAAAAGTCCAGCTGTTTCAAACTTCCAAAACTGTGTGCTACGTATATGATTTCACTAGCTTGCTTTCCCGGCTCCGCTCGGCCTTGTCAAAACACTGTGATAAAGGTCCCATCCCTATTCCCGTACAGCCTTTCCCTGTGCCCACTTCTACACTTCATTTCCCGTTCCCTAAGTTGTTTTCGAAATCAGCATGCGCACTTACCCCCTGTGCCAACTCCCAGCCCTGTAGCTCAAACTTTGCAAAAATCCATAAAATCGATGAAAGTAGTCGATAATTCCAGAAACTGATATTGTATTCGTAATCAGCATGCTCGATTACCCCCCCCCCCCCTGTGCCAACTCTCAGCCCCGTAGCTTGAATTTGCAAAAATCGATAAAATCGATATCGATCGGTGACGAAAAGTAGCCTGTGACACCCGCTCGGCCCAGAAGTGTATGTGTGCCAAGTTTGGTCCAAATCGGTTCAGAAATAAAAATTTTCTACTTCCGCACATACGTACAGACCAGTGACGTACGTATCTATATCAAAAGGAATTGTATCTGCTATAGATTAGATGAGAACGCTTTTTAACAAAATGTCTATGGTTCAAATGATTTAGGGTTTGTAATCAATCCGATGCAACATTGTTCTCATTCGGGAAGAGCTTAGTGCTCACATTCCTGGGCTTTCAAATGAGTAGGATTATTACTGTAGAGATGTCCCAAAAGTTTGTACTCGCAAAAACTTAGCTATCCTACGTACAAGAGAACGTATCGTTTTTTGGGAGAAGTTATGCGAAATCCGATCAACTCACGAATTCCTGGCGTTTTTGAAGCATGATAGAAGACTGAGCTGTGGTCTCAGCATTGAATAATTAATCAGCGGACCAAGTCCGCTTTTGATGAATTTTTGAAACTTGCAGTCTTTTTTTGCATATGACTTGGCCAAAACTTTTCGACTAAACTCGAGTTCGTTATATCATAGAGTCTGTCTCAGTTTTAATTAGTCCGAGATCGGGAGGGAGTCCGTGTCATGAGGGTATTGCGTCACGTCTACTCCAGTTTGTCTCTCTACTCATCTGCGCTCCCTCAAAGAGCGCATATGCAGTGCAGCGCTACCCCCGAGCACTGCCAGCCGTAAATTTAGCCAACGGTTGGGCCTGATCCCCATTGGGACGAACTGTATGTGATTGTGCGAAATGTGGGCCGTGATTATTGCTAGAACTGGTCCGAAAGCTAGAGCTGCTCTATTCATCACTCAGAGTTCTCATGAAATCTGAACGATTTTCATAAATTTTCCAAGTTTGTGCAAAATCCACTGAAAAGCTGCAAAATGATCTCGCAAATGCAGAGCTCGTATAATACCCATCTGTGGTTGCTGGTTGAGCAGTATGTTTTTCCCAGTTTCTCGCACTAAGTTCTGGAAAACATAGTGCTTTGCGCATATGGATGTTTTGTGAAAGCTCATATGCGGCCTCACGGATGACGACAAACTGAACTTAGGGTAAGCTAAGCCAGTCGTCAATGGTTGGTGCGCATACTTCTCAAACATCGATGGAATCATCACGCGAGGTCATGTGCAACTTATTGGAAACCTCATCTTCGATCAAAAGGGCAACTTTCCAGACTGTTTACCCTTAGGTGGCGCAGGAGATGAGTCATCAACCTTGTACGCCTGCAGCAGCACGCAACAAAAACCTGTTGACATCTCACGAGGGGGGGGATGTTACAGAGAGACACTGTGCGCTTTATTATACAGAGAGATACTGTATTCCTAGCAATTTTGTGCTCCCCCCCCCTCGTGAGATGTCAACAGGTTTGTCGTTGCGTGCCGCTGCAGGCGTACAGGGTTGATGACTCATCACTATGCCAGTGATGTCCGATCTAGACGATGTTGATGACCTAACCTCCAAAGTGCAGTCTGCAAAAAGTTAAAAGCTGTAAGCGGTAACATGCCGCTGCAGGCGTACAGGGTTGATGACTCATCATTATGCCAGTGATGTCCGATTTAGACGATGTTGATGAAAACCCTAACCTCCAAAGTGCAGTCTGCAAAAAGTTAAAAGCTGTAAGCGGTAACATGCCGCTGCAGGCGTACAGGGTTGATGACTCATCACTATGCCAGTGATGTCCGATCTAGACGATGTTGATGACCTAACCTCCAAAGTGCAGTCTGCAAAAAGTTAAAAGCTGTAAGCGGTAACATGCCGCTGCAGGCGTACAGGGTTGATGACTCATCATTATGCCAGTGATGTCCGATTTAGACGATGTTGATGAAAACCCTAACCTCCAAAGTGCAATCTCCAAAATTAAAAGCTGTAAGTAGTAACATCGATTGATTCTGTCTTCACAATACGACGTCTCTATTTTCACACTGCAGCAGCACCTCTACTCGAGTCATCGGAACAGGTCAGCTATCTCCTTTCTCATTTAGCATTTTCTAGGAAGAAACAATTTAATCATGTGAACGAAAACCTGTGTAATCATGCTTTTTGAGCAAAATCACACATTTCGAAAAATCGTCTATAAGAATGGGCATCTGATAACAAAGTTAAATTTTAGTACCTTGCTCATCATTACCATTTGTTTCTAGACTACAAAATAGTGAGCTGCAATTTTTTCAAAAAAAATATTTTTTGAAAAAATTGCAGACTAATTGTTTCTAAACTACAAAGTTGCAACTCACTATTTTGTAGTTTAGAAACAAATGGTAATGATAAGCAAGGTACTAAAATTTAACTTTGTTATCAGATGCCCATTCTTATAGACGATTTTCGAAATGTGTGATTTTGCTCAAAAAGCATGATTACACAGGTTTTCGTTCACATGATTGAATTGTTTCTTCTTAGAAAATGCTAAATGAGAAAGAAATTGATAGCTGAACTGTTCCGATGACTCGAGTAGAGGTGCTGCTGCAATGTGAAAATAGAGACGTCGTATTGTGAAGACAGTATCAATCGATGTTACCACTTACAGCTTTTAATTTTGGAGATTGCACTTTGGAGGTTAGGGTTTTCATCAACATCGTCTAAATCGGACATCACTGGCATAATGATGAGTCATCAACCCTGTACGCCTGCAGCGGCACGCACAGACCTGTTGACATCTCACGAGGGGGGGATGTTACAGAGAGACACCGTGCCCTTTATTATATTGAGAGATTACTCTAACCAAACCTTTATTATATTGAGAGATTACTAACCCTTTATTATATTGAGAGATTACTCTCATTACTCTAATCATGTGATTTTTTTGTTTTTGGTTAGAGTAATCTCTCAATATAATAAAGGGCACGGTGTCTCTCTGTAACATCCCCCCCCCCTTGTGAGATGTCAACAGGTCTGTGCGTGCCGCTGCAGGCGTACAGGGTTGATGACTCATCATTATGCCAGTGATGTCCGATTTAGACGATGTTGATGAAAACCCTAACCTCCAAAGTGCAGTCTGCAAAAAGTTAAAAGCTGTAAGCGGTAACATGCCGCTGCAGGCGTACAGGGTTGATGACTCATCACTATGCCAGTGATGTCCGATCTAGACGATGTTGATGACCTAACCTCCAAAGTGCAGTCTGCAAAAAGTTAAAAGCTGTAAGCGGTAACATGCCGCTGCAGGCTTACAGGGTTGATGACTCATCATTATGCCAGTGATGTCCGATCTAGACGATGTTGATGAAAACCCTAACCTCCAAAGTGCAATCTCCAAAAAGTTAAAAGCTGGAAGCGATAACATCGATTGATTCTGTCATCACAATACGACATCACAATCTCTATTTTCACATTGCAGCAGCACCTCTACTCGAGTCATCGGAACAGGTCAGCTATCAGCCCCCCTCATTTAGCATTTTCTAAGAAGAACCTCAGTTTAACGTCCTTCGGTTTTTTGGAATTTTTTAGAAGCAGTTCTCGCCTGGCAGAAGCTTAAACTCAGTCGAAAATTCTTACCGTAATCCTACAGTAAATAAGAGAAATCGGTGATTCGCTCCATACTGTAAATCTAAGTTAAACCCAGCTCTACCGTATGACACCCAAAGATCCGCGGAAGATTTTCAAAGGAAGTTATTGGAGAAACGTTCGATCATCTTTTTGGGACACTCTGTATAATTCTTCTATAGAAAGTTTCAGTTTAGTCTAAAGTGCTTCTCAAGCGACCATCACCTTTCGAATTAAGAAGTTTTTGATTTCTCATTCCAAAATCACATCAATCTGTAGTTTTCACAATCTCAGCCGATTTCACTATTATGAATAATCCTAGATTGCCTCTCTCTTTGGGTTTGTTTCCCAAGAGATCGACTTTTTATCTACTCATCACTACCATTCGCTTTCTAAAATACAAAATATTGAGCTGCAATTTTCTGCTACAAAACATATCCACTTTGTGATTTTCCTCAACCTTTCCAAAATCAAATCAATCTGTAATTTTCACAATCTCTGCCAATTTCACATTACTGATAAAGGCGTTCCTGTTCGAGTTCGGCAACGGCAATTTCCCCTTCGACCTGCTTTTGCTATGGCCATCAACAAGGCTCAAGGCCAGAGTCTATCGAATGTAGGAATTCATATCGAAACTGAAGTCTTTTCTCATGGGCACCTCTATGTGTTACTCTCTCACGAGCGCGAACAAAAGGAAATTTTGAAATCTAATTTAATAATTTTGAAATCTAATTTAATAATTTTTGATTAATTAAATTTAATCTAAATTTAATTAATCAAATTTTGAAATCTACCTAGGCTTTTTTCTTTTTATTTTCAGTTTCACTACCGCTTTTGATTAGGAAAAAGAAACATATTACCATTCTACTTTACTCGCCAGGGAGTTTACATGCTATTCATTTATCTTGTATTCTTTCTCTTTACTTTCAGAATTTATGGCTTCCTCTCAAAGTTAGAAATCGAACGATTATATGGCTCATTGCTTTGTACAGCAAGATTGTCTAGAATCTAGTTTTAATACATTTCTATATATTCTCTCAAATAGACTACTGTTCTGAATTTTGCTGCTCAAAATACTTTATCTCTATTTATCCCATGCTAATCTCTTGACTAGAAATAATTTAGATTATAAGTAATATAAAACTTCGTTATTATTTATCTTGAGCTTTCTATTTCGCATCGTTGCAAATCTCCTGCCGGATCAATATCAGTATCTGAATATTTACGTGAACTACCAGATCTTATACCTACTCGTTCTACTTTTTCATCAGGCATTCGCATCTTTAGACTATTGAAAGCTTTTATCTTGCATGTGTTACATTCATATGCTCAAACACGGAGGAAGTGGAGGCGGTCGGTAGTGTAATGGTCACCTAGGTACGAGTGGACTCGCCATATCGCCTAGGTACTACCACCAAAGCGTGCCACTCGAAAGTGATCTGTTACCCGCACTAGGGTATCCCATCATGCTCCGTTATTTTGGGCACACATCCTACTACCTATTCTTTATGCTTGCGATCGAAGCTTTCAATAATGTTCTAGAGAATCTTTTTAGAAGATGCATAAACTTTGGATACTACCACACTACTTCCTAATTTGATTTACTATATCCGGAACTTTTCAACCTTGTTATTATGATCCACACGCAGAAGATTTAGCGATGTGAAAATGAGAGCAAATCCTTTGTACATATTTCGCGTGTGTATTGTGCATTATTTCCATTTTAGCGATTCTACTTTCTAGCACATTACGCTGTAGTAATGTATTAAATAAATAAATAAATAAATAAATAAATAAATAAATAAATAAATAAAAAGAAGGTGTAAAAGTGCTCAGAAATGGTACGACAGTAAGAAACATTGTGATCAAAGCGGTGCTCTAAATTCCTATGACTAATTAAACAGAGGTAATGCTTTCTCATCTTCTTTTTTACATGCCACATCGTCGTAACATTCCTACACTCGCCTTTTAGGAATCATACCTTAGGCCAATGGCTCAAAATTAGTAATTTTGTTCTTCTAATCTACAATGTGACTGGAGAAAATCTGACTCGTATTGCTGTCTTTCCCTTTCAAGAGCTCAATCATTAAAGATCCCACTGCTGAACTTTACTGAAAGATTTGTTTCCATTTGTACATGAATCTTCGTACTAAATGCTTTTTGCCTAATGCCTGATACTCCATTATTAGTGCATATATATCAGAAAACCAACCAAAACCAAAATCCTAAAATCGAAACTTTTCTCCGTGTCTTCGCTCACGCTATCTCACTGTTGTAAACATCAGCAAAGAATACTGTTTTGTACTATAACACATAAAATTCACTTATGTGAAGCAGATTACAAGCTTTTCCCGAAACATGAAGATTATTAATGTTGCAGTCAGATAAATTACAAACTCCTGATTCACTTGAACCATGGTCATTTTGTTATAGAGCGTTCTCTTCTAAACTATAGCAGAATTCCTTTTCAATAAAATGTGATGAAAATGAAACATCCAATCAAGACAGTACCTCTTAGACATTGCCCACACCCACTTACCACTTACAGAGTGTTCTGTTATTATACTGTACCAGACCAAAGTGCCGCGAAGCGGCCCTTTGGTCTGGTACAGTATAATAACAGAACACTGAAAACTAAGAAATGGATACCTCTGTGACGAAGTTGGATAAAGATGATCAGTAAATATCCAACTCGCTTCAGTAGTCGAGAATCATCTAAGCGCAGACTAGGCAGTATTGTATTACTGCTTGAAACGAATTCCGCCGAAATTAAGGCAGCTCCTGGAGTCTATATGTCACTCAAGATTAGATAATGACGCTCTCAATCGGCATGAATGGGAAAAAGGCCTCTGGTAATCCCATGGGCTATCACATAGCCTATGGGATCACTATAGGCGACATAGCCTACGGAATGTCCACAGGCGTCTAGATCGCCTGTGGAACTGGCGGCAATTAGAAACGGCTATGGTAATTAAACACAATTACAAAAATTTTGTACATATGTACAGTGCTAGCGTTGGCGATAGAGTCCCTGAGTTTGTGTAAAAAAATGATGATGGAAAATGAGAAATGATGAAAATAAATGACTGAAAATAACCTGCAAAATTGTAGGAGAAACGGGTAAAAATGGGAATAAAATTGCATGTAGTAAATAAATTTTGGGAGAGAAAAATGTAGAGGTTGCAAAGTGAAAGTATGAAAATTAGAAAGATATGATGAATATTCAAAATAGATAAGGTGGGAAAGGGGGGCTAGAGGAAGAAAGAGTAAATGTTTACGGTTCTTCACGTGGTATCACGGTAAAAACTGTAAGGAATCACAGCAGATAAAAAATACCATCTACCATCATAACTTATAATAACGGGCTAAGGGTGTTTACGTGTTTTTGTGTGTGTAAGTCGTCTGTCTGTCACGAAATTCGTAGAACGTGTTCCAGCCAACCTCCTGAGCCCAAATTTTGCATAGCGCATGCTACCAACATGAGAGTCCCTGTACAAAAGCACGAGCGGATCCGTTTTGTGGATCCCTCAAAAAATGCGCGTCAATCGAATCCACTTGGCTTTTGGCCAAATAAATTGAGTCTGTACCACCACTTTTGCGATGCCATGGATATGTTTGACAAGCTAATGTGGAAGCCATGAATTTCAGCCCAGAAAACTGAACCAAAGTTGGCTACTTTACGAAAATGGCGCCAAAAAGAGTTAGTTGCGTAAATGTTCGTTTTGCCAAGATTTCATCTGATCATTTGAGAAGATTTTTGCACAGAGATGTAGCCCATGATGTTTATTGTCCTTACGGCAGCCAAGCCATAAAAATTCCAAAAACCTACTCAAATTTGCATCTGTTCTTCCGGAGAAAATTTCATCCAGGCGAAAGAACCGATCTCACACGAGAAACCTCTAGGGATGAGTAGTTGTTTACGAATCATTCGTGATAGCTTACATAGCGCGGTGAGTTTCAATGCCATAATTATGCGGAAATGAGCAAGGCATACAGAAATAGGGCCAGTGCGTCACCTCTGCGAAGCAGAGGTGACGCATTGGTAAGTAATAAATAATAATCTAATGGATAAATCACATCTTATTTGACAACTACTAATCGTTGTCATATATCATGTGCTGTTTCTGATTTTTTTCTTTGTTTTTATTTGCGCCGCATGGCTTAAAAGAAGGCAGTAAGATACGCAATCTGCATGAGTAATTGTGGACACCTAGGGTTCCTTTATGCTGCGTCGTAGCACCCCGCCACGCCGCGTTCTGGGCGTAGTATGAAGGAACCCTTACGCGCAGAAAATGGCCGTACAGCTCTAGCTCATTCGCATTCAACTTGTGGACCTCGTAGTCGTTTTTTGAGCACAATCATTATTGGGAACATAGTGTAGTATCAATATCGAGTATCATTCAAATCTGTTTGACTATAGCTCAAGGCGGTGTGTTCACCTTGATATTTATATCTCCGCATTCCATTCGCTCAGCTGTGTGTACAGGCTACTGTCGAAACCAGTACAAAGTTGGTATCTTGGAAAAGTTCTGTATACAGTAGCAGTGCTTTGTATTCAGCGGTCATGCTCTGTTCGTCTCGAATCCTTGTATTCAATATAGTAATATATTCATTATCTGCTACGAAACAAAAAAGACTGTCAAACACACAGTAGGTAAAGAATACATGATTATATTCATTACCCACTATGACACAAAAAAATATGACAAATAAGAAAAACACACTCAGACCCATCGCCTGGACTCAAGGGAAAGGAGAAAAGAAAGGGTAAATATGAAAAAGGGCTACGTAATTCACGTAGGAGATGAGGGCTGGTGCCGGTGGTGGGGGTATTCAGCAGAGATTGGCCTAATCTATGCTTAGATTTTTTTTTGTAAGAGAAGTTATGCGACAAAAGTTCAGAAAAACCCGGGACCTCCATGTCAACTTTGAAGAGTTAGCTATTTTCTTAACTTGATCCCTCTACCCTTAGTTTCTTTCCTTTGTAATAACATAACAGTTCTGACTAGATTATTTTATCTGCATGTAATAAAATGTGGGGGAACATAATTGGGGAGGGAACCACCGAGCACCCGGGGAGTGCCAACTCATCTGAAGTTGGTGGCAACGCCGAAGTCGGCGAGGGGACTGTCGGACTCTAATTAGTCTGTGTCTCGACAAGCTTTCCCAATCTAGTCTTAAATAACACTTTGCAAGATCATCAAAGCTTCTCACGACCACGAGAATACCCAGAGATAAGCACAGAAGCAGGCTTATTTGTTCCAGTGGCAGTCTCGCTGAAAATTCCTCTGAGACCAGAAATGTGGATAGGAATTGGCAAGTATCAACAAAGGATAGATATTTGGTGGCGTCATGCCGGCCATGGGATCAGGTCGTAGCTTAGGATCGCCAGCGAGATGCCAGCCACACCGAGCCTCCGTTGTGTCAAACCTCGCCTTTATTACTACGAACGGGGTTCCTTTTAGGGGCACGGCTGAGACACCTCATATTTTGCAACCATTTTGACGGAAGCAGAGGGAGTAGGTGACGGTCTCTATTCTCTCCTTTCGCCAGTGTCTTGCTCAAGTGACTGTTGAGGAATTGGGTTGTTCAACTCAGTATTAGTCCAATTCTAGCGAAGGTGTCCTATACGAGGGCAAGTGAGCCGAGCCAGATCCTCTACGCAGGAAGGGACTGTCAGGACTTTAATTCTCTTCTTGGGTGATTCACTATGGTAATCTTTCATGTCTTATATGAGGGCTCGACGAAGGTGTGCAATCCAGATACTTCTTTCATATTTCAGCCGTGGTCAGGACTCGTCTGCTCTATTTCAAAGTAGGAATTCCTTAGAGGGGGCAGCTTTGTCAGCAACATCTCTTTTTTTCCGAAATCAACGTCTCTCGCTCGAGTTTTGGTTCGATGAATTCTCCGAAAATGGCATCGACGCCTTGCGCGCTATATACAGGGTGCGGCAAAAGTCTGGGAGCCTAACTTCGCAGTACTGCAATTACAAAGATCCTGATGGTTTTGATTTCAATTTTATGCCACATGATGCTGCGGTCATCCTCTACAGAATACACTTTATTTGGCTGGAAATGGCTGCCATATGTTTTTGTAAGAATGGAAATTACCAAACTAGTTTTTTGCAAAGCGAAAAAAACGAGAATTTTTGGTATTTACAATTCTTGCTGTAACTAGAGATCTGTTAGTATTTTACAAAACTTCGATGCACACAACATAGAAGAGGCTTTGCGCTATTGTATCCTAGTTTTGCTTTTGCTAGGAGCTGTTCTTGCATGAACGGAAAATAAAAGTTTGCGAATGTTACCTACGTGCCAGTGGAAATCCGTCTTCAGAACAAATTTAAAAGCTATAGAGTGCTCAACAGGCACTGGGACCAAGGCGGTATTTTTTGCATACGTCTTCTAAATTAGAGTCTATTGAAGTTTGGTTATGGGAACACTTTTCATACTTTTTAAATAATAATTTTAAGTTTTAAATTGCGCGATTGTAGCAAAATTCAGGTATGCGACGTACACATGCTTCTAATTGAAAATCCAATATTTTTTTCCCAAGCAACGCAAAAAATTCTTTTGGAAGTATGTTGTAGATAAAGGTTTGCTCTATCACGCTGCGCATTTGCCAAGGTAAAAGAAGCAGTTATTGTGAAGGCGTGGGGCGAATTCCATCACGACTACCTGCGTGCCATGGCAGGTGGACTTGCCAAGATTTTGTAGGGCTGCGTGGAAGCCAAAAGAGGCAGTTTTGCAATTCAAGAACTGGGCTGTATCTGCAATGGTTCAAATTACGTGTGTATGTGTATGTGTATGTGTGCGCCAAATTATTCGTTTCTAGGTACTTCCCTTCTCGTTTTGTACGAAAAAGTACTAGGCTCCCAAACTTTTGTCGCACCCTGTACAGTCGAATAGATTTAGCAGTAAATATAGTGTGCTTGCACAGAAGGTGAAATGCGGTGAAATTGGCGCGTGAAAAAATAGTTTCGACTGTGACGAAGGCCACTTGCGCGCGCAAGATACCCACGGTACAGACGTGGCTACTTTCCACGCGCAAATTTCACCGCAATTCACCTTCTGTGCAAGCACACTATATTTACCGCTAAATCTACTCGACTGTATATACCCTTGCCACCGACATCACTAGTTGATGCGTCTTCGCGATTGCTCTTCGTCCGATCGTCATGTACATAACAAGTTTATATTCACTAACCCTTGCTTGATCAGAATCCATGTTCGACTATCCATGAATCTTGGCATAGTTTGAATCTTCTGATTGATTTCTTCAGCAGCGTTCAAGATTGGTACAGATATTTATTCCACAACAAACAGACTGACGTTTCGGCAAACTCGCCTTCTTCAGAGTCTGAAAAGTCGAAAACACATAAGTGAACTATCCGATCAAATGCCTTATCGACTACAGAAAAGAGCCCAACCCTCTAGACAAGCAACAGCATCAATCGAAGCGCAAGATTAAGCCAGTGCTCACCTTAAGAGATAATAGATTAGGTGGGTGCAGACCACTTATGTCAAAAACTGCACTGTATTACTTTCATACTAATCTAGTGACCCGGTCCTGACCTGACCTCATTATTGAAAAGCCACAAAGGCTCTTATATGGTGATAGCTCGTTAGTAATGGCTAGGTACTCATCCTTCCGGTTGATTTTTGGATTTTGGACGGCTATCCAAAACGCCTCGAGTGTCTTGCGCGCTAAGATCTCGGGTTCACGCGCCAAGATTCGAACCTGCACTCCCCATCCGCGTCGTCATGGCTGAGCCTGCGATGCATGTCTAACGGAGTAGCTACATTGCCCTTGCTGAGACCATCTAAGTGTTCTTTGATGCGCGTGCATAGGGGGTGGCCTGTCTCGCCAATACACATGTCTACACATGTTGTACACGTGATAAGGTAGACAACACTTGATACCATACAATCTCCTTCCTTGCCAAACGGACAAATCACACAATGAGGAGTTGTACAGAGACGATCATACTCGCGGTTTCGTACCAGCTGCTGCTTAAGGTTTGCAGGAGGAATGTCGACGATCCTTACCATATCGTTGAGGTCTGCTTGATGGAGCACTTTGCGAACAGCCCTACTAAACTTTTCTGAGATGTATGGTAGACAGAATGAGATCTGATCTTCAGCTTCTGATCTAGGTGGACGATATCCCGGTGTCTGTGAAGACGATGAGTCTCCGTGCAGTATCCATTGGATCTTGCTACGGATCTTGCGAGTTCCAGCGAGTACATCTTTTCCTCTCTGCCAGAAGAGACCCCCGCAGCCGTTCTAAACATGTTCCTATGATGGATGCTTTTATTCGTGCCGGATGTGCTGACGTATGGTGTACTAAGGTATTCTTGCTGTTCGGCTTTCGGTACCATCTGGTCTTAGGCCCGTATGCACGTACATCCCCTCCCCTCCCGCGGGGATGTACGTGCATACGGGCCTTAAAACGTCTGTCTGACAAACATAACCGCACGTTGAGGAACGGCAGCCATCCATCTTTGGGTCTTTCCCTCGTCATCTTGATGTTCCTGTCCTGGGCATTCATGATATTGAAGCAGGAATGAATCCAGTTCGGCCTGAGTGGGACACACGATACAGCAGTCGTCCACGTACCGACAGTAGAGGAAAGGCTTACTCGCCAGTACCGGAGCTTCCACCTTGGACATGAAAACAATAGCTAAAATCGGCGCTAGCCTTTGTCCCATAGCCAGTCCTCTTATTTGCCTGTAATAGTTGCCACACCAACGAAAGATGGAACAGTTGAGGCATTCTTTAACCAACGACAAGATGCCTCTGATGCTAAAACCATAGAGATTAAGTGACGACTGGTGTTCTAGAAGAAGTTCGAATGTCGCTTGCATTGCGGCGTCGTTGGAAACGTTGGTATAGAGCGATTCTACATCGAAGGACTCCAGAACACACCCTTGCCTTACGCTTGTGCTGCGCAGGCGATCAAGAAACATTTTTGTGTTGGAGAGATGTGCGGGAACAAATCGGAGCAGTTGAGAAAGGATGGTGTTGAGAAACCACGAAATCCTATCCGTAGGACCTCCAACGCTGCTGATGATAGGCCTAACCTTAAAATCCTGCGGGTTATTGGACGCTAAACTATCCACGGAAACCTTATGTGTCTTGATGAGAGTGTAGAGAACAGGACACATAGGCAGATCGGTCTTTAGACGTGTAGCCATAGCCCTAGGAATGCCTTCAGCCTTAGCTACCTCTAACCATACTCTGTTCAAGCGGCGGTACTGCTTTCTGAAATCGTTTGGTGCCACAGGCTCATATACGGTAGTATCCTGTAGATGATTCTTAGTGATAGCCATGTCCAGATCACGAGAGAGAACTACGAACTCCCCTCCTTTGTCGCTGACCGACGTCTTGACCTCTCCGGCAGCACAAAGGTCGCGAATTTCGCGCAGGCCGCGGCGTTGCGAAAATGTTAAATTACTATTTTGCCCGGAACTGGTTAAGAACTGAGAAGAGTCCGGTAGCAAATACTCGAAATTTGGAATCCACTGGTTGATGGCTCCTGCTTTTTATAAACTAAGCGCGGAAAAGGTATAAATGGCCACGTTTTTGCTGCTGCTTGATCGTTAGATTTACTCGCAGTTCTTGTGATCATATAAGCTCCTTCTGCGCATATGTT